CTGGCGGGCTGTTGTCTTGTTTGTGAACTTCCGTACAACAAGCCGCAGGGCGAAGGCCGGGCAAGATGCAGAATTGAGATTCAGGGCGGCCAGGGATCTTACCCGGGTTTCACAGAGGTTGCTGCTAAAGCTGCCCGGCTCCTGTAATCCAGGCTTCCTCTCAGTCTGACTGTGTGGCTCGCAGAGCATGTCGTGGGAAAAGAGGGCTCCTGAATAAGGAGAAAGTGGGCTACAAGTCAGGGCCTAGTTCCGTAGGACCCAGGAGCATCGCTCTGTGTGCGGTTGGACTGCACTGGGAATATTGAGCTTGGGGCCCTGTATTGCAAGGTAGGGTGCTTCAGGTTGCTGTAGTGGGTTTGGAATCTGTATAGTGAATCTTAACTTGCATGTTAAAAAAGTGAAACAGAATAGAAGGGAACTGCAGCTAACGTTATGTTGTATCTGCTGAGACGAAGTATTATATTGCTTCAAAATCAATTGAACTTACTTATGTACTGGGTCGTGGTGTTAAACGCATTTCTTTTTCTTTTTTTTTTTTTTAAGATTTATTTTATTTTTATTGGAAAGGCGGATATACAGAGAGGAGAGACAGAGAGGAAGATCTTCCATCCGATGATTCAGGGTCCCAACGCTTTGGGCCCTCCTCGACTGCCCTCCCAGGCCACAAGCGGGGAGCTGGATGGGAAGAGGGGCCACCGGGATTAGAACCGGTGCCCATATATGGGATCCCGGGCGTGCAAGGCGAGGACCTTAACCACTGCGCCATCGCGCCGGGCCCGCATTTCTTTTTCTTAAGAGTTATTTTGTTTGTTTGAAAGACAGAGTTACATATATAGAGAGAGATGTAAGACAGAAATTGTCCATGTCCTGGTTCACTCCCCAAATTGACCACAACACTCAGGGCTGGGCTGCTCTGAAGCCAGGAGCTTATTCCAGGTCTCCATGTGGCCTCAGGGGTCCAGGCACTAGGTCAGTCTTCCTTTGCCTTCCCAGGATTATTAGTAGGGACCTGGATTGGAAATGGAGCAGCTGGTGCTGCAGATGGCGGATTAACCCACTTTGCCACAGTGCCATCTCTGAAAATGCATTTCCTATAGTGCATCCATCAGTCAGTAACCCCTGAGAAGCCCCATTAAGGTTAATTGGCACACTCCCAAGAACCCCAGAGGCTGGGACTGAGACAAAAGACCTTCCAGATGGGGAACTGGGTGAGGAATGGACGGTTTGGAAGAAACTTAGGATGTGCACCTGATGACATGGTAAACTGCAGGTTGTCTTGGAGCAGAAGGAGCAGATGTGTTCTGAATGACCCCATGGGGGTAACTGGGAGAGGCACATTTCCATTCAGTACAGGGGCTACTGCTGTTGGAACTAACCAGAGCACATGAACTCCCCAGCACTGATGTGGTGTAACGGGAGATGCTGGGAAAGGGTTGAGGCAGCACAAGGGCACGTAGTGTATGAGACTCCCAGGCCACCCCAATGGGAGAGTTTCTGTGGCTCTGGGACCACGAGCTCCCTGCACCTTGAGATTCTGCAGTGGCCTCACGGTGCCCTCTGGGCCATATCTTGGCTGCTGCGCCTGCTGTGGGTTCTCTCTGTGATGACCTCTGCCCTCTCACCATCTCCTGCTCAGGCCTCCTTTCCAGCCACACTGAGCAGGTCGTTGTGCTTGAGGTGTGCTGTGCGCTCTGTATCTTGCTCACACTCTGTCGCCTTTTGCTGTGCTTGAGCTCATGGTTATCCACTACAGCTCAACTGCTTTTCTCAGAATGGCCTTCCCTCTCTGGGCTTCTGGTCTCTCCACTGTCTGCTGTATAAGTACTGCGCGCTAACCGATTGCGCCACTGGAGCTCCTCCACTGTCTGCTAATGGTTGATAGTGTGGATCGGGTAACGCAAGACTGGCATCTACTTGTCATAATACCTCACCCATCAAAAGGAGGTGTCTGCCTTTGGGGTTGTTGTTTAAAATAGAACTTTATTCATGGGAAGTACTAGAACTCTGCCTGGTGCATAGGAAATGCTCAGTAAATGCTAGCTAGCTCTTAGGGTAGTTCATGCATGGACTCCACACCATGGGACCCACAGCAGTCCTGTGCCACATTTGTTGGGTGAAGCTGTGTTTTTTCCTCAGCCAGAATGTCTTGGGTTTTTGTTTATTTGAAAGTTGTTTGTATTAACTGGCCCAGCAATTGGAACCACCAGCATATGCATAAGCTGATTGGGGTGACGGACTATGCTGGGGACCCTGTATTGGCAAGCACACACAAGAATCAGGACTGGAATCACCTCATAAAGTTTCTCTGGGGATCCCCCCAACTGAATTGCTGGACTCAGAACCCCAACCATGGAGAGAATTGCAGGTTCCATGGTCTTACCGTGGAGTCAGACCTCCTCAGTGGCTTAGACCGAGCAGTGGATAGCATATCCAGGTGCACATGGAGGATACAGCAGTACATTGGAGTCTGCAGAGGACACCTAGTACCATAACAGAAGATGGAGGATAGAGCAAACCGATCAACTACCCTGGCCAAGTGTTGGCAATGAACACCTGGGCAAACGGAGACTCTAAGGTGAACTATGTCAGCCAGTGGATTCTGGAGAGATTTTATCGTGCTTGGAATGGCGAGATTGGCACTTTCAGAACTGTTGAACTATCTAAACCTCTTGAGCAGGCCCCTCAGAGCATGCCCCACACGGGGGACCTTGGTGGTGGTGTCGGTGGCTGTCCTCTATTCCAGGGTACCGAGGTGTTTGGGAGGTTGGGTGTGGCTTCTCTCCTTGTCTCTCCTCTTCCCCCAGATACAGGAAGGAAAAAGAGAACATGGAAATGGTGATCTCACCCACTTTCCTGTATCCCTTGTCCCTGATCTGCCTAATCAACCGTGTAAAAATCATCAAAAATAAAAACAATTTTTAAAAAGGAAAGCTCTTTTGTGTTCATTAACTGCTGGAAGAGCATGAGAATCTGTGTGAAAATAACAAAAGTGTCATTAGTTTTATAGCCCTGCTTATATATAATTTTTTTTTGTTAGCAATAAATAGTTACATGGGCCAGTGTGAACCCTGCAGCACTTGCAGGTGCGGTAGGCCTTGAGGTGTGGGATTGGGTGCTGCCTTGAGATTTTGAGGGAGTCTCACTTGCAGGGCTGACAGTGAGTTAGCCTAGGCACGGGGCAGAGAGCAGGTTCTGCGAACGGAGAAAAGCACAGGACCTCACAGTTTTTTAAGATTTGTTTATTTGAAAGGCAGAGTGACTCAGTGAGAAAGGAAGAGACAGATTCCTTCAGGTGTGGGTTCATTCCTCAAACAGCTACAAGAACCAGGGCTGGGCCGGGCTGAAGCCAGGAGCCCAGAGCTCTTTCTAGGTTTCAGTTTTGAGTGGTAGGAACCTGGGTACTCAGGCCTTCTCCCACTGCTTTCCCAGGTGCGTTGGCAGGGATCTGGGTTGGAAGTAGAGCAGCCAGGACTTGAACCAGGATTCAGACTGGCATTCCAATATGATGGTGTAGGCAGTTACTTTACCTACTGGCCCACAATGCCAACCCCAAAGAGAGGCTTCAGGTGCTTGGTCTCTAAAATGCAAAGAACCCCGGAGTCAAATTCTCAGATTCAGACACTGGTTCTGTGACCTCAGGCTGCGTACCTGGCCTGCTTGTACAGAACAAGGAGCTTAATAACGAGTAGTTACTGTTAAGAAGGAATCATTAATTTCTACATACGAAATGCTTTGCAGGGTGCTGGGGAATCTAGTGCACACATTCAGTTTCCTAATCTGTTTGCCATTCCCAGCCGAGTAGGTAACACCTGCTCCAGGCCCCTCAGCCCTTGAGGCATGCAAGTGTTATTTTCAGAATGTAGAAATAATAGTCTTACCCACTTTCTCTGCTCCTTGAACCTTTGTGCCCTAAATAACCATGTAAAGATTGTCAAAAATAAAGAAAAAAGGGCCTGCTGCTATGGCCTAGTGGCTAAAGTCCTTGCCTTGCACACCCCACTTTCCCATATGGGTGCCAGTTCTAATCCTGGCAGCTCCACTTCCCATCCAGCTCCCTGCCTGTGACCTGGGAAAGCAGTCGAGGACGGCCCAAGGCCCTGGGATCCTGCACCCATGTGGGACACCTGAAGGAGGTTTCTGGCTTCTGGCTTCGTATTGACTCAGCTCCTAGCCATTGCAGCCACTTGGGGAGTGAGCCAGCAGATGGAAGATCTTTCTCACTGTTTTCCTTCTCTCTCTAAATCTGACTTTCCAATAAAAAATATTTTTTGTTACCCTTTATTATTACCGAAACAACATGCAGATTGTAGAAGATCAGGCAGGACTTGCTCCCAGGCATTGCTGTTTGGATGTGGGCGTCCCAAGGGCTGGATTAGAATGCTCTCCCTACTCTTACACTGCCTTAAAAAGAAGTTTCAAAACGCATGTAACTCATCTAATGCTTAAAAGAGATGTTTAAAAATTTTCTCCCTTTTTTTTTTTTTTTTTAAGATTTAGTCTTTTTTACTTAGATTTACAGAGAGAAGTTGGGCCCTAAATATAAATCTCTTTTCAAAATTGTTATAGTTAAGGATCTCAGGAGATCCTTTCTGATCTACTTTAATGCAGGCTGCTGTTCTCTGGGTCTGCCCTGCTGTGCGGGTACCATCTCAAAGAAATTCACTTGGGAGTTTGGGTTTTGTCTCTCTCTTTTTTTTAAAAGATTTATTTTATTTTTATTGCAAAGCCAGATATACAGAGAGGAGGAGCAAGAGAAAGGAAGATCTTCCAACTGATGGTTCACTCCCCAAGTGAGCGCAACGGGCCGATGCTATGCTGATCCGAAGCCAGGAGACTTCCGGGTCTCCCGCGCGGGTGCAGGGTCCCAAAGCCCTGGGCTGTCCTCAACTGTTTTCCCAGACCACAGGCAGGGAGCTGGATGGGAAGGGAGCTGCCGGGATTAGAACCGGCGACCGTATATGATCTTGGTGCATTCACAACAAGGACTTTAGCCGCTAGGCCACTGCGCCAGGCCCAAAAGGGAGTATTAAAGTTTGGGTTTTGGTGCACACGGTATCGGGCCCCGGGCTGCCACCGCCACCTCAGTCGCTGCTCCTGCCTCCGGCTCTGCCACCTGTGCCATCTCCTGTCATGGCCGAGGAGCTTTCCACGGCCGCATCTTATACCAAAGGTGATTTCTACTGTCCTGTCTGTCAGGAGGTGCTCAAAACACCGGCCCAGACCGCGGCCTGTCAGCACATTTTCTGTAGAAAATGTTTCCAGACTGCAATGAGAGAAGGTGGAATATGTTGTCCCCTGTGTTGTGGAAATGTGACTAGAAAAGAAAGAGCATGTCCCGAATGGGCCTTAGACCTTGAAAATATCATGAGGAAGTTTTCTGGTAGCTGCAGATGCTGTGCAAAACAGATTAAATTCTATCGCATGAGACATCATTATGAATCTTGCAAGAAGTATCAAGATGAATATGGTGTTTCTTCTATCATTCCAAACTTACAGATTTCCCAAGATTCAGGAGGGAACAGTAATAGGAGGGAAACATCTCCGTCAGACACCACAGAAACTTGCCAAGAGAATACAAGTGCTTCTGGACATCCCACCTTTAAGTGTCCCTGTGTCAAGAATCGTCTTAGCAGACAGCGTTTATTGGATCACGTAGCAGTAATTGCCTATTTCAGATAGTTCCTGTGACATGTCCTATTTGTGTGTCTCTTCCTTGCGGAGATCCTACGCAGATTACTAGAAATTTCTTCAGTCATCCTAATCGAAGGCATCAATTTGATTATGGAGAATTTGTGAATCTTCAGCTAGATGAGGAGACTCAATACCAAACTGCTGTTGAAGAATCTTTTCAAGTAAATATCTGATGACTCTAGAAATCTGCATCTGTGTACCTGCAAGTGCCATCTGCACAAGAAGTGGACACGGAGTCACCATGTTCAATAACTCGATGTGTGTATTAATAAAAGTAATCCAGTCTAAGAATAAATAGTTTGGTTTTTGACAACTTGGGGTACAAGCGAATGTCTTTGTCTTATTCTCTTGCAGTTGATGGGATTGTGGCTGAGTATTGACTTAAAAAGCTTTCCTGGCCCCTCCATGTGTGAGCTCACATGCATGTACACCCCCATATGCGCGCTCTCTCTCTCTCACACACACACACACACACACACACACACACACACACACACACGTGTGATGGCCCCACTTCCATTAGCTTCTGGCTTCCAGTGTGACTGCCGAATCAGTTTCATTTTTATTCTTATTTGTTTTATTTTTATTGAAAAGGCAGAGAGGAAGATATTCCACCTAATGATTCACTCCTCAAATATATTGGCCAGAGTTGAGTTGACCCGATCCAAAGCCAGGAGATTCCTCCAGGTCTCCTATGCTGGTGCAGGGTCCCAAGGTTTTGGGCCATCTTCGACTGCTTTCCCAGGCCACAAGTAGGGAGCTGGATGGAAAGTGGGGCTGCCAGCACACAAACCAGTGCCCTTATGGGATCCCAGCATGTGCAAGGAAAGCATTTTAGCCATTAGGCTCCTGCACTGGGCCCTACTTGTTTACTTAAAAGGCAGAATTAAAGAGAGAAAGAAAAAGAGATTTTCAATCCGCTGATTCATTCCCCCAATGGCTTTAAGAGACAGCTGGGACTAGGCAGTAGAAGCCAAGGGCCAGGAACGCCATCTGGGTCTCCCATGTGTCTGCAGGGACTCTAGTACTTGGGCCTTCTTCCACTGCTTTCCCAAGTGCATTAGCTGAGCGTTGGATCAGAAGTAGAGCAGCCAGGACTTGAGCCTATGCCCATATTAGATGCCAGCATCATGGTGGTGACTTAACCTGCTGTGCCAGGCTGGTTCCTGAATTATTCACTTACAAGGGATGAATTTTATAGTATGTGAGTCAGTTTGCACTAGAAGTGTCTTGAAACATCTCTCTACAGTTACCAGTCATCCGTGTAAAATTTTCTTCCGCCTGCATAGTCTGTCTTCTGCTTGCTTTTCTGTGTTTCATATGTAGACTTTGTTGAGGTGTTTAATGGTCCTGGACTGTCCACTCACTAAAAGATAAAGGACTAAAGGGCTTGCTGCCTGGTGGGTTGGACCTCACTGAGAGACATGCCAGCTAGGCCCTCTCACCACAGGCTCCTAGTGGCTGTGGCCATGGGCCTGTCCCCTTGGCTCAGGGCTTCTCCAGAGAAGACTGCCAGTCTTCTGCCTTCCTGCCTGCCCTTAGTGGGCCCTGCGGGACGTGGAACCTGAAACTCGCTAACAGGTAACCCGGAATCCTCACACCTGCTCCGCTAACTCTAATACCCTTTAGAGAGTCAGCCACCGTGCCTCTGCTAATATAAGGAAGGGGAATCTTTTCTCCCTTTCAGTGAAAATGTTTAGATGTAAAACAACTCCGATAAGAATAGGTTGAACTCTCATGGAGCTATTAATGACTTTGAATAAGTACTAATTCAAGGCCACTTTATCTGCTTTGCAGCTACTTTCTCCCTCTTCCCTACAAACTATTTTGAGGCAAATTTTGGCATCAAAGCATTTTATAAATATTTAATTATGTATTATTAACGTCAATACCTTTTTTTAAAAAAGGTATTATTTTTATTGGAAAGGCAGATTTACAGAGAGAAGGAGAGATAGAGAAAGGTCTTCCATCCTGGTTTGTTCCCCAAATGGCAAGAGCTGGACTGATCTGAAGCCAGAAGCCTCTTCTGTGTCTCCCACAGAGGTGCAGGAACCCAGGCTTTCAGCCTTCGACTGCTTTCCCAGGACACAAGCAGAGAGCTGGATGGGAAGTGAAGCAGCCAGGACACACACCAGTACCCATATGGGATGCTGGTGCCACAGAGTGGAGGATTAGCCTGTTGCCCCACCACACTTGCCCCAAATTAATACCTTTTTAAACACACACAGACACTATCATTGTGGCAAAGTAGGTTAAGCCACTTCCTGTTATGCCTGTGTTCTGTATCCAAGCACCTGTTCATGTTTCAGCTGCTTGACGTCCATCCAGCTTGCTGGTGATGTGCCTGGGGCCATACTAGAAGATGGCCCATGTGGGAGTCCAGAGTGGAACTCCTGGCTTCTGACTTTGGCTTGGTCTTGGAGAATGAGATCTCCCTCTGTCACTCTGCTTTCCAAGTGAGTAATGTAAGTTTCACACATACAAACACAATGATACTATCGCCCTTCCCCTCAAAAGTGAAAGGCGAGTGAGATTATGATTGAAGTACAAACAAGCCTGTGACAGATAAATCACCTTAGCTCTTGTGTCCATAGAGGAGTGCTTAATGAGCTACTCAGAGACAACTTTCTCATTCTTGTGTTTTTGTTTTATTTTTTTAAATTTTTATTTGAAAAGCAGTTACAAAGATAAAGAAATCTTCCTTCCTCTGGTTCACTCAAATGGCTGCAATGGCCAGAGCTAAGCCAATATGAAGCCAGGTACTAGGAGCTTCCTCAGGGTCTGCTACATGGAAATGGGGGCCCAAGGACTTGAGCCATCCTCCACTGCTTTTCCAGTCCATAAGCAGAGAGTGGGATCAAAAGTGGAGCAGCCAAAAGTTCACTAGCTCATACAAGGCCAAATGAAAGGCCAGACTATGCCAGGCACTGGCCTAAGACCCACTGGTATGTATGAAAACTGGGTGTGGGAGTGGGTCAAGTGGGGGAACTTGGGAAACTCCCCTAATGAGTCATAGCTCCCGCTGGTGATCACATGGTCCAGGCCTGGGGGTCGGACAAGATGGGCAAGGAAGCTCCATTGGCTGGCTAATGTATGGGTTGGTTATGGAAGGTGGTGGACTGGGCAGGGCCGAGCAAACCTTAGCTCACAAGCAAGAGTAGAGATCCAGATGGAGCACAGGTCATGCTGAGCTAGGTTCTTACACTTCCTGGTCTGCATGAGGCAGGATGCCAGGCCACAGCATCTAAGGCAAAGGCTGAGACAGGGGAGGGGTTATGCCCAGCTGGATCAAAGCAACCACTGGCATGTACACAGTCTATAGCTGGGAACAGGCCTGGTTGGGGAGTTAAGGGGACACCCTAGCTGGGTTAGGGTTCCCACTGGTGAGCACGGGGGCTGGAGTGGGGGCTGCTGGATATGGCTGCAGTTTCCCTTGGCACATGTGTGAACTGGGACTGGACACACCAAGCCAGGCTAAACTTCAGCACCATCTGAAGTTCAGGACCAGTGTAGATGTAGGACAAACTAGGCTAGGTCTCTTCCCCTACTGGGCCATGTGTGAGCTGTGTCTGGGTATGGATGAACCTTGGCTGGGCTGAAACATCCAAGTGTAAGAACCAGAATGGGTTGAAGGCCAGTCAGGAAAGGCCACTATTCCTACTAGGACAGGAGGTGAACTGAGTAGGGATGGCCCATGGATCTACCGGTATGTGCGAAATCTAGCATTGAGAGAGGTTCTGATGGAGGAGCCTGGGCAACTCCTCTGGCAGGACACAGTCCCTGCAGGTGAGCACAAGGAACACGATAAGGAGCAGCCCAGGCCAGGCCAGGGAAAGGTACCTAGTGGCTTACATTTGGCACAGGTCGGGGCCAGACCAGGCTGAACCAGTTCACATCACCTGCTGGCGAATCCAAGCATCAGAACAGTGAATCGGACCAAGATTGGTCGCAGCACATACCAGTACATATCACAGCTGGGATTGGGTACTTGCTGGGCTGGGGTAGATTGTAACCCTCACCAGCTGGAATTGGGGATGGGCCGGGCTAGGCCAGGCTAGGCCAGGCTAGGCTAGGCTACAACACCCATTGGCAGATGCCTAGGCAAGGCAGACCATACCAGACTGGGCCACAGTGCCCAACCAGCACACGTAGGAACCACGGAGGGTGGGAGTAAAGCTGGTAGGGGCAATGTGGAGGGCTCCCTCCTGGAACACCTTGCCCACTGGAGAGCATGAGCTGGGATGGGGGCAGACCAGGCAGGACTACAACACCTATAGGCCTCATGTGAGCCAGATGAGGAAAGTAACAGGCTCGGTTGACTGTCCCTACTGAGGCAAGCATAAATCAGATTGGGTGAGGGTTGATTGGGCTTTGCCGCAGCATCAGCTGACAGAGGCTGGCCTGAGGGCAAATTCTGACATGTTAAACTGCAGAACCACCTGGAGAGGGCATGATCCGGGAGTGGGCCCAGGAGGGAAATAGTGGGCACCTCCCTCTTAGGTTATCACTCCCACTGGAGAGCATGAAAACCAGGACTGGGGCAGACCTGGCTAGACAGAACGGCACCCACCAGCATGTGTGTGGACTGGATAGTTGAGCTTGTTAGATGGAACTAGGCTTCAATGCCCATTGACATGTATGAGAGCTGAATGGGATGTGGGACAGTCTGGATGAATCTGTGGTACACACAGGCAAGCACAGGAGCCAGGGCAGGGGGCGGGCCTGGTGGGGGTTATTGTGGGTCACTCTGACAATGCTGCAGCTCCCAGTGGTTTTTGTAAAGGCTGAGTGTGTGCTAGACAGAATCAGGCTGGACTGCAACACCCATTAGTTCGTGTGGAAGACAGGGCTGGAAACAGAACCGACCCAGCAATTGCAACCACCAGCTAATTGGGGGCAACAGACTGTGCTGGGCCCTGTACTGACAAGTACACACAAGAATCTGGCCTGGGATCGCCTCAGATACAGTTTCTTTGGGGATCTCCCCAATCGAACCGCTGGACTCAGAACCCCAACCATGAAGAGAAGTGCAGGTTCCATGGTCTGCCATGGAGTGCAAGTGTCAAAGCTGAGCCACCTCAGAGGCTCAGATGGAGCAGTGGACAGCATATCCAGAAGAAAGTGGAGGATTTGGCAGTACAGTGGAGCCTGCAGAGGACACCTGGTACCATAACAGAGGACGGAGGAGAGAACAAACCAATCAACTACCCCAGCCATGTGCTGGCAGTGAAAATCTGGGCAGTGGATTCTGCAGCAACTTCATCATGCTTGGAATGGCAAGATTGGCAGCAATTCAGAACTGTTGAATTATCAAAACCACTTGAGCAGGACTCTAGGAGCTTGCCCCCCATCGGGGACCTGGGATGGGTGGGAGAATGGGTGGGGCTTTCCCCTTTATCTCTTTTACCCCAGATACAGGGGGGGGAAAAGCAATAATGTGGAAACAATAGTCTTACCCACTTACCTGTAGCCCTTTGACCCTTTGTGCCCTAACCAACTGTGTAAAGATTTAAAAAACAAAAAACAAACCTGTTTGTTGCCTACAGGAGACATATCTCACCAACAAAAATCAGCTGAAACTATTTTAAAAAAAAAAAAAGGTGGAGCAGCCAGGACTTGAACTGGCATCCATAAGGGATGCCAGCACCAAAGTCTGGAGTTTTGCCTGTTAAACACCAGTGACAGCGTCTTGTTCTTCCTTTGTACTTGGTACTTTGCACCAAGTTGGAAGAGTTTTCAGTAGATGCTTCGTTCCGAAGTTATTCTGTGGAAGAAGGAATCGCTCTCTTGGAGGAGAGATGAGATGCTTGGGAGACAGTTCTCTGCTGATGTGCTTGGGAAAGCAGTGGAAGATGAACCAATGACTAAGGCTCCTACCATCCATGTGGGAACCAAGCACGGAGTTCCAGGCTCCTGGCTGAATCCTGCCTGGCATATTCCATGTGTTTGCAGCCATTTGGGGAGTGGACAAGCACATGGAGAATCTGTCTCTGGAAATCTGCCCTTCAAATAATTTTTTAAAAGGATTTTTGTATTTGTATTGAAAGTCAAATACAGAGAGGAGGAGAGACAGAGGAAGATCTTCTGTCCGATGATTCACTCCCCAAGTGACTGCAACAGTCAGAGCTGAGCCAGTCCAAAGCCAGGAGCTTCTTCTGGGTCTCCCACGCGGATGCAGGGTCCCAAGGCTTTGGGCCGTCCTTGACTGCTTTCCCAGGCCACAGGCAGGGAGCTGGATGGGAAGCAGGGCCACCAGCATTAGAACTGGCACCCATATGGGATCCCGGGCCATGTGCAAGGCAAGGACTTTAGCCACTGCGCTACTGTGCTGGGCCCACTTATGAATAAATTTTAAATTTCACACCAGGTCAATACCGTGGATTTACTTGTTTGGAGAGTGATAAATGAACTCTTTTTCCTGCAACCGGAAGAAATTTAAATCGCCAGGATCTTGAGAATTGCTGCAAAGACTTGGCACAGACCTGATTGTCATGTCTTATCTTGTAGGCCTTTGCCCAGTTTGATGCTGAGGGTGATGGTACAGTTGATGCTGAGAGCATGCTGGAAACCCTCAAGAATTCCAGCGGAGCCAATCTTCAGGGGGAGTTGAGTCATATCATCAGACAACTGCAAGCCTGCTCCCTCGTTCCAGGTGAGGCTCTCCCAGGGCTCCGTTAGAGCAGGAATGAGCTCAACTGTTGGATGGCTTGAAATTAGACAGGCTTGTGGGCACTGGGAAACAAACTTCCCCCAACAGTATTCACTGTTAGCATCTACTGTAGTTTCATTCCCCAGTGCAGTGATGATTGAGCTGTCCTTTGTCCCCATGCTGTGTCCCCTGGTGCGTCTCTTTATGTCCCTTTCCTGAGACCTTCCAGGAAGGTCGTCTCCGCACCTGCCTCTTCTTTGTGGCATGGTACCACTGAAATTCTTTAACTCATCAGTTCTGCAGTGCCTGTCTACACTCCTATGTTGTGAGCTCCGAGAGCAAGCACCTTCCCTCTTATTTCTGTTGTGGTTCCATGTTTAGCACAGGGTAACCACTTAGTGGGTTTGGGGGTTTGTTTTGGTTTTTAGAAAGTTATTGTTCAGATCTTTAAGAATAAAATGGCTTAAAGTTTAGCAGTGTTTGTACATTGCATCTGTGTAAAAAATATGTATTTATTTAAAAAGCAGAGTGATAAGGGAGGGAGGGATAGAGAGAGACAGATAGACAGACAGAAAGAAAGAAAGAAAGAAAGAAAGAAAGAAAGAAAGAAAGAAAGAAAGAAAGAAAGAAAGATCGATCTTCGATCATCCCTGCCTAAATAGGGCTGTTCCAGCGTGAGGCCAGGAGCTGGGAACTCCATCCTGGTCTCCCCGGCAGGTGGCAGGGGCCCAAGCACTTGGGCAGATCATCTGCTAACCTCCCTGACCCATTATCAGGAAGCTGGAATATTTTCTTCTTGTGAGAAAAATTTGAGGTTAAGTGGAAAGTTTGTGTATTTGTCTTGTCTAACGACTGTCCCTACTGTGTGCGCTTGGTGTCCTCATTGTCATAACTGGGGTAGCAGTGTGTGCAGGCGAAGCAGATGTGATGGACACAGATGTGGGTCTGATCACGCTTCGCCCCTCTGGCTTACTCCTGCTAGAGTTAGGCAATGATGTTTGGGTTTTTTGTTTGTTTTTGTTTTGTTTGTATCAAGTCAGTCACAGAGAAAGGAAGACAAAGAGCTTTTATTTTCCGGTTTACTCCCTAACTGTTTTCCACTGTGCATGGACTAGGATGAAACCAGGAGCCTGGCATTCAGTCTGAGTCTCCCAGATGGGTGGCAGGGCCCAGATACTTGAGCTGTCATCACTTGCTGCCTGCCAGTGTGCACATTAGCAGGACGTTGAACTAAGAAGTAGAAACAAAGGTCCAGCGTGGTAGCCTAGTACTGGAATCCTATCCACTGGGATCCTGTATGGGTACCAGTTTGTATCTTGGCTGCTCCACTTCCCATCCAGCTTCCTGCTTGTGGCCTGGGAATGTAGTTGAGGATGGCCCAAAGCCTTGGGACCCAGCAGCTGCATGGGAGATCCAGGAGAGGCTCCTGCCTCCTGGCTTTAGATTGGCCTAACTCTGACCGTTACAGCCACTTGGGAAGTAAATCAACATAGAGAAGATCTTCCTCTCTGTCTCTCCTCTCTGTATATCCGCCTTTCCAATAAAAAAAATAATAAAAATAAATCTTTAAAAAAAAATATTAGAGACAGGCTTGAACTCACATGCTCCAATATGGCTTGCAGGTTTCAGCAAACATCTGCCCCTCGTTTCTATACCTTAAGAGCAATGTGTATTTTTATTTTTTTCTGAAACTGCTTATGTAATTTTTATAGAACAGTATAGTCTTTACATAATAGCTTTTCCCTAGTTATGTGGTGGTTAAAATTCTACTTTAAAGGAGCTGGTGTGGTAATCCAGTAGGCTAATGCTCCATCTTGCAGAACTGGCGTTCCATATGGCACTGGTTCATGTCCCAGCTCCTTCACTTATGATTTAACTCCCTGCTTGTGGCCTGGGAAAGCAGCAGAGTGTGGCTCAAGTCTTTGGAACTGTGTATCTGTGTGGGAGACCTGGCAGAAGCTCCTGGCTCCTGGCTTCTGATGAGCTCAGCTCCAGTGTTGTGGCCATTTGGGGAGTAAACTAGCAAGTAGAAGATCTTTGTCTCTCCTCTCTGTGGAGATATGTTTCTAATAAAAATAGATCAGTCTTTAAAAAAAAAAAAACAGCTGCTTTTCAGTTCTGTTGTAACCACTATAGATCTTTGCATTTGCCTGTTAGTCTTTCTTTCATTAGCAGCATGTTAACAGCATCAAGGCTTTATTGGGATATCTTAGAGACATTTTCCGAAAGAGCCAAAAGGAGTGGAGACCACAGAACTTAGCAACAATTCGTACCTGGTGTATGTTGTACTGGGTAATTGTGGGAAGAGGGAAGATTAGGTTGAGAAAGATCAAGGCCTAGTTCTCTCTTTCTCTTTTTTTTTTTTAAGATTTATTTTTAATTTTTATTGGAAAGTCAGACATATAGAGAGAGGAAGATCTTTTGATTGTTTTTTTTTAAAGATTTATTTTATTTTTATTGGAAAGGCGGATATATAGAGAGGAGAGACAGAGAGGAAGATCTTCTATCCGATGATTCACTCCCCAAGTGAGCGCAACGGCCGATGCTATGCCAATCCGAAGCCAGGATCCAGGAACCTCTTCTGGATATCCCACACGGGTGCAGGGCCCCAAAGCTTTGGGCCATCCTTGACTGCTTTCCCAGGTCACAAGTCAAGAACTGGATGGGAAGCAGGGCAGCTGGGATTACAACCAGTACCCATATGGGATCCATGTGCATGCAAGGTGAGGACTTTGGCTACTAGGGTACTGTGCCAGGCTCCCAAAGGTTCTTTCATTCAGAACTTCCTGCTCAGACTCCTTCTCTTTATTTATTTTTTAAGATTTATTTATTTTCATTGGAAAGGTAGATTCTCGAATAGGAACATCTTCCATCCACTGGTTCACTGCTGAAATGGCTGTAACAGTTGCAGCTAAGCTTAGCTGATTCAAAGCCTGGAGCCTGGAGCTTCCTCCAGGTCTTCCATGTTGGTGCAGGGACCCAAGGCCTCAGCCATCCTCTGCTGACTTCCCAGGCCATAAGCCGAGAGCTGGACCGGAAGTGGAGCAGCCAGGATACAAACCAGCACCTGTATGAAATGCTGCTGGAGGTGGAGAATTAGCTAGCTAAACCATTATGCCCTCCCCCCCCAAACTTCTTTCTTACCAGCCAGTTGGAGATACATGTATTATCAAAGTAACAGGATGAACTGACACCCCCTCAGGTTAGCTTCATGGTGGAATTTTGGTTTTCTAGCATTCCTCTCCATTCTTACACTAGCATGGATTCTTTCTATGTCTTAGTGTTTTGGTGCTGAAGTATCTAGAAAAGAGAGCATCTTCACTGTTTGCACTCATTTATTATGCAAATATTTATTTGCTAAATATTTCAGCTTATGGAAACTCTTTTCCAATTAGTAAAATCTACCCCCCCTTTTTTTTTTGTTTAAGAGACAGAGGTTTGGACTCGGCGCAGTGGCCTAGCAGCTAAAGTCCTCGCCTTGGGTGTGTTGGGATCCAATATGGACACCGGTTCTAATCCCAGCAGCTCCACTTCCTTTCTAGCTCCCTGCTTGTGGCCTTGGAAAGCAGTCAACAATGACCCAAAGCCTTGGGTTCCTGCACCCATGTGGGAGACCCGAAAGAAGCTCCTGGCTCCTGGCTTTGGATCGGTGCAACATAGGCCATTTCAGTCACTTGGGGAGTGAATCATCAGATGGAAGACCTTCCTCTCAGTCGTCTCTCCTCTCTGTTTATCTGGCTTTGCAATAAAAAATAAATCTTTTTAAAAAATAAAGAGACTGAGGGTTCGACAAACAGAGATTTCCCATCCTGGTCCATTCCCCAAATGCCTGCATTCCTCGGGCTGAGTCAGGCTGAGGTAAGGAGTCAGATACAGTCCAGTTTTCTTACATAACTAGTATTGAAAGTAAAGAGACTGGCTCTGAGGCATAGCAAGTAAAGCTGCTGCCTATGGTATTGGTATCCAGTGTACAGGCCAGTTTGACTCACAGCTGCTCCAATTCCAATCCAGCTACCTGCTAATACACTTGAATAAAGCAGCAGAGAATGGGCAAAGTCCATGAACCCCTGGATCCATGTGGGAGACTGGAAAGAAACTGCTGACTCTTGGATTCAGACTGACCTAGCTCCAGCTGTTATGAATGAATCTCTGTGTGTGTATCTGTAACCCTGCCTTTCAAATAAATAAATCTTTTTTAAAAAGTATGTGTGGTGGGGGGCAGGGAGCTGTTCTCAGTCTTGTTCTTTTCTTGTTGAGATCTTGGTGTGTCACCTGAACCTCGCCTTCCATTTCCACACACTCCTTGGAGAGGATCAGATGAAATGATGTGCGTGGAAACACATTACAAATTCTAAAATGCTGTCAGGAATTGTGATGGTGCCATCATCTCGTTGTCTTATACAGCTTATTGTAAAAGCAGTTATGTATTGAATTTTTTTTTACAATATTCATTTATTTTTATTGGAAAGTCAGATACACATAGAAGAGGAGAGACAGAGAGAATGTTGTTCTGTCTGATGATTCACTCCCCAAGTGACCGCAATGGCCGGTGCTGTGCCGATCCGAAGCCAGGAGCCAGGAACTTCTTTCTGGTCTCCCATGCGGGTGCAGGGTCCCAAGACTTTGGAGCATCCTTGACTGCTTTTCCAGGCCACAAGTTGGGAGTTGGATGGGAAATAGGGCAGCCAGGATTAGAACCAGCGGCCGTATGGGATCGCAGTGTGTGCAAGGCGAGGACTGGCCAGTAGGCTACCATCGTGCCAGACTCCCCGATTGTTTTAATTTTAGCTCATTTAGATAGCCTCCCAGGCAGAGGAAATGGGAGCCATTGTGGTGTCTTCTTTAAAGCCATCAAAATGTCTGATGTCTGTTTAGGTTTCACAGATATATTTTCGGAGTCAAAGGAAAGCCTTGACCTTCATGCGTCGATGATCCTGCGCTTCCTGCACCGCAACCGCATCTGCAGCACAGTGATCCCATACCCGCTGTTGGAACACTGCAACAACGTGTGCGCCATGCGATCCTCCGTCCTGAGGGAGTCCCTGGAGCAGCTGGTGCAAAAAGAGAAGGGTGCGTGTGTGTGTTGGGCAGGGGGCCTCCTAAAAATACTGTCATCATACCTTCTAAAAGTAGTGTTTGCTAGGATGAACCAATGCTTACCTTAAATTCTGGAGACATGATAATGGCCAGTTTGTGGTGTAAGAATATGATCTATCTTGCATCCATTCTCCCTCCCACCTTCTCTCCTTCCCCTTTCTAACACAGCTGGTTCCTTATCACTGGGTTTGTTACTCACACGCCTCTTCAGCGAAGTCTTTTCTTGTTCTCAATAATCACCTTGCTTTATTTCTCTGGTCACGGCCACCTTTGAAGGTTTAATGGTCTCACTAACATCTACCATCTGCAGTTGTAGCATTATGTATTTGCTTGTCCCATAGTAGGTAGGGAGTGTTTATTGAGTAACTGAGGAAAGCTGCTGAAGATTCAGTAATGGCAAAAGTGTGAGCTGCACATACAGGCCTGTGGAATACCATGGAGTCGGAATAGGCCCCAAAACACGTGGGGAGATAACAACAGGTAATGTTAGCTCTGCAGTTCAGGGTGGGAAGGTGAACTGTCACCAGATGGGGCTGGGACAGCCAGGCTGCCATTTGGAGCAAAGACTTCAACCAAAAACAAATTGGTAAGAGTATTAAAAGGCAGTATAAAATGTATAGCAGCCTCTCTAGTAATGAAACACAATATCTACAAAAGATTAATAAATTAGACTATATTAATACTCAGCATCTTCACAACAAAAAGTGCAAACAATGAAAAACAAATGACATTTTAGGGAATATAAATGTACTTTGTAACATGTTAATTACCCAGTTGACTACATTTTTGGTAATTTACAGGTGCAATTTTAGCACTGATGTTTTGTTCCTTAGTTTCTTCATCTCCAAAATGAATTAATACATGGTAATGTATAGAAAAAATGCCAGACTCACACTGAAACTCAAGTACTTGCTAGTTATTATATGTACTCAAATAAGCACGTTATATAATGTAGGGGAAATATGTGAATTAATACTGGGTCCTGACGGATGTGGAAGAGGTTGAACTAGAAACACCTATGGCTTGAAAAGCCTCATTCATCATTAAAGACACACATTGACAACCATGGTGTCATTGTCTTCCCTTGGCGTAGCTTTGTCAGTGACTTTTTTTTTTAAAGATTTATTTATTTATTGGAAAGTCAGATATACAGAGAGGAGGAGAGACAGAGAGGAAGATCTTCTGTCCGATGATTCACTCCCCAAGTGAGCGCAACGGCCGATGCTATGCCAATCCGAAGCCAGGATCCAGGAACCTCTTCTGGATATCCCACATGGGTGCAGGGTTCCAAAGCTTTGGGCCATCCTTGACTGCCTTTCCAGGCCACAAGCAGGGAGCTGGATGGGAAGTGGAGCTGCCAGGATTAGAACCAGCGCCCATATGGGATCCCGGGGCTTTCAAGGCGAGAACTTTAGCCGCTAGGCCACACCACCGGGCCCTGTCAGTGACTTTTGTGTTGCCCTGTGAGGAGGAGCCAGGGCAGTACCTGGCCAGTGGGCTCCCTGGAAGGAAATGTTAGAGAGCATCACTCTTGCTGGTGCTAAGTGTTTCTGTTCGGTATTTTGTTTTATTTATTTTTGAAATCCAATCTTATTTATTCATTATTTTTAAACCGTAGTTTTGACTAGACTCTGACTTAGAAGTGGATGCTCCCAGGGAAGACAGCCTGCGTCTCTTGGTGATCTGCTCCTGGTATTTTTCTTTGGCCTCCTTCATTCTCTTGGCCAGAAGTTTCGCATATTCTGCAGCCTCCTCCTTATTTTTAGTCTGCTGTTTCTTCAGAGCAGTGCGCCAGCGTTTGTGCTGGAGGACTCGTGGTGTAGCAAGACGCTGAATCTTGGGTGCTTTGGTCTTAGGTTTCTTACCTTCTTTGTTTAGGGGCTTTCTCACAACATACTGGTGCACGTCATCTTCTTTTGAGAGATTGAAAAGTTCGCGGATTCTGCTTGCTCTTTAGGTCCCAGGCGATGAGGCACCGTGGTGTCAGCCAATCCCGGAATATCTTTCTCTCCTTTTTTTACTATAACCAAGTTGAGAACACTTAAGTTGGCATCAACAATGCACCCCGCACTGATTTGCGTTTTCTTTCCCCAGTTCTCCTGGGTCTGTAACAGGAGTGCCCCTTGCTCAGTAGCAAACGAACCCGGCCATGAGTCAGGACACCTTGTTTCATGGGGAAGCCTTGTTTGTCATTTCCACCACTGATCTGGACCACATAGCCCTTCCACTCCTCGCCCAGAGCATCGGCAGCTACTTCAGTTGCCATGCACTTCTCATAGAAAGTTCGAAGTTTACGCTCACTGTCCACTTCGATGAGCTTTTGGCAGCCAGTGGCTGGGAAGGAGATAATTCAGCTTCATCTTGAAGCTGCTGATCCCCCGTGAGGCGCCACGGCAAAGAGTTGTTTGGTATTTTAAATGACCTTTTTTTCCCCTCCTTATGGAAGATATCATAAGATAGACTATTTCTTTTGATTGCAGAAAGCCCTGGAGATTTAACAAGAAGCCCAGAGATGGATAAACTTAAGTCAGTTACCAAGTGCTATGCATATATAGAGACGTCTTCCAACCCCGCGGACATTGACAAGATGACAAATGGAGAGACATCCTCCTACTGGCAGTCAGATGGCAGTGCCCGCTCACACTGGATTCGGTGGGTACTATACTCTTTGTTTTATGAAGTTTTCAATATTTTCTACTGAATCACCTTGTTATTTCTGATCTACTTTAAGAACTGTGCTGAAGGAACCATGTAAAATTAGGTAACCTGGTTCCTGTGTTCATAAACATGAATCGTCACTTACTCTTTTGAAGGAGGAAATAGTATTTGACTATTTTGTGGTAGTGATTTCAGATTTTTTCTGCTAGTTTCTCGAAATGAGCAAAGGTCCCTTCTTGAGTATAGCAATTAAGATGGCGCTGAGGACGGCTGCACCTCCACATCGAAGACCTGGCTTCACTGGCTGTCTCCAACTCTTGACTCCAGCTTCTTGTTACCGTAGACCCTTGGAAGGTAGTGTTGATGGTTCAAGTAATTCAGTTCTGCCACCTCCAGGGAGAGCATGGATTGGCCCAGTCCTAGCCATTGGGAACATTGGGGAGTGAAGCAGCAGATGGGAATGCTTGCCCACTCACTGTTTTTCCCTCTAAAATAAAATAGAAACATTTTTTAAAGATTTATTTATTTATTTGAGAGGCAGAGCTAAAAAGAGCTCTTTCACCCATTGTTTCCCCAAGTAGCCATGACAGCTGGAGCTGCGCCAGTCCAAAACCAGCAGCCAGGAATTTCTTCTGGGTTTTCACATGTTATGCCAGGGCCCAAGTGCTAGGGCCATCGTGCAGCTTTCCCAGACATGTTAGCTGGGAGCTGAATGGGAAGCGGAACAGCCAGGACTCGAACTGGTGCCCATATGGGATGCTGGCACTGCAGATGGGGGTTTTTCTCACTGCATAACACTGCTGTCCCCAAGGAAATATACTGTGAAAAAATCCACTGCACGCAGCTGAGTTGTTAAAAGAAGGAGTCTTTACATACAAGAAGACTCATAATGTTCAAGAAAAGTACAAGTTTATGAAAATATAATGTATGTATTTCAAAACATTTTACCCCAAAATCTACTTGTCTTTTATTTTTATTTTCCATGAACATTTTGAAGTATCATGTACTCAGTTCAAGGGTAGCTTAACATCTGCTTCTTGCTAGAATAGAATATTTTGTTAGCGTATTTGTCTTGTCCGTTCCTGCCTATATTAATATCTTGTGAGGAAATACAAAATTAGTCTTGAGCGGAAAGATTTCTAGAGTTTTGGGAAGATCATAAGGACTTTGAAATTTATAACCAGCATGTGAAAGTAATTCCTGGTAGGAAAATCAATCTATATGTTTATTATAAGATCATTGAGCTAGGACTTATAGACCCCATCAGTTCTTTTGTTTTATTTTTATTTATTTATTTGAATAGCAATTATACTCAAAGATCAAGATGTAGAGAAAGAAATATTGTCTTTCAACTAGCTCACTCCCCATATGGCCACAGCAGCCAGAACTGGGGCTGATCTGAAGCCAGGAGCTTCTTCCAGGTCTCACACTTGGGTACAGGGACACAGTTACTTGGGCCATCTTCTGCTGCTTTCTCAGGCACGTTAGCTGGAAGCTGGATTAGAAGTGGAGCAGCTAGGGCTCAGATGCCCATATGGCACCTGCTGTGCCAGTGCTAGTCCCATTGCCAGTTTTTGATCCATTTAAGCATTTATAGATTCTATTTTCTGTTTACGAACTGTGCCACAATGCCTAGTACCCCCTGCAGTTCTTGACCCATACTAACATATTCCGTTTTTGGTGTTTTCCAGCTTGAAAATGAAGCCAGATGTTGTGCTGAGGCACCTGTCCATTGCAGTGGCTGCCACTGACCAGAGCTACATGCCACAGCAGGTGACAGTAGCTGTGGGGAGGGGTCCCAATGACCTTCAGGAAGTCCGAGATGTGCATATCCCCAGCAATGTGACTGGCTACGTGACACTGCTGGAAAATGCCAACATCAGCCAGCTCTGTGAGTTGCACACAGCAGGGGCATGGCCCAGGGAAGGGATGAGGGCCTAGGAATGGAGAAGTTCATTTTCTCTTGCAATTTCATTTGCTTCTCATTGTGCACATAAAAATGGTCATTATTTTGTTTCTTGTGTATTTTTAGAAATCATGGTAATGCATATTTTTTTAGTTATAAGTATTTTATTCCTGTTATTGGAAAATTAGAAAAGTATAGATGACAAAAGTACTGTAAGTCCTTCTACCTCAGAGATTGTCATTGTCACTGTATTGGTGTGGGTCCTTCCAGGCCTTCCCCTGTGTTTGTGTATTTACGTGTGTACATAACCACACGTGCATTTTTTTTTCTACAAAAATAGCTCTGTGTGTGTATTTATGTACATTGATCTTTGCGTATTTTTATGAAAATAATGTTCTGTATATGTTCTTTTGTAATGTTTTTTAATATGTTCTCATATCATATTCATGAACACCTTTACTTAGTATTGTAATACAGTGCCTTGATTTAACCCGCCTTTTATTGTTGGACATTTAGATTGTTTCCAGTTTTATATTATTTTAACCTTGCTTCACACCTAGCATTTTGGAAATAATCACAACTCTGTGATTTCTTTCCAGGCTTATTTCATTCAGAGAGCCGGAATGCTTCATGTTTTGTCTCATTTCTTCTAATGCTTTCCTGGGCCAAAAAGACGTGTTTTTTGCTCAAAGGAACTGAGGCCTAGGGAGGTAGAGTCTTTGTGTCTCACCCCTAGGCAAAGAAGTAGTTAAGTTTGTGGAATAGAAGCTTCCTGTCTTACATTGTGGTGATCTTTTCTCCAAGTTGTGTCCTTTTTAACTTGTCGTCTCCTCCTCTCTACTAAAATAAGAAATTGTGACAACTCCTAAAAGTGAGTCATGTCTGTGGCACCTATTTGGATTTGATTGTGAGCAAAGAAATTGTCACAGCTGCTTGTGAACCGGCTACTGCTGTGCAGCTCAATTAAAACTGCAGAGCTATAGGAACACTTCTAGAAAATTTTCTTGCCTTGTATTCGAGATTTTTAAAATGTTCTTTATGTGATATCCAAGACTCATAAATTCCTAAGAGCTTTTGTGATGTAAAGATTTAAACCAACCTTAACTTATAATATTATTCCTATAATCCCTTAGATTTGTCAGTGCTTTGGGGACAAATTTATCATATACTTGTTCTGTCACACACATTTATTTCTGACATCAAAGTATGCCTTCAGAATTTTCTTCAGAATGTCAATTACTGTTTTGTTTTTGGTCGGGAACCTAACATTGACTGACAGTTCTAAATTTGTTGTTTGTGTTTGACAGATGTCCAGATTAACATAAAACGTTGTCTTAGTGATGGCTGTGACACCAGAATCCACGGTCTCAGGGCTGTTGGCTTTCAGAAAGTGAAGAAGTCTGGAGTGTCAGTCTCAGACGCTTCTGCAATATGGTATTGGTCACTGCTCACGTCTCTGGTGACAGCATCCATGGAGACAAATCCCGCATTTGTCCAGACAGTACTGCAGAACACACAGTAAGTCACCCTGCTTTTCAACCCCACCAAGGGCCACTCGCTTGCACCTCTATCTCCCTTTAGGGAGTGTCGGTCAGCTACCTTCATCCTCTGGGCTCAATCAACAGCTCAGTCCCACGGTTTTCAGTTTGTGCCTGTCAGCTGCCTGCTGCTGCTTTCTTTGGCTAATGTCCTGACTTCCCAGACTTGGAAGAAGCACATTTTTCCCCTTGTTGTTCCTTGCAGTTCCCCATGTCCTTCATCAGCATTCTGAGTGCACATTCTTATGAGACGGTCACTGGTGCTGTGGTCACATTTATATGGTACTTAATATTAAACCCTTTCAATTGCTCCCTGTTAATTTACCTGCCAATGAAGAAATGTACATGTAAAAATTATCCCTGTTTTGTAACTTTTGTTGAGAACACGTGTCCAAATGGTGATGAATTGATTTGAATCTGTGTCTTTGGACTCAGGTTGAGTTGTTTTCACTAATGAGTACATATTTAAGAAAGCTGAACTACTTTATTTGGAGATGTAGAGTACCTTGACGTAAAAAACCATTAGGGGGCCTGGTGCGGTTGCCTAGTAATTGAAGTCCTTGCCTTGCACATGCTGGGATCCCATATGAGTGCTGGTTCTAATCCTGGCAGCTCCACTTCCCATCCAGCTCCTGCTTGTGGCCTGGGAAAGTAGTCGAGGACGGCCCAAAGCTTTGGGACCCTGCACCCATGTGGGAGACTCAAAGGAAGCTCCTGGCTCTTATCTCATTTCTTCTAATGCTTTCCTGGGCCAAAAAGACATATTTTTTACTCAAAGGAACTGAGGCTGTTCAGCTCAACTTCGGCTGTTCAGGCTACTTAGGGAGTGAACTAGCAGATGGAAGATCTTTCTCTGTCTCTACTTTTCTCTGTAAATCGGACTTAAAAACAACAACAAAAAAGACACTACATCCTACATCAAAAGCCTGGATTCAACCTGAACTCAGCTTCCCAGTAATGCCATTGCACCCACTTGGGGAGTGAATTATCAGAAGGAAGATCTTTCTTTTGTCTCTCCTCCTCTCTGTATATCTGACTTTCCAATAAAAAAATAAGTAAATCTTTAAAAAAAAAAAAAAACCTGTTAGAGCAAAAGGTTCAAGTGTAACATGTAAGGCAAAGAGCACTGGTGTCAGCAGCAGTGTTAGTGTTGTGAGTTCAGTTATTTTTACTCACAGGCATTTTAATTTTGGTTTCAAAGTATTATCTAGAAGAAGTTGCTAGCACTTTGTTTTCTAGACTTCCTTTTCCTCTTTAAATGTTTACTTATTTGAAAGGCAGAGTAACAGAAAAAGGTCTTCCATCTTCCAGTTCACTCCTCAAATACCTGCAACAACTAGGGCTGGGCCAGTCTAAAACCAGGAACCTGGAACCCCATCCAGGAGGGTGGCAGGGCCCCAAGCAGTTGGATCATCTTTCCCTCCCTTCCCAGGCGTGATAGTAGGGAGCTGGATTGAAAGCAGAGCCATTGGGACTTAAACCCAGGGAATACCGGAATGCTGGTGTCTTGATGGTGACTTTGCCTGTTGTGCCACAATCTTATCCCAAGAATACATACATTTTAAAGTTCATGTGCCTACTCAGTTGTATAGTTCTCATGCAATGGTATTTTCATGCACTCCTGAATGCTAAAAACCAATGATTAATACTGTTCTACAATTGAAGAACAGTTTTTGAAAAAGGACAGTAAAAGCAGAAAAGTAGGAAAAGAATAATTTGGGATGTATTCTTTAAGTGTTTGCTTGAGTTAGTAAAAATATATTCCACAGACGATTGCAGCTGCCCACACTACTTGTTGATGCACTACGTCTGAGGGGAGCTGTCAGCGCTGGTGTAGCCCACAAATGACTGTTGTGTTGATGGAAAAAGAAATTGGAGCAGAGTGAAAGCTGACCTTACGTTAGCGTATCTGTGTTGTCTCTACTTTGATGTGTTGAAACTAAAATGTTCCTAGGCTTTTTCCTTACTGTTAGCATGAAATAGCTATCAGTTGTACAATTTTTTGTTATTTCTTACATATATTCATGCCATATGTTCAAAATGTTCATGTTATCTGCCTCTGCACAGTCTGGCACGTTCATCGTTATTGTGTAAGTTTGTTAGGTGACTGCTAGGTCAGAGACAAGCTGTTAGGGAGTTCAAAAAGGTACATGTAAGAGGAAACAACAGGATAGACATGAGGATGAAGACAAGAAACATGACTCAGGAGATGAACAGTGTACTCTTCAGGGGAAGTGAAATTCATGACACATTTTCAGATCCACCTAGGAGCGCGTGAATAGTGGCTGACAGCCAGGGCACAGGAAGTCCAGGGTCTTCTGTGGCGCATGTTCTTTGCTCACACTTTGTAAAGGGAATGTTGGATTCCACAGAGTTAAATAAGTTTTGCTGAGGAAAATGAAAGTCCTGAAGAAAAGGAGTGAAATAACCCAATTAAACTACTGAGCAGTGTGTCTCCTGGGGATAAGCCTAGTTTATTATGTTGGGTACCAGATTCTCTGTAGACATTCTATCTATGGACAAAGGTTGATAAGCAAGCTCTTGCTGGTTTAGTGTGTGTGTCTCATTTTATGCCTGGCCATGGCTGAATTCCTACTTTGCCTCCTAGGAAGGCCCTGCAGCACATGCCACCACTTTCCCTCTCACCGGGATCTACAGATTTCTCAACTTTCCTCTCTCCCAATGTTCTGGAAGAAGTGGACAGTTTCCTCCTAAGGATAACTAGGTACAATCAAGGTTGGGAAGTGAATTCTTGCTGGAATAACGGCATATCTGCTTGTTAATTATTTTTAAAATATTTTAAGCTTTTAAAGATCACTAAAAATGACTCATTTTTAATAACTAAAAAGAGTGAAATGGTGGTTCACCCATTTTAGTGATATGTCCTGACATGAAGAACTGGGGCAGGGGTGGGGACATGGAGGTGGCTAATCCTGAGTCAACCAAATACAGCTACAACCAAATACAACCAAATACAGAAGCAAATACAGAAGTACTCTGCTCGCTGTGATCCCCACCTGAGGCCCCTCACTCTGAGCCTGCCCACTTTTCTCCCTGAACCTGATTCTCTATAGAACTGGAAAGGAGCACATTGGAAATTTGCTAGAAGGGATCACATGGTGAGATGACCTCGGGCAGTTCTCAGCTCATCCCTGTATTAGAGATCACCCTGATCCCTGAATCATGGGAATGGTTTAAGGTTTCAGTGTAATGTGTTTAAGAAGCCCAAGAAGTGTGAAGTGAAGTAATGTCAACCTTTTGGTACTTCAAAGAATAAACTCTTAACTCTGATCTGCACAGTTCCTCACCCACTCAGCTCCTTAACCACACAGCCTTGTCACAACAGTGCCTTTATTTTGGTGTTACAGTGCTAATCAATCACAGTTATGGAAGTAGCTGTGGTTGATAACTTCCTGGTCCTCTGGGTTGATTTAGTTTTTCCTTAGGTAATTTTAAAGAGTTTGAAAAATTATTTCTTATAAACATACAAAAAGCGTATGATAGGCCAATTTTACTTACTGTGACCAGTTATATGGGGATTTGTGCTACCTGGATTTTCTCATGTTTTTTAAGAAATAGAGTTTTTTGTTCTCTGTTTTTAGCTGCTGTTCTACACCAGAGGTAGAACTCACCCTTCTGGCTTTTGCGCTAGCAAGAGGAAGTATTGCCAAAGTGATGAGCTCTCTGTGCACCATCACTGACCACCTGGACACACAGTACGACGCCTCTTCCCTCATCTCATCCATGGCATCAGTGAGGCAGAACCTGCTCCTCAAATATGGTAAATGACCTGGGCATGCTGGAAGGGCCAGCACTGGACACATCCTCACCATGGGACCTCCTGACATCTTCTAGTATTTTGGGGTAGTTAGTGGTCTGCTTTGTTGTAGTTGTTCCATGATTCCTGAATGAACTTATCCTTTGAGGATGAGACCTTGGGCTTGGGAGGAAGAAAAAGGAGATTGGTTTATTTGTGACAGAAAGGGACCCTGAATGTCCCTGGGCTGGACTCCCAGAGATTTCCTGTCATAATCACGTAACATTTGGTGACTGCTTGAGCACATCTTTGGGATCTAGCAATGTTTATATGGAATGCAAGTGTCCACCACTCAGTCTGACACCCATGAATGGGCAGACTTAGAGTTAGCCACCTGGGTGGTCACACACACTCTAGCTGGTTTTTGTTTCTTTCAGAGTGCTGGCTTCAGGCTTGCTCTCTTTTCTTTGTCAGGTAAACCTCTCCAGTTGACTCTTCAGGCCTGTGATGTCAAAGGGAAGGAAGATAAGTCAGGCCCTGAAAACCTTCTTGTGGAACCATGGACAAGGGACGGTGAGTGGTGGCCTGCCTGTGTCTCTTAGATGACAGCTGTGTGCAGTTATAGTCTCATCTCTGTGTGTATCTCATTTTTTTTTTTTTGGTTGTTGTTTTGTCTTGCTTTCTTTGAAGATAGAAACAAAAATTTATCCCCCATTTCCCTCCCCAAATGCCCACCTACTGAAACCAGGAGCCCAAAGCTCCAGCCTACTTCCCACATGGGTACAAACACCCAAGTACTTGAACCATCAACAGCTGCCTCCCTGAGTGTTTATCAGCAGGGCAGTAGTGGAGCCAGGACTTGAACCCAGATACTCATGTCTATGACGTGTGAGCATTCTAAGTAGCGATATAACTGCTACGTCAAACACCCACGCCACTTTCCAACCTTTTTGACCTTCTTGAGGTGTGCAGTCTTCATATTAGATTGCTTTTTCAGTTGGTTGTGGCTTCTGAATAGTTTGTGTGTCTAGGTGTTGATGACCAGTCATAACTCTGGAACAGGGGGCCAGAAGTATCTTCAAAATTGACATTCTCAAGAGTAAGGACTCTTCTCCTTGAACATAAAAAGTTGCTGTTTTTGAGTTTATCTTTATTGCGTTATTTTGAAGTATTAAGAAACTCAGTGAATCAGTGGCACTGAGTGGTGGATATGTGGTTTAGGAGGAAGGTCGCTCTGAGGTGGCCGATCAGCGTTGGGTGGATAATGGCCTGTTCCCTGGTGATGTGCAGTCCTGGCTGGTGCACTCCTCAGCTGGGCTGGAAGCTCTCTCACATGTGCTATTGGCCACCTGAATCTTGCTGACTTAATACAAGAAGAGGAACACTCCTGCCATTACCCAGCACTGCATGTTCTGGCCTTCCTGCCCTCGACTTGTTTCCCTGGGGCTCTGCAGCCATACCATCCTCAGGGATTCCTAGTGATTGCTCTTGATCCTGTTTCCTGTGCTCTGACTCAGCACTAGTGAAGTTAAGGTCCTTAGGAAGATAGTCTTTCCCAGCTGTACCTCCTGTCCTTGGTGGGCCTCCTATACAGGAATTTTGCTGTGGTCTTCCCTGAGCAGCTAAGCCTCTGCAGAGTCGTTTCTTTCATTGTCCGTCTCCTGCCATGCTGAAGGCCATGACAGGCCATTGAGCCACTTGTCTGGCTTGGGAGGCGCCATGGCAGCTCTTGGTCTTTTCTCTCCCTTACCTCTCCATGCATATCTGGAAATATCTTTTTCTTTCCTTTTTGTGAAAAAAAAGATTTATTTATCTCTTTCAAAGACAAAGCTGGGGGAGGAGAGAAGAGACAAGTGGCTGTGGTTGCCAAAGCTGGACCAGTCCAAAGCCAGGAGGCTCTTCCGGCTATCCCATATGGGTGCAGGGACCCAAGTACTTGGGACATCTTCCATTGCTTTCCCAAGTGCTTTAAGGGAGCTGGATCAGAGAAGCGGAGCAGCCAGGACTCTAGCTGGAACCTGATGAGATGCCAGCATCCCTGGTGATGGCTTTACCTGCTAGTGTTAGCCACAATATGCTTTCTTAAAAGTATCCACGTAATTACCGTTTAGTAGAACTGTAGCATATAACAGTTTCTGTCTGTGAGTTAATAAAGATTCCTCTGAATTTAGTTTTGTTGACAAAATTTCCACGTATTCTGGAGATTCAGCTTTGTAAATTTTATTGAACCAGTGAAATGAAATAAGCACCCTGGAATGGTTTAGTCTTACTGTTGTGGTAAGCAGAACAGTTGAGAACTGTTTCAGCCCCAGGAAGACTGGTTTTTTTAGTGTTGGCTTGAGCGTGTCTGTGAAATGCATCATTTACAGAGTGTCTAAACAAGAAGCAGCCTTTGCCATAGCTCAGTTTTTGTGAGCTCTTGAGGGATAATTAGCAATAATAACTAAAGTTAAATCATGACTGGCATACAAGTTTAGTTGGACTCATGATATCAGGTATTATATTCAACATGTAATTAGAGGGAAGCAGGCATATTACAATTCAAAGTAGAATTTATAAAATACATGCACCAGTAGGAATACTGAAATAAGGCCCAGCATGATAGCCTAGTGGTTTAAGTCCTCGCCCTGCATGAGGCTTGATCCCATATGGGCGCTGGTTTATATCCCAGCCTGCTCTGCTTCCCTTCCAGCTCCCTGCCTGTGACCTGGGATGCCAGTAGAGGACAGCCCAAAGCCTTGGGACCCTGCACCCATATGGGAGGCCTGGAAGAAACTCCTGGCTCCTGGCTTCAGATCAGCTCAGCTCTGGCCATTATGGCCACTTGGGAAGTCAAACAGCAGATGGAAAATTTTTCTGTATCTCCTCTTTTGTAGATCTGCCTTTCCAATAAAAATAAATAAATCTTTTTTAAAAATGCCTAAATAAAAAATATATGTATTTATTTGGAAGGCAGAGTTACAGAGAGAATCATCCATCCACTGATCCACTACTCACATGTCAACTACAGCCAAAGCTGGGGCATCTGGAGCCCCTTCGGCATCTCCCACTTGGGTGCAGAAGCCCAATGGCTTGGCCACCTTCCACTACTTTCCCGAGTGCATTAGCGAGGAGCTGGATTGAAAGTAAAACAGCCAGGACCTGTATGTTTATTATTCATTAGGAATAATCAACTGCATTTCTACACAACACAATTTAATTTCTGTGGACATGAGTCATGTACATTAATATCTGTAGTCTCTAGCATGGAGAAGTACACAGTGGCTTGGAGTCAGTGTAAGGTGGAAGTAACCTGGGGAGTGCATGAGACAGGACACCTCGTGATCCCACTTGTCTATTTCACAGTCTGCTGGTAGAATGGCATACTGACTGTATGACTTCTTGTCCACTGTCAGTCCAGCTGTGGCTTCTGGAGCATCTCAGGAAGATGATTGGTTGCCAGTCTCATGTCTCTTTGGAGTAAAGTCCTGGTCTTTGAAATGTATTATTTCTTTGCCTTTGGAGCAGGGCTTGCCTGTAAGGTTGTGGGGATTGTGCCTGAAGAAGTTGAACATGGCTAGCACTCTGCCTGCATAGGGCTTTGTCAGTGGGTTGCATCTGTCCAAAGGGAGGGGACATTTTTCCTGATTTCGTGAAGGTACCAGATGGATTACTTCCCCATTCCCACCTCAGGGAGTCCCTTGGTCTGTTTTTATTGATCTTAGGTTTTGAGGTTATTAAAATGAGTTGTTCATCCTAACTTTAATGTTTCCCTTTAGGTTTTCTTACAGAGAGTGGAAAAACCAGAGCAAGCACTATTTTTTCTACAGGAACTGACTCTGCCATCCAAGTTACACAAATCAGAATTATGGTAATTCCCCCGCTACCTTCTTTAAGCCATGTCCTTATTGTTTCTTAGTAAATGATTTTTATTTCAGAGGTCCATGTCCTTGATTTTTTTCACACATAAAGTGATGGTTATTTACTCTGCATCAGGTCTGAGCAGAGGGCAGGGATACAAGGCAACATAGGTTAAGTGTTGTCAATGGTGAGAAAATAAGAATTGAAAAAGTTAGGAAGTATGTCTTGGGCACTAGCTTTTTTACTATCCTAGGACTTGGTGTGTTTGAAATATTATTTCATTGGTTTGATTTTGCTTTAAACTGTTTGAATTTTGCCATGTTATATATAAACAAAATGGTGACAGAACTTTTGCCAGTTGGTAGACTTTGTGCTGCTCTCCATTTCCAGGTCCGACGTGGTGGCATTGGTGCACAGTGTGGGTTAGTGTTTGCCTATAACTCACCTTCTGACAAATTCCATGCAGAAGAACACTTCAAAAGATTTGAAAAATATGACAAGTGGAAGCTTCAGGAGCTCAGGCAATTTGTAAAAAGCAGGTAGGAACAAAAAATTTTTTTTAATCTGTGTAAGTTTTTTTTTATTGATTACATTGCATTATGTGACAGTTTTATAGGCACTGGGATTCCCCCCAATCCTCTCCAAACCGCCCCCCATGGTGGATTCCTCCACCTTGTTGCATTACCACAGTTCAAATTCAGTTGAAATTCTTTCATTGCAAGCATCTACCAAGTAAAAAGTCCAGTGTCTTATTGTCCAGATAAGTTCAACGTTTTCTTGGGGAGACCATCTCTGGTCTGAAGGTAGAGCTGGCAGAGTATCATTTTAAAAATCTGTGTAATTTGAAAGAATTTTCATTCTTTTTATGGTGAACTAAACTCTCTTGCCTTAATAGAAAATGTGGCAGCAGCCCACCTCAGTAGCTGTAGCATTCACTCTTCCTAGAGTGTACATGAAGATGTTAATTTTTGTTCATATCTTCTTCCGCTGATTCTTCTGTGAAAGGGACACATACCTTCAGAATGACTGGATAATGAGATGGGCCCGGGCTCTAGGTGGGCCGCCTCAGGTCCTCAGTGTTACCCACCCACCGGGAAATTTCCCCCTGCCCAAGTTCTCCTTGCCCCAACCCCTTTAAGAACTATTGTTATTTCAGAAGTGTTAAGTAGGCGCCTACCACTAGGCACTAGAGATAGAGTCATGAGGAAATTGGCATCATTCTTGCTCTTGTAGAGCTTATTGTTCAGCTCAGAAGACAAGAAAATTTGCAATGTCTGATTGTTGAGAAGGCTGTGTGGAAAGGGAAGAGCAGATACGAGGCCTAGAGGTAGAGTCTGGCACACTCAAGGTTAGGACTGATTGCTGAGGTCTCCTGTGAAGTGGAGAGTGGTGAGCAATGAAGCAGGATGGTCAAATCATTAAAGATCTTTTTGTCTGTTTCAGAGCCTAAACCCTGTTGTATCCTTAAAGTTAGCCAGGAATGAGAATAGATTGTAGTGTTGAAGAGTTGTAGGACCAGTTCGGATTATACCGTGAGTGGCATGGATTGCAGGAGAGCAAACATTAATAGGGCAGGTGTGATCTTGGCTAGAGCAGTAGCAGCCAAGATGAAGTGCTATAGCCTGATGAAGACACACTTGAAGGTGGAAATAGTAGGACCTGGTGACCAAACAATGTCACGTGGGAGAGAGGAGAAAGCTTGAGCTGCAGTGGGTCTGTGGGGTTTACATTCAGCAGGTAGAGAAATTGGCATTGCCATTCTCTGTCATACTAACTATTCTAGGGAGAAACAGGTCAGTCCCAGCTGCTCCACTTCCGATCCAGGTCCTTGCTAATGTATCTCGGAAAGCAGTGGAGGATGGACCAAGTGCTTGGGCCTGTGCCACCCATGTGGGAAACTAGGCTTAGAAATAGAGAGGAAATTTCCATTAATTACCATGTGTCTTGAAAGAAGTACCATGTCCATACCCAGACCTTGATTGCTGATTGATAGGCCATATGAGTATTTGTAAGTTAAATGCCACTTGACTTATTTGTTATGCCCTTGAGCAGTTTGAAAATAAGAAAATGTTATAAGATTTCCCTTGTGATTACAGGATTGGTTGCTCACCTGCTGACCTTGGAGAGGATGATCCTATTGGCTGGTTTGAGCTGGAGGAAGAGTGGGATGAAGTGGATGTGAAGTTACAGCAGTGCAGAGTTGCCAAAGTAAGCATCAGTGAGCTGTGCCCTGCATGTTTGCCCAATCTCTTCTTATTTTGTCAGTATTAATTTCATGCTGATTCTGTACTAGCCTTATGCCAGTACTGGAGCACCAAAGATGAGTCAGTTCTCATGGAGTCCATGGGCCAGAGGGAGAGACAGCCATATAGGCCAATGTGATACGGTCTTTGAAAAAGGGAGATAAGGGGGAGCTATTGGAGTTCAGAGGAAGAAGATCTGACCACCTGGAATTCTTTAGGTAAGGCTTTCCAGGAAAGCCACAGCAATGCCAAGTATTGGCAGTTGACTAAACCATCATTGTTAGTCAGGCTGCAGTGTGCAATGAGCATTTTGAGTCCAACAAACATCAAGTGCACAGGCCATTCAAGAGAGGTGTGTTTCCAGAGCTATAAAATAGTGATTGGCTCCTTTTTCCTTTTTTTTTTTTGGTAATTTAAGTGTAAGTCCCAGGTTTAAGTAAGGGCTGCTTCATAGGCACTCAACAAATGTGAGGCCCTTATCAAAGGAGCTTCACTGTAAAGCTGTGCACAGAAGTTGAGCTTTGAAAATGGCCTTAACTTTGAGCAGACAAGACTACTTGTGGGCTCGCAGTGCATAAGCTGCATGTATCAGCCGAGGGCTTTGCCATGGTCCTGTAGGACATCTGTTTTCATCCATTGCTGATTTTCATTTCAGAAGGATTGTGTCATAGAGCAAATGTGTTTCTCTTCCTCTCTTTCTCTTTTTTTTTTTTTATTTAAAAAAATATTTATGCTTATTGGAAAGTCAGATATACAGACAGAAGGAGAGACAGAGAGGAAGATCCATCCAAAGGTTCACTCCCCAAGTTGCTGTAACGGCCGCATCTGAGCGGATCTGAAACCAGGAGCCCAGAGCCTCTTCCGGGTCTTGCATGCGGGTACAGGGTCCCAAAGCTTTGGCCCGACCTTGACCTTTACTGCTTTCCCAGGCCACCAGCAGGGAGCTGAATGGGAAGTAGAGCTGCCAGGATTAGAGCCGACACCCATATGGGATCTTGGTGTGTGCAAGGCGAGGACTTTAGCGACTAGGCTATTGCGCTGGGTCCTTTCTTCCTCTCTTACCCTGTTACTGTCTTGGAGGGAGAGACTTGATCCTATTAACCTATTGTGAATTTGATCCTAACCTGACACTCAGCATTTGTATTGTTTTTTCCTGCTTGGGGTGGATACAAACACTGCCCTTGGCTGTGCAGAGTGATGCTGACAGATTTCTAGCATAATAGGGGAAGCTCCAGGAAGGCTTCTCCCTTACATTGTAGATGTGCGTTCTGACTGCTTTTGAAATCTCTTTTGTCCTCTCTAGTACTTGATGGTGAAGTTCCTCTGCACGCGTCAGGAAACTGCAGAGCGTTTGGGAGTGCAAGGCTTGACTATCAGCGGCTACCTCCGGCCTGCAAGAGCAGAAGCAGAGCAGAGCATCCCTTGTGCCCGCTGCAGGAAAGACACAGACAGTGTCTGTGGGGCCACGCTGCTCCTCAGGACCCTCCAGTTCATCCAGCAGCTTGCCCATGACCTGGTAGGGCTTCCTCAAGCATTAGACTGCATTCCTTTAGGAAACCTGCATGGCAGTGCTAAGAAAAATCACCACCAGCCAGGGAACCTGGCCCTGCCAGAACTGTGCAGGCATTATACTACTGCTAGATGACCTGGAAAGGATGACCCTGGGCACTGATGGCACAGCTAATGGATGGCCCAGTGGTCATTGTGGGGTCTCCTGGACTAGACCTAGCAGCACATCCTAATGATCCTAGCTGTGGTTGTCCTAGGGAGGCAAAGCAAGTTCATAGGTGTCTTGTAATCCTAGGAAGACATTATGAAAGTTTGGGTCAGTCTGTTTGTTAATGGTAAGTATTAAATAATATCAGAATTTGGCCTGATTTGTGTTTCTGCTACCAACTTTTAGTCGCTAATAAAACACAGTAACAGCTCATCATAGGAAGATGCTTACAGCCATGGCCATAGTGTGTGGCCTGCCGCTTCAGGGCAGCCGCAGTGGCTGGTGACTCTGTTGATGGGTAATCTGTTTGTGTTCAGGTGTCCTTTCACAGTGAACAGAATTAGAGGTGAAAGAGTAGCTGGTTTGTTTGCAATAGAATCGACACCTTCTGCTCACCTGCAGGGAGGTGCCAGACAGACTCAGCCCAGTCCTGAGCATCAGTGATGTCCAGGATATATGGGCATACCTCTGGGTGTGCATGGTCAAGTCAGCAAGCTCATATATGTGCACATGTGCATGCGTGTTAGAGAACACAGATTATGTGTATAAATACACTTATAGAATTGTGTGCATATGCATTGCACACACTTATTTTAGAAGGTTTTACCCCAGAAGTAACTGGTGACAAGCATCCTAGTGGTTAAAAATAAGCATCAATTGTATGGGAATGTCACCCATGTAGAACTGCTTCATCCCTTAAAATGAAAAATAAGAGAGATATCACAACATTTCTTTGACTTATTTTTTCTTATCTTTATGTTTTAGGTGCAGCAAAAGGAAAGTGGCTTAAAATATAAATCTTTTCTGGACTTCGCGGGTCTTGATTTGCAGATCTTCTGGAATTTTTACAGTAAACTAAAGAAAAAGTAGGTCAGGATTTATTATACAGTGATTAATTGTAACAAAACTAAAATGTGAAAGAATGGTTTTTTAAAATGTTGTTTAAAATTATCTTCCAGCCATATAAGATGATATGAAACATAAATGCATTTTGTGTGTAGTTTTGGGTCTCATCCTCCAGGCATTTTGGTAAATATACCCAAATATTGTAATATGTGAAAAAATTCAAAGTCCATGATGCTTGTGGTGCTAAGCACTCTGGCCTGTCTCCTCCTAGAGGGGCAGGATTGGGTATGAATTTCCTTCCCCTCAGGGGCAGAGTGTCATGGATTCTATGTCACAGCTTGAAGGACAATGGCCTTTTTCTCTTTTCCCTTCTTCTTGTCACTCTTTCTGTAAAGCCCAAGGCCTGCAGGGAAGTTTGTCCCTGAAGGTTCAAAACACTTGCCCTTTTGCCCTCAGACATTCTTGTCCTCCTGCAGCCCGAGGGAAGACTGCATCTGTGCCCAGACCTTGCTTCTGCAGCTGCTCCAGAGCTGCTTCTCCGTGCTGCAAAGAGACGCACTGGCTGCTGCAGAGGAGGGAAAACCTCCCACCCAGAGCCCTGAAGCTGTGGCAGCTGCCAAGGAGCTCTACATGCACTTGTGTGATGGTAGGCCATTGAAGCTTTCCTTGATGCAGTTAACCCACAGGCCTCTAGCTTTGGAGAAGCAGAGGGTGGGGAGGGAGGCCCTGTGGTCAAGTGAGGCAGAAGTGGATTGCACCTCAGGAAAGAATGCTTCCTCTAATGCTGTTTTGTGTTGTCCTTCTGTAGTTCAAGATTTATTCCTTCATCAACTGATCTTTGCCTCTCAGAGGCATGACTGTGTTGTATTGAGAGCAATTGCTGTCATGCTAGCCAGCCTTGCCTTCATCTAAGACAGTGGGGTAAGGCTGGCAGATTTAGAGGAGAGCTTATAATGGTAACCTGAGGAGGAAACACACATGACTCTCAAGTTATTTTTAAGGCTTTGCCAAGTTTTATTGCAAAAAGACAGAGAAACAATGACATAAAACCTGGTGCATACAGTCCATTTTTTAGTTAAATGTAACAAAGAGTTTCAGATTAATCCTAGTTGACATATCTTCTGCGTCAAGACAGGGACTATTTTAAACTGACTCCATTGTTCATTTCTCTCAGTGGTGGATCAGGCGGCGGGAGACTCGGTGCCCATGGAGATACTGAAACAGGAAGTGAGGAACACCCTTCTCAATGGGGCTGCCGTCTTTTTTCCTGACCGACAGACCCGACGGAACCATCTCTTCACCATGATGGTAATAGTTTACTGAAGGGGTTGGTTCTGTTCCTGACATCTGCACAGATGCACTTTATCACTTGTGTGTCTCTGAATATTTTGTCAGTTTCTCATTAATACCTACTGATGCAAAGCTTGTGTGAGACACAGCTGTTAAAGAACATGGCAGTGTGCTCAAGGTAGGAATAACAGATAATCTCTGTTTTATAACCTAATGTCTTGCAGAGTGACAATACAATCTATTAGATTTTGCTTCTCCCAAAATTTTATTGTTGCAGAATTTAGAATGACTAGAAAAGTAGACTGAATTATTCAGTAGAATCCCCTTGTCTCCCTAATATACCCATCACAGTTATAAGTCACCCAACAATTATTAACTCAAGGTAATGCCATTTTGTCCATAGTACACCTTACCCATTCTTTCCTCTCCCTATTCAGTATTATCTGCAAGTTAATCTCTGACTTATTTTATTCATAACTTTTAGTATATGTCTGTAAAGATAATTCAACCAAATTGTGATCTGCTCTCCCTCCTAGACTCATTCATTGTGTTACTCAGACATCTAGTGCAAGGGATGAGGAATCCTTCCACTATGTAGAAACGTTATGCTATCAGGTGGAATGTCCTGTATGTAAGATTCAGGCTTTTGGGGGGGGGTTTGTTTGTTTGTTTTAAGGCTTATTTCTTTACTTGAAAGGCAGAGTCGCAAAGAGAAAGGCCCTCTATATTTTTTAACTCCTCAGATAGCCACAACAACCAGGACTGGGTCAGGCTGAAGGCAGGAGCTTCATCTGGATTACTCACATGGGTGGCAGGTCCAAGCACTTGGGCCATTTTCCACTGCTTTCCCAGTTACATTATTGGGCTTGGATCGGAAGTGGAGCATCCAAGACTCAAACCAGTGTCCATAAGGGATGACTGTGTTGCAGGTGACATTTTAGTCCACTCTACACAACATTGGCCCCCCCAAGTTTTAAATTATGAAGGAAGTAATTCTATATGAAAATTAATTTGATACATTAAAAATGCACATACTGATGTAAAACAGCAAAAATATCTTCTTTAGATCATACCAGAGTGGGTAAGGGTGTACAAAAAGCAAAATGATAGGCCATTATTGCTTACAGACATGGAAGAAACACAGATGAAGTGGTAAGTAACCAAGTCAACAGAGGAACAGGTGATGACCACATTGGATCTGTGCTAGGAATGGGATGATGCTTTAACATTAGAAAATAAGTAAGAGAAATCAGAGCAAAGAAAAAGAATTAAATGCAGAAAAATTTGGATGAGGATTAAAACTAAACACTGGAAAATAGAAGGTGCATGGATGGATATCCAAAACTTCAATAAATGTAATTGATGTTGAATCACTAGATGTGTTCCTTTCAAAATGGGTATAAAACAAGGCTGCTTACTGTCATCACTGTCTCTGTTTGATGTGTTAGAAGGCCTAACCAGGGCAGTAGGACAAATGAGAAATAACAAGTGCATGGGATTGGCTTTTTGGCATAGTGGGTTATGCTGTTGCCTGCAACACTAGCATCCCAGATGGGTGCTAGTTTGAGTCCTAGCTGCTCCACTTTCAATCAGGGTCCCTGCTAACCTGCCTGGGAAAGCTGCAGAGTAAGGGCCCAAGTGTTTGGGTTCCTATACCTGCATCAGAGACTTGGAAAAAGCTCTTGGCTTTGGCTTGACTCAGTCCCAGCTATTGCAGCCAGCTAGGGAGTGGACTGGCGCATGGGAGATCTCTCTGTGTCTCTTCCTCAGCCCCCAATTCTGTCTTTCAAACAAAGTTTTTTGTTTTGTTTTTTAAAGAGAGTTAAACAGAATAAGACAAATAATAAGTAATAATTATTTGCAGATAATGTGAATTGTTTTTTTTTAATTGAGACAACTAATAATAAAATTACTTAATTTTTTTTTTCAAAAAAAGCCGGAAAGTTCTTTCTATATGCAGCAATCAATTAGCAAACATGTAGAAGCTCTGGGATACAAAAAGGCCTGAAGAAGCAAAGGCAGGAACAAAAAAGCATAGGCTTGTCTCCTCGTGACCAAGGGCGACCGTCCAGTGGGATGCAGAGGAGAATCAGGTGGAGGCCAAGTAGTTGCTGACGGTTTCAGAGAGGAATCAGTGTAATGTGTGTATCAGCTAGGAGATTCCTTTTCCCACTGTCAGCTACAACCTCTGACAGTCAGCAGCCAGCTTCAGCCAGTGGACTGCCCGCGGTGACCTGGGATATATTCTGCTTCTTTCCTAGAACTGTTCCAAAGGCGTAGCAAATGACTTTTGAGCAAGCATGTGTCCCACACATAGAAGTGTAGAGAGGACATCTGACCTCTTCATGCCAAACTGTTTCCGTGCTTCTTCAGGAAATGGTGTTCATCATGACTACGTCTGAGTCCCCAGCCCCCGCCTCCACCCTGTGCCAGGCAGATGCTTAGGTCGTCAACCCCCAGAAACTTCCACTTGGTTCCTTGTGTGGAGAATACGTTCCAACAAATTTTTTAGATTCAGAGAATAATGCATGCCCAGAAGTAACACCATAATCTTTACCAACGCAACCCCTGTAACTGTTACCTCCAGGACAGAGAGGAAATGAGCATCATGCCTGCCTTCTGTCTGTGGGATAAAAAGTGCGTATTTTTTTGCAGGTTCTCTTCCCAAACATCGGCATCAGGCTTTCCCATAGGAAAACCTGCAAATGTTAACTTTGCTTTTGAACAAAAGTCAACCTTCCACCATCTGGCTGGTCGATTCTTAGCATTTTTAGTTGTGAGGCTGTCTGCTGCTCCGGCTATCTTCCAGTTGGGAACCACGGGTGGTGGTGGTTGATGCTGCTTTGGATCTTTAGAATGTCAAGGAACAGATGGTTCAATGTAGTTTCTGGTTTTCTAGAAGAATGTCACTGAGCAGGAGCACAAGCAGTCCCTTCAGCTCACTTTCCGTTCACTGTGCACGTATTTCAGGTAAGTCTGTCATTCCCTGAAATTTGCCAATATTCCAGAGCTTTGTTTAGCTTTCCCTTCCTTCTTATGCTTTTACAATAGTATTGCCCCCAGCTCAGATTTCTGAAGTCACTGTTGGGCACAGGAATCACTGGAGTAGTCTTGTCAAGAGCTTAATCCCTGTCCCAGTGATTTTAAGACAAGCGAGTTGAGCCCCTGGAAGATGTCAAAGTGGTTTCCTGTAAGTCTGGAAACGCAGCTGCATTAAAACCCACTGTGACAGCTGAATGGTAGACTGCAGGAGTAAGTAGGCCAGAGGAGAACTTGGAAGTATTTGCATGTTTTGACTACTAAAGCGGTCACTGGGCCTGTAGACTGCGTTAGTGGAGGGTTATACTCTCGAAGGAGGGAGGCAACAGACAGCCTGAGCAGCTGCCTGCATGTCACACTCTCCCAGTGTGGGTGCCACATTAGAGGGCTGTCTGTATAAAGCATGTTCAGCAGGAGTAGTGAGGATGAGAAGACTCTGGAGCTGTCATGAGGGGCAAGTTTGAAGATGCAATAAGTTGGTTGCCTGCAGTGTCAAGTTCGCAGCCATGAGATCAGATGCATTTCATGTCAATGCCTGAAGTGGTTGTGAACAGTGACAGCCCCAGTTGGGGCCACACTCTACCTGAGTCCCAATCTCCTATCCATAGAACTGACACTGAAACTTTCCTGGATTATTTTTTGGAACCTTTTGAAGCAAAAAGTGTGAAAATACCCTTTGTGGAGCCAGGTGTCCTCACCCTGTGTGTCTGTGTGTCTTTGCAGTGATAAGGATCCAGGCGGCCTTCTGCTGTTACCCGAGAAGAGCAACCTGGCCGACACGAACGTTGTCGAAGTGCTGGCGGTCATGAACACTCTGCTCTCTGTTGCTGCCCGAGAGGTGCCTGCTTGCTGCCCCCTGTGTTCCCCGCCTGTGCTTTAGGAGCGAGGGATCTGGCACATCCTGCATCTCCATGCACCCTTTATGCTATGGGTGTGCCTCGCTGCTGGCCCATTAGCAAGGCAAACCTACAAGCAGATTAGGAGACCCTCCCTGTCCCTGGGTGATCAGCCAAGGACAAAAGCATGGAAATACTGAGACTTGCTGTAAAAGAGGAATGAATTTGTACCAAGTCCTCTTATAATGCCAGTGAGCCAACATGTAGATACATATTTATGGTGTGTGTTTTGTGGAGCATTGTTCTGACTTTAAAAATATTTGCATAGCAAATTTACATAATAATCAAATCTAAAAACATTTTCCTTTTCCTGTGACAGTCTTTCATTTTTGTTTTTTTATTTTTTTTTTCTTAAAGAATACAATGCATCTGCCTAGGGTTGTTAGCAAAAATGTAGAGTTCTGGGTCCCAGCCCCAAGCCACTGGTGCAGTATCTAGAGATAAGGTTTAAGACTGCACTTTAGCATGGACCCCAGGAGATTGTGAAATGGTAGACCCTATGCACTAGGGGCTGGTGCAGACTCTGCTTCAGACTAAGTGGGAATTTGAGAGTCTGAAGAGGCTGTGCTGACCATGGGGGACCCAGTGACAGTCGAACTCAAGGAGTAGGCCAACATTGTCATTAGACAGCCCTGGCAACACAGCATAACTTTGCAGCAGTGAGCTCAGTGCCCTATAGCATGTCTAGGAGCAGGCTTCCTGTGACCAGTAGGGTGGGAGAAGAGCTGGCTTTATGAACAACAGTTGAAGTGAAGAGGAGGAAGTAGAAGCTGCTGGTGGAGAGTGGTGTGTTCCACAAGACAGTGACAGGAAGGGGAAGAGCAGGTCCTGGGAGGGAGATTGATAATGGCTAGAATTCGGGCAGGCCAAGTTCAGGATTCTTTGGACTTAGGGGTAGGGATTATATTCAGTAAAAATGGGGGATGCCCCACATCATGTAAGGACTTCATGAGAAATATCCACAGAAGAGAGGTAAGCAGGAGAACAGGAAGGAGTGGCTGAAAAGCAGAGGGCCGAAGCATAGGGAGCAGAATTGCTGTGGGCAGTGGTTCACAGAACCTCTTAGGCTACACGTGGAGGCCATACTTTCCAGTGAACTGCTGCCTTCTGGGAATGGTGTCAGCAGGGGCAGTAGAATGGGAGGGAGAGGAAAAGTAAGACCTGAGCAAGTATAGATGTCTTTTCTCATAACACCCACAAGAGTGTAAATGGGTAGGCAACTTAAAGAAACAGAGTTGGAGGCCTGGTGCAGTACCTAGTGGCTGGAGTCCTCGTCTTGCATGCGCTGGGATCTCATCTGGCCACTGGTTCATGTCCCAGCTGCTCCACTTCCCATCCAGCTCCCTGCTTGTGGCCTGGGAGGGCAATGGAGGATGGCCCAAAGGCCTTGGGACCCTGCCCCTGTTTGGGAGACTCTTGGGAGGCTCCTGGCTTCAAATTGGCTTAGCTCCAGCTATTACAGCCACTTAGGGAATGAACCAGCATGGTTCATATGGAAGATCTTTCTGTCTCTTTCTGTAGATCTGACTTTGAAATAAAAGTTAATCTTTAAAAATATATATATATTTTTGTTTCCTTTATATAATATATATAAAGATATATATCTGTAAAAGATATATAAATTATATATATGACGTGTAAATATATTTAAAATAATATATTTATAATATATTTTATTTTATGTTATGTTTTATAATGTATTTTTAAAATTAAAGTTTATATATAAATATATCAAAAGATATATAAAGTATATATATATATTTTTTAAGATATATATTTTTCCTTTTTATATACATACATATAATGAAATAAACTTGGTACATTATCAGGTTCTTCAACCCGGGCCTGACCTCTTACCCTACCAGAGATCACCACCAGTCTCAAGCTTGCATTTGTCCTCTGCTGCTTTTTCTTTCTGCTCTTCCTCCACAGTAGGTCCTGTTGGACTGGTTCTGCCCTTTAACAGAATCATATGGTGGGCAGTTTTTGGACATGTTTTTTCACTCTACATTGTGTTTGTGAGCTTTCCATGTTTATGCATGTGCTGTAGTTTGCCTTCTTAGGTACACAATTTGTGAACATGCCACCATATGTTTCTCCATTTTACTTTGGAGGTATAGTTGGTTATAATTAGGGACAATGAATCACCCGGTAGGGGTTCTAGGACCACAGCTACGTGTTTCTCAAGTATACAAGTTTATCCTCAGAGATCAGGTGATGTGTGTATCAGAGAAACTCCTGAGAACAAAGGTGACATGCTTAGTCGGAGAGAGATGAAGAATTCTTATTCAAGGTAGAAATTTACATTTGATTGAAGTTAGGAAGAAGCCAGAAAGGGGAGAGAGATAAGGAAGAGACAGCAGTGGGATACAGCTCCTGAGATGGCAGAGGAGACGTCCTATGGAGTGACGGTTTCTCCATGTTCTGGAAAGCTGCAGGAAGGAGAGGAGCTTTCACAACACTGTCTCGGTCACTTTTGGGTTGAAAGCTGTGATGCAACTAGTCCCACATCGTAGTGACTTCCTTTGCCAGTGATAGCTCCTCCCAGCAGGAAGGCCTTGCTGTAAGCACTTCCTGTGTCTCTCCCTTACAGTGTGAGCTGGTGATGCTACACGGGGTGCAGGGCGAGTCTGGTTCCGTCCTCTTCTCCCTGTTCTGGTCCGTCCAAGGCAGTCTGCTCTCCTGGTGCTACCTGCAGCTGAAGAGCACCGATTCTGCAGCCAAAAATCTTGCTGCAGACCTTATTGAAAAATGTGAGTGTCCCTGAACATAGCCTATGTGTCTGATTAACTAAAATATCAACATGTGTGTTTTTCTTTATTATAATACAGATATTTGTGTTGTGCTTAAAATAGAGTATTATGTGGCCAGCACTACCATTCCATATGGGTTCTTGTTCAAGATAAGCCCTGGATGTTTCAATTCCAGTCCATCTCCATGCTATTTGCCAGGGAGGACAGTGGAGGATGCCCAAGTCCTTGGGCCCCTGCACCCAAGGGAAAGTGGAAGAAACTCCTGGCTTCATATCAGCCCAGCTCCAGTCACTGCATCCTTTTGGGAAGTGAATCAGCAAATGGATGATCTTTCTCTATGTCTCTCCTCTCTGTGTAACCTTGCCTTTCCAATAAAAATAACTAAATAAATATTTTGAAATAGAATTACATAATGTATCTGAAAAACTTAATTAAGAGGCAGAATGGCAAAGAGTGGTATAGAGAAAAAAAGAGTTTCCGTCTGTTGATTCACTGCAAAAGCCCACAGTGGGTGGGACTGGGCCTGACCAAGGCTGAGCACTGGGAACTCAAACCAGGTCTCTAGCACAGGTGGCAGGATCCCAGCAGGGCCATCACAGCAGCTTCCCCAGGATCTATACTGTCTGGAAACTAGAATCACAAGCCAAGACTTGGTAGCAAACCCAGGCACTCTAATGTAGGCCTTGGGTAACCATTATGCCAAGTACCTGCCCTTATAACACGTCTTTTTGCCTTAAGTTTCCTATCTGAATGTGGTAGTGTGCCCAGGCGTGCTTTATTATAGGGTCAGGTCATTTTGCAGCCTGGGTCTTCCCTCTGGGATCACATAGCACCCTTCAGGAGAGTCTGTTTATATCATCCCTGTTTTAGTCAAATTATGTGAAAGATCAAGTGCTGAACTAATGAAATCTAAGGTGTGTGAGCACTGCTGTGACCTTAAAACTACTTATGGAGCATACTCAGATTTATGACCTGCCAACCCGCAGAAAACCGTGTGAAACCTGGCAGGTTCTGTCAGGTTGTATGTGGAAAAGTCAATCCTATCACTCTTGGTGCCATGTGCTTCTGGTATGGGCCCTGCCACCTAGCTCTTGGCGCCTTGGCTTCACACCCCTAATGCTTGGGCCCTCTATGAACCCAAGGGAAAAGAGAGGCTGCTGACCTCACTCATTCTCTTGAAAAGTAGCTAAGACCCCAGATCAATCACTCACCAGTAAACTGAAAGCCATGCTGCTTTTCTCTCCCAGAAGGAAGCGTTTGTGTGGGGCTTGGCTGTCACTGGTTGTTCTGCTGGGGAGTGTCCACCTTCTCGCACAGCTTTCATGGCCTTTGCTGATCATTGATGAGTGATGCTCTACCATGTCAGAGATTCATTATTTTCTTTGTTCCTGGCAGATGTGGGGCAATTTCTGGCCAGCATGAGAATGATTTTGGAATCCCTGTTGGCGCAGTATAATGGAAAAACCATAGTTGAAAAATTATGTAATTCAGTGTTTTCCATGGCAGCTCGACAACTGGTAAGAGACTGGGGTGAGAGGCTGTCTGTGGTGGGCAGGGCTAAGGGTGAAGGTGGGGTAGTGGCCTACACCCCAGGCAGAAGCCAAAAGCTCTGTTGGTCTTCCTGCAGGTCATCTTCCTGCTGGACTTATGCCCCTTAGACATTCCCCACTGCACGCTGCTGAGGGAGGTCAGCACCCTGACGGAGCTGCTCAAGAAGCTCTGCACTGACCCTGCAGGAGGATTGAATAAGGTAACGCAGGCTGCCACTCGAGCCGCTTGGGATCCTGCCTCAGGCTGCCCTGGCTGCAGCTCTGCACAGACGCCCTTTATGTTCTTCTTGGTGGTTTTCCAGTGAGGAAGGGGCCGGTTCAAATTGATCTGGTCTGACATCAATAGGAAAGAGATACAAGGGGCTTGTTGGACTCTTCCTTGTGCTTTTGTGTGTTCTTTGAAATTTTCAAAATTAAAAACACAAATAAAGCTGAAAAAAGAGAGAGACATGGGCTGGCATTGTAGCATAGGGGACAAAGCAATTGGTCATCTAACTCCAGAATCCCGTATGTGTGTCAGTTTGAGTCCTGCCGTTTTAGACTTCTTTTTTTTTTTATTAGAAAAAGATTTATTTTATGTTTATTTCAATGGAAGAGTTATAGAGAGAAACAAAGTCGGCTAAATCTACCATCTGCTAGTTCACTCCCAAATCTTTCCTGGGTCAGAGCTTGCAGCTGAACACAAAGTAGAGCAGCCAAACCATGAACCCGCCCCGGTATGAGATGGCAGTGCTACAGGCAGAGGCTTAGCTAGAAATGATTTATAAAACATGGGTCCGTCGTGGTTGAAAGGCAAAAGGTGTGTCTTTCAAAATTTTTTTATGAGTCAGTATATATTTAGCGTTTCAGAACTTTTCACGTAGCCCTGAATTTTCTAAGTGTTCATGTTATTTTTCTGTTGCTCTTCTAGCAAACCAGCATACGTGCTGGACTTACTGCCTCAGTCATGTGCCCTCCCTTCCTCCGTGTCCAGCCGCAGAGTGAGCTGTTGACTCCAGAAGGGCTGGGGCCTTGGTTCCTTTGTGTATCCCAGTAGGACAGTGCCGGGAATATGGGAAGTACCCAATAAACACTCAGATGAGGAGAAAAAGCAGCAGAGAAAGAGTCCCTGTAGTCTAATAACAGTGCACAGCAGCACAGATGTCTGAGCTGATCTGTGTGGATGGGAGCAGCAGGGTGCCTGTCAGCTTGCCTGGTGGCTCCTGCAGGGCTGCATAAACCCATTGTGTGGAGCGCTGAGCGTGATACCCGTCTGCCGCCAGTAGCTGGGTGTGAGTGATGCAGGCCATCTGCTTTGCTTATTTGCCTTTGTTTGCCTAGCTGGATGTGGAGACCTGGCAGCAGGAGCAGCCCGTGGTGTTGCATACATGGACCAAGGAATCTGCCCACAACTATGAAAATAACTGCCATGAGGTATCTGTCTTTGTGAGCCCAGGAGCAACCTATTTTGAGGTGGAATTTGATGAGAGGTGTGAAACTGAAAAAAGGTAAGTGCTACTCTTTTTTTCCCCAATGATGGACCCTAAACAAGAGAAGGAAAACTAACAGAGATTCTGCGTTCACAGGTACGATTATTTGGAATTCACTGATGCTAGAGGTGGAAAAACACGCTATGACACCAAAGTTGGCACTGATAAGTGGCCTAAGGTGAGTGGTATTCCCAGATAGAGATAGAATACCAACTTCTGCACCAGTTCCTTTCCTGTTACTTTTGCAGGGGCAGAAGTGTATGATCTTTGAAAGGAAACATTTTCATTAGACCTTTTTTGAAAAGAAGGTTTATGTCCCAGTCTGCCAAATCATGCAAATCAGTTTTCCAGCACTTAGTCATGCCTGTTTGCTTCTGCATTTTTAAATACCTGCAATGGCAGCACTGAGTAGTCACAGCAGACACCCTGTGGTCCATAGAGTTAACAACATTGGCTCCTCATAGGAAAATTTGACAACCGCAAGTCTAAATAAGTGCTGTCCAGAGTAAGCAAGAAGCTGTCATCCTTAGCAAGAAAGGAGTGGTCAGTGTACACGAGGGCCCAGAGCATGACGGGGAAAGCCGGGGTCCACCTCATGGTTAGGTCTGCTTGAGTTCCTGGGCTGCAGCACTGCTGCTGCTTCAGGCTGTGACCTGCTCTCTGCTGCCAGGACTCTTGGCTGGGAGCAAAGGGCTAAGCAGTCACCATCGCTGGGTAGGTAGTAGGCAAAAGACCACCCAGGATGTCAGAAGCTGAGCAGTAGGCACTGGCCCTGTGACAGATCAATCCACTGCCTGCAGTGTCAGTCTCCCAATGGCTCCACTTCTAATTCTGGCTTTCTGCTAGTATATCTGGAAATATAGTGGAGGATGGGCCAAGTCCTTGGTCCCCTACATCTATATGGGAGACCTGGAGGAAGCTCCTGCCTTCTGGCTTTGGACTGGCCTCGCTCTGGTCATTGTGCCATCTAGGGAGGAAACTAACAGATGGAAGATGTCTGTCTATCTGTAACTCTGCCTTTCAAATTAAAAATTAATAATAGCTGAGCATTAACTTTTTGCAAACTGTTTCACAGGGTGCAATTGGGAATTTTCTGTTTTTGTCACCCCTTTTGTGTTACCCTGGTAGTGTTGTGGTATTTTTGGCCTATGGAAATACAGACTAACTTTAAATCTGAGGTGTTCTGAACCATGAAAGGCATGCCTCTTCTGGAAGTGCTACCGCCTCATGTCTGATCACTTGACTTCTTTTTGTCCCTAGAAAGTGACTTTTAAGGCTGGTCCTCGGCTACAGTTCCTCTTTCACTCTGACAGCAGTAACAACGAGTGGGGCTACAAATTCACCGTCACTGCTTATGGCCTGCCGGATGTTGCTGTGTCTTGGGGGTTGGATTTACAGCTCCTTGTCTCCAGACTGATGGGGCGCCTGGCTTCCCAGTGCATGGCACTCAAGTCTGTGCATCGTAAGTCCCTGCCCCAAGGGTAAGGTATTGATAGTACTGCTTTTCCTTAGGACTGAGCCTTAGGCCATTGCCATGAAGCTTCTTGTGAGACGTGGGAACTCATCATGAAGGACCTGGTCTGCTGGGCTCTGTCTGTGGAGGACAGACAGTATGGTCACGATTTTTATGAGTGGATTTAGAGTTCAGGAAGTAAAAATATAGAATAAATTATTGTACATCTTTTAAATATGTGAATAGTTGTGTAAATAGATGCAGATACATGAATTTTCTTACCGTGATTTGTTCACCTTAGCAGTAAGGTTCTTCCAAGGAATAAGAATTATTGGATGAACTTTTCTAGTATCTCTTATTCTTCTATCATTTCATGAGTTTTGCCTATTGTAAAAGAAAAATTACTGTCAGGTAAAACCAGAGAACAGAATCATCCTTAATCCTAGTGCTCCAGGATGACTATTTCTTAACATTGTTGCGTATTTCCCACTAGTATTTTTTTTCTTCAGAGACACAAAAATGTGGGTATCTGTTTGGTTTTGCCAAGTAAGTTTACAAATTGTAAGTGTAGGTGTTCCATGTGACCTCCTGCTGTATCCTCATGGTGCTGCATGTTCTGTTTTAAACTTACCCTACTGATTAGTCATCTCACAGCACATTGTTCGCCAAGTCCCACGCAACTGCAGCATCTCAGGACTTAGGCTGTTAGTGATATGTATTTAGGAAGGATCTCAGTTACACTGTTCGATGTGGGTAAATTTTCTCTACATTTTAATAGTGAATCAGAATTTTTTTTTTTTAACTTTTTCTGTGTTGCTTTAAAGCTCCTCAGTGTACTAAGGGAAACTCTTATACACCTTCTCTTTCAGAGCTAGGAAGTAACATGGCAGTTCCCCAGGCAAAAATGGCTTTAGTCCTGAACTCGCCCTTGTGGAAACCTGTCTTCAGGCACCAGACTTGTCCAGAGCTGGAGTTAGAAGCAAGCTGGCCCACTCACCCACACCATGATCGTAAGGAGGTATTTGCTCATCCTTTATCTTTTTATTAAGTTGTTGGCTCCTTGAGAGCAGAAGCTATCCCTGATTTGTTTGCAATCTCTGCACTGTCCCTCAGGGGCCAGGGTGTGTTGAATGTCAAAATTATCAACTACTTGGCTCTGCAGTGAAATGCTGCGGGTGCTGGGCAGTGCCCCCTCCTGGAGTTAGCAGGCAGTCCAGTCACCTGCAGTGTGCTGTGGGCACATGCTTTGTGCTCTGCTCTTGTTCTTCCTAGGGCTTGAGCACATTATTTCAGTGGATCAGATTAATCAGGTTTGCCTGCTCTCTATTTTTCATTTGTCCTCTATTTCTGTCCTTCTCCCTTCATCTTCCCTCTCTCCTTTTCCTTACCCCACCCCACCCTCACCTTTCCTAGTAGTTAGCTGCCAAATCCAGTGGCTCTTCCTCAACTTCTGTTCTCCTTTTCCTCTGTGATGTTTGGCTCCTTTGAGCCCCTCTCCTTCGAGGCTGTGATGGCCTGCTGTCTTCTCTTGCATCCAACTGCTCCTCCTGCCTTCTTTATTAGCCTTCCTTATTCCTGCTTCTCTAAAGGGCAGGCTCATTCATGCTTGCCTCCCCCTTCTCACAGCCCCCAAGATTCCATCTTTTCTGCTGTCCACCGTCACATCTGTGGGAATAGTGCCTGAGTATCAGTTTCCAGCCCCAGTTCTTCTTCACAACCCCAATTCTGTATCTTCATCTTCCAGTTAGCTAATTCCCTGACAGCAGCATGCCTTGTTAACTCAGTAGTATAAAACCAGACTGTCCCACTGACTGCCTGTCTCTTTCTTTGTCGTCATTGTTTGTTCCCACAGGCCTCAAGCCTCTGCTTTCCACCATCCCTTTATCCCCACGCTGTTCCCACCCTTCCTGTCTGCTCAGCTGCAGACTCTTGGAGCTCTTGCTGGTGATGTTGATCTCTGTGTTTTTCTCTGTCTCCATCTTTTTTGAGGCCCTCCCTTGCACCTACATTATTGCATTGGTACCTACCCAATTTTTTTGTTTATTTGTTTTTTTTATAAATCGCTGCATTATCTTGTCATTCCACTGCCAAGCACCATTGATGGCTCCCTGTTGCCCACAGGGTGAAGTCTAATCTCCTCAGTGTGCCAGTCCAGGCTCCCTGCAGTCTCCTTTCACCTCACCTCTCTGACTCTAGTTCCCACCACTCCCCCGCTGAGGCTCCAGGCCAGGTCAGTCTCCCCACTGAGTCTCAACCTCTGCTAAGGGTTATGTTCCTTGGGCCACACATATCCATCCCTCAGGGTCCAAAGTCCATGTCTTCCAGGGAGGCTTTTCTGAATTACTTCCGCCTGCCAGGACCTCTCTCTGTTGTATTCTCAGCACCTGGTGTCCCTTCTAGGCACTTCACACTGGGTAATGGTTGGCTTGATGGTAGCACTAGTTTTAAAGCTTTTAATGTTTTATTTACATCTAATTTTGTAAAACCCATTTTTATGTCTAGTATCCCTAAAATAGATGTAACTTTCCAAGAATGTTATCATGTTTTACATACTATGCTTTTGCCTAGTAGATACTCAGTGAATTTTATTTTTGAATGAATACATTAAATGTGACGGGTTTGTTGTTGTTGTTGTTCCTAGGTTAAGAACATCCCTGATGATCCCTGTTGCCGTTTTCTCCTTGATTTTGCCCAGTCAGAGCCTGCTCAGAACTTCTGTGGGCCATATTCAGAACTGTTCAAAGGATTCACACAGGCATGTAGAAAACAGGCCCTAAAGACAGATATAGTTGCTGGTTCCACTATTGATCAAGCTGTGAACGCCACCTTTGCTGCTCTGGTATATCGCACTCCAGAATTATATGAGAAGCTGCAAAAATATGGTAACTTATTACAGGGAATATTTTTGATCTGAAGGCTAATTGCTTTGATCTGAAGGCTAAGTTTTTGGGAAGCCTGTTTTTAGTGAAAATTTTTCATATAAATATATTTCTGCAACCATAAACTTCATCTGGTTAGTCCTACTTTGCCAAGAGCCAAACAACTCATGGCCAGTTATAGTTAACAGAGTGTAACTTGTGGCATGCAACATTGAGTTTCAGAGTCAGCAGCTGGGTTATCTTTATCCATATTTCTCACAGAAGATTGCCAAAAAATTTACTGGAAAACCCTTTAGGTTGGATTATACTAGTGCTCAGATACTCAAGTGTGCAGCTTCAGTTCATCGGACAGCCTTCTGTGTCTGGTTCTATCTTGCAGTTGGTTTAGAGGTGATTAGTTCTTACATCTGAGAAATTCCAATTCAAATTGCAAATGCTTGAGTTATTGAGGCGCTGACAACCCAACAGGAAAATGTGGGTGTCAAGTGTTCTCGGTAGGCATACAGCTTCTTCGTAGGACCATCCCAAGAGAGGGTCCATTTTTGGAAGCCTGTTGCCTCCTAACAATTTCCTTTCCCTCGTGTTGCCTGGGGGACACCAAGTCTGTCTACCAGTTGTACAGCCTGCAGCCTAACAAGCTCCACAAAGAGTATGCTATGTAACACTTATTTAGGGGAAAAACATTTCAACCCCTTCTAAAAGAGGAGGAGTGTCTCTCCCCAAGCACCTTGGCAAAGGGATATGTGAAGTGAAGAAAGATACTCCTTCCCTTAGAGGAGATTGCTGTTATTACTATTGATATTGTTATCCTTGTCATTTGTATTACTCAATCCTTTAGAGCTCATGCTGTGGAGTTTTTATTTCCTGCTGCTAAACATCTCCATTACCCTCAATATCTCCTTTAAAAAGTTACTCAAAGAAAACCACACTGAAGTAAGCATGATTTATGGAAACAAATGGCATACAGAAGAGTATCTCCTTTGAGGAATGGGAATGGGCAGATAACATGTATGGTTTTATGAGGTAAAGGAATCTGTATATATTTGTAATCAGTTAGTGAGTGATAAGAAAGCCAGACAGTTTGTTCTTCGAGGGAGTTTTCAGTATAGTGATAAACAAAAAGCTTCGTGCAGGGGTAATATTCAATCACATTCATGGGAGAAGAGAAACACACTGCAGATGGGGAGCTGGAAACATCTTTCTGTGTGTAGCCTGTGTTTGGAATGCCTGCCGAGGGTGGTGTGAAAGAAGCACCATATGTCTCAGTTCTTTTTGTTTTGTCTTCATGCTGTAGGTAACCTACCCGAGGACCATTTATGAGTCCTCTTAGAGTGAACTCCATTGAGGGAGGACTTTGTCTATTCTAATTTCCTCACCCTTATCTAAAAATTGGGTTATTTCTTTTTTTTTTTAAATAAATCTTTTTTTTTAAAGATTTATTTATTTTTTATTGGAAAGGTGGATATACAGAGAGGAGAGACAGAGAGGAAGATCTTCCGTCCGATGGTTCACTCCCCAAGTGAGCGCAACGGGCCGATACTATGCCGATCCGAAGCCAGGAGCCTCTTCCGGGTCTCCCGCGCGGGTGCAGGGTCCCAAAGCTTTGGGCCGTCCTTGACTGCTTTCCCAGGCCACAGGCAGGGAGCTGGATGGGAAGAGGGGCCACCGGGATTAGAACCGGCGCCCACATGGGATCCCGGGCGTTCAAGGCGAGGACCTTAACCACTGTGCCACTGTGCCAGGCCCAAAATTGGGTTCTTTCTAACCTGTTAGGGAAGTAGGTTTCCCACCAGAGAGTAAACTAGATAGGGGCAAGGACCATATCTGTTCTTAGCATTGTGTTCCCTCTGTTGCAGAGCCCAGGGTACATTCTAAGTTTTGAAAAGTATTTACTGTGTTATGCCTTGATGTGTCATAGAGTGTCACATTCTTCTAGGGTATCTATGATTTTTTTAAGGCTTATTTTATTTATTGAAAGGCAAAGTAGTAGAGAGAGATCTTTCATCTGCTGGTTCCATCTCCAAACTACTGCAATAGAGATCAGTGTTATATCTAATAAAGCTGCCTCTTGCAACACTGGCATTCCATATAGACTATACCCACAAACCTGGAAGAAACTCTGGCCCAGCTCTGCCTGTTGCAGCCATCTGGGTAGTAAACCAACAAATAGAAGATCTCTCTCTCTGTAACTCTGCCTTTCAAATACATAAATAAATTTTTAAAAAAGAGATGCCACAGAATGCAGGGCCAGGCCAGGCCAAAGCCAGGAGCCTGAAACTCCATCAAGGTCTTCCACATGGACCCAGATACTTGTGACATATTCTGCTACCTTCCAGGCATATTGCCAGGGAGCTAGATTAGAAGTAGAGGAGCTCCCAACTGCCTAGGAGATGAGAGGGAATATGAATGCCCTCGGAGGCTGAGAACTCTGAGGTCACTCATTCCCTATTGGATTTCCCACACAGGATGGTAGCAGCCCCAAACCGTCTCATAGGGTCTGGTGACATGGGAACTATAGCCAGGAGCCCCGGGTGGTACTCAGAGATAAAAGGGTTGTAATTTTCCTTTTGGACTCAGAAGAGGAGCTTTCTCTGGTCCTTATCTAGTTCTAGCCTTGGCTCTCAGGCCTCTCTTACACCGACCATCAGGGTTGCTTGTGAGTTCCAAAATTAGTTCAAACAGACAGAGACTAATAAAGGTCAGCTAGCTGATAATCACACAGCTTGTACCTTACTGATCAGGCTGCCCATTTGGCTTTTCAGATAGACAGAGAGAGACATAGATATAGATACAGAATGCCTGGAACAGCCAGGGAAAAGGTCAACTAGCCTGTAATCGCTCGGCCTGTACTTAATGGTCAGGCTCCCTATTTGCTTCTCCTGGACTTTACCAGGTAGGATGTAGGGTTAAATTCTTCCTCACTCACTGGGTTGTTGGGGATTTCCCTGCTCACCTGCCTGAAACTTTTCTATTCTTCAGTTGTCAAAATGCAAAGTTCTGTAAAACCATGCTTAATTACTGTATACTGCAAAGTTTAAATTGTGGCTAAATTTTCTCCCCCCAAAAAACTTTATCAATTCATGACTGTTAATGCTAAACAAGATGTAAGTGCATAGGAACTTTGATGTTACATTTGTACTCAGCTGTTATATATATGATGGATGTTAATGTTGATGTGTCCACTGTTTCTGTGGCACTCTGATTCAGATTAAATTCAAAAACATGTAAGCTTGGGAGAAAAAAAAAGATTTATAGCAGCTAGTTGTGTACATACTAAAATTGAGATGTCAAGGAAGTAGTTACAGGATGTGGTTAAGAACTTGCATTTTCTAACATATTGGTCACTCATTACCATGTTAATTAACTTCATGATGTTGTTAATTTCGATGTTTCTTCCTGTTGTTGAAGTTGTGTAGTGACATCTCGTTGGAGGAGATGATATTCTACCAGCTCTACTTTCAGACCAAGGATGGTCTCTCAGTGAAACTGCTGAATCTATTTGGACAATTAAAAAAAAAAAAGTGAAGGAGCTGGGCCTGGCATGGTAGCCTAGTGGCTAAAGTCCTTGTCTTGCATTTGCCAGGATACCATATGGGCACTGGTTCATGTCCTGGCTGCTCCGCTTCCCTTCCAGCTCCCTGCTTGCGGCCTGGGATAGCAGTCGGGGACAGGCCAAAGCCTTGAGACCCTGCACCTGTGTAGGAAACCGGGAAGAGGCTCCTGGCTTTGGATTGGCTTAGCTCCAGCCATTGCAGCCACTTAGGGAATGAGCTAGCGTATGGAAGATCTTTGTCTCTCTTCTTCTCTGTATATCTAATTTTACATAAAAATAAATAAATATTTAAAAAAAGAAGAAGTAGAGCAGCCAGGACTTGAATGAGTACTTATGTGTACTGCTAACATTGAGGTGGTAACTTAACCCTCTGTACCACAGTGTTGATCCCAGGATATTTGGGTTTTTGAATGGAGAGAGAGGGCAGACCTCATTAGGTATTTGTTTTTTAAAATGTTTTTGGTCATTCTTCTGATTATAAAAATGATATGCATTCATGTAGAAGTATACAAGATATTACAGTTTTATTTCTATTAACATTTTCCTATGTATCATGCCTTTTATCTAAAAATACTTGTACGTGCACATTAACACACACATGTATACACATGCATATTGTGCTTTTATACACTCTTAAAATGTGATAATTTTGCTTCTAACCTTTTTTTTTTTTTTTGGTTGTTGTTGCTCACTGTGAGCAACATGAACTGTTCTGTGTCAATAATTTTTTTTTACTCAGTATTTTAAAAAAAGATTTTGCTGTTTAAAATTCCTTTCCAGGCACTATTTTTTTTCTCTCTTTTAAATATTGCTTTCATTTCAGAAACCCTTAATTTAAGAAATTTAGTTTGAAGTAACAGACAATGCAGGTATTTGTGGTTTAACAGATGATTTTTTTTCTTCAGGCCTCTTTCATCGCTCTGAGGTCTTAAGTGTCAGGAGGACTTTTCTATGTTTTAGACTTGTGTGAGACTTTGTACTTGACGTCTCAGTGGCGAACTGTGTTAACTGAATGCCATCTCCTCCGCTCTCCTTCTTTCCCCAGTAAATAGCGGGGGCAAGGCTGCCCTGAGTGAAGAGTTTGCACAGGTGTATTCTTTGGCCGATGGGATTCGAATATGGATGGTAAGATTTTCCTTTACATGCTATTTCAGTATGTTCTTGGTTTTCCCATCATGATATCATGAGTTAAGGTAAGTAGTTCTGTTCTAAAGAATGTAGCTTCAGGGATTTTTTTTAACTGAAGTTTTGAAGTGAGTAGATATAAAATGAATTAGAACCCTTGAAATAGTCATTTTATGATTGTTGAAAAGATTCAAAGTAAACAGGATTCAATGGAGCCCTTCCTGGAACTTTGCTGGGAGAAGCCTTGCCGTAGAACCAAGCAACAGATAACAGTTTTTGATAGAGGAGAAGTCTGCATTTGAAAAGACTGTTTCCTCAGCAATGACAGAAGAACCAAATGTTGATCAGTGGGAGAATTGACAAGAAATTATAATCATATACAATGTTGTTATAATTACATCACAGTGAAATAAAACTATATGTGTCATCAGCATAAATGACTTAAAACTCGATGAGCAGAAAGAATGTAGCTTGTGGAAAAATACCTAAGTACAGTGTTATATAAAGCTTGTGCACAGATCTGATCTCTGTGTTAAACACAGATCTGTAGCACAATTATGCAGATACTTGGGAACAATAAACAAGTTCAAAAGAATTGTTTTTCTTTCTAGGCATGGGAATAAATACCTGTATGTTAGTATTGTTCTTTATATGTTTATATGTATCTTAAATATTGCATAGTAGTTGGGGAAAAAAGCTTTAATTAGGGGATAGATCATGAAATTGGAAGCAGAAGACTAATGGCAGTGGGCAGATGGAGTGGTCTCTGGAACTTGGGAAATAAGGCATCAGCTTCATGGTTGCTATCACTGATCATTGAGTGGGTAACAGGAAGGAAGGACTTATCTCCCAGGTACCTGATGGGTGACTTAAGTGGTAGAAATGCTGACCAGAAGTGGTCTTAGATTTAGCAGTGGGGAGGTTGGTTCAGTTTGGGACATGCTGAGTATGCAGTTATATAGGTTATCCAAGACAGCTAACTGAAGAATTTAAGAAGTGAGAGACTCTCTATAACTGATACTTAATAGAAATATCAAAACACAGATAAGTTAAAGCATGTAGTTAAAAGATATATGAGTTAATCTAGGAATGGAGAGCCTTGCACAGGGTTTGTGGTAAATATAGTGCACTTGGTGCCCAGTGTATGAAGTGAGGACATTTTTAAAAAGCCTGGAAGGTGTCCACAGAGAAACCCAGTCGGTAGTAGAGGTTTAAAGAACAAAACATGTCTACCAAAGACAGTTCTAGTAGAAAGGGGTTGGCAGTTGACAAGACACACTGCAGGTTGAGCTGCTGGATTAGTGTTGGACCAAGAGTTGGGCAAGATCTCTACATTCTCCTCAGGATCTTGGCCTCTCCTGGGTCCCATGTGGCTTGCTGCCTGAGCTGTCAGTGTTGTTGGAACATTGCCTGAACTGGTCTGGCCCTAAGAGCACTGTTCTCTGCCTGGGAGTCTCAGCCTCTCTTAGAGGGGCCTCTCTCATTCAGGGCAGAGCAGAGATGAGCTTGTGGCTGGACCTCCAAAGCAAACTGGGTCTGTGACCCTCCCAAATCCTCTTGTTGCCCTATACCTCAGCTTCTTTGTTTGTTAATAAGTGGGTTTTGGACAAAGGCCCTCAGCACCAATGTTCTGGGTGCAACAATCAGGTCGTAGGTGCAAAGCCCTCCTAACCAATACTTTGTATAAAAGAAGGTAATTTTGCAGGATGAGAGCTACAAAGCCTGGATGGCTTCTAGGGCAAACAATAGTTCAGTCCTGTGTCCTCACACAGGCCGTAGCTAATAAAGCACTCCATGACCTCAATGCTGTGTTCTTTTGAAGTGGCTTGCTGTGACTGCCATGTAGCGCTCTCAGGACAGCATAATCATGTAGCTCAAATCTTCCCCGCAGTTAGAAATGAAGCAGAAGTCGCTGATGAACCTGGGCAATGAGGCAGAAGAAAAACGTGGTGCAGATGTGGCTGAGGTGAACCCCGAGAGCCTGGGTGAGTGTGCCCACATCACCTGTTGTGGCAGCCCTTCCATGTTTATTGCAGGACCAGCACCTTGCCTTTTGGGAATTTTAGTTGAAGATCTGTTGACCAAGGGAAAGCAGTATAGGTGTTAAATACAGTTTCCAAAGTCTTAATGCAGAGAAAATGCCAGATGTAGCATGCTCCAAATGAAGCATTTTTCTTATCACTTCTCTTGGGAGATGTCAGGTATTTGTTTTTGTTTTGTTTTTTTTTTTTTAATTTTTTAAAAGAAGTTATTTTGCTTATTTGAAAGGCACAATTAGCAGATAAAGAGAGAAAGAAATTCAATATTTCACTCCCCAAATTCCTCAAAAACCAGGACTGGGCCAGGTAGAAGTTGGAGACTGTTGTGTCTCCGATATGGGTAGCAGGAACCTGAGTACTTGAGCCATTGCCTGCTGCCTCCCAGACTGTGCAGTCACAGGGAGCTGGAGTAGGGAGCAGACATGCCGCACCCAGGCACCTTGATTGGGCTTGCAGCCATCCCAAGCACTGTTTGAACTGCTGTGCCAAGCACCTGTCCCCATCAGGTACTTTTAAAACTACATCTTTAAATTTCTAAAATGTTCTTATACTGAATACTCAGTGAATTTAGAATTGTCTTCATTTTCAAAAATAATATATATCATGGCTAGTGTTGCTGATTTAGTCCCCCAAATGGCCTCAATGGCTGGGGCTGGTCAGGCCAAAACCAAGAGTCAGGAGCTTTGTCCAGGTCTCCCACATGGGCCCAAGTACTTGAGCCATCCTCTGCTGCTTTCCCAGGCGAACTAGCAGTTAGATCAGGAGTGGAGCAGTAGGAGCTCCAACCAGCACCCATATGGGATGTCAATGTGGCGGATGCAGGTTGACGTGCTGTGCCACAACACCTCCTTCGTTTTTAAGCATTTGTTTTATTTATTTGAAAGGCAGAGTTATAGTTACATATTATTACAATCACATTATAAAGTTTGATTGAATAGATTATTTTCCAAAAGTAGGCTATATATTTAATTTTGACTTTTTCCTTTCTTTTTTTTTTTTGCCTTCAGCCAAAGAGTGTATTCAGAAGAGTCTTCTGTTACTAAAATTCTTGCCCCCTGGTGTAAACTCAAAAGAAAGCAGTGACAAACTGGCTACAGATGAACCTGACCACCTGCAGCCCCTTGATAAGCGCCCACGGACCAGCTCTGTGGTGGAAGAGCATTTCCAAGCCTCCATATCTCCCACTGAAACAGCAGCGCCCACCACGGGAGACCAGAGCCCTGGCCTGGACGTCCAGTCAAGGCTGCCGCCTGGCAGTGGCCCCACCTCAGCGGATGCGTCTTCTGCCGCAGCCGAGGAGCCCTCATCTCCTTCCACACCCACCCGGCGGCCTCCCTTCACCCGAGGGCGCCTCCGACTGCTCTCCTTCCGATCCATGGAGGAGTCCAGACCCGTGCCCACCGTGAAGGAGAAGTACCCCGTACTTAAGGACGTCATGGACTTCATCAAAGATCAGTCCCTCTCACGGGAGAGGTGAGCTGTCATCACTGCCCCAGGGACCCAGCGGGCACAGGCTTGAGGCTCACACTGAGCTGCCACCATCTATGCTAGAGCAGGCCTTGTTTTAAAATATTCAAGAATGGGAAAAAAACCGATTTCTCCCTTTAAAGGGAAATTGTGTACATTACATTATAAAATGTGTGTATAATATCTATCATAAAATTTATACATTATACTATATACAAGTATATCTCAGTAATGTGCTGTTAGGTTTTTTTTTTTAATTATTATTTAAGGAAGCATTTGTTTTGGTAGCTGCTGCTTACAGATTTCTCTTATTTTAACCCTAGGGTTTTTGGATTTGGTATTTTCTGACAAAACTAATTACATTGAAAAAATGTATTACTTATTTTGAAGTCGGAGTTATAGAGAGGGGGAAGAGACACAGAGAAAGAGATCTTCCATGCACTGGTTCACTGACCAGATGGTCGCAACTGCCCGGGCTGGACATCCTGAAACTTGGCACCAGGAGCTTCTTCCAGATCTTCCACATGGGCGGCAGGAGCCCAAGTGCTTTGCCGTCTTCCGCTGGTTTCCATTAGCCTTTACCAAGAAGTTGGATTGGATGTAAAACACCTGGGTCTCAAAGCCAGTACCCATGTGGGATGCCAGTGTTACAGGCAGTAACTTTATCCGCTCTGCCACAATGCTAGTCCCATGTTGCATGTTTAAAATTCCATGTCCTAATAATTAAATTATCTCTGTGAGAAAATAAAGAAAGCAAAGTTGTTTTTAGGAATTAATTTTTAAAACGGGTTGCTGGACTTAAGGACAATCGCTGTGAGCCGACAGAACGTGTGGAATGGTGACTAAGAGGCTTCTCCATACATGCTACTTGTAACACCTCACAGGGATGTTTCCTTTTTTATGAAGAGGGCCTCAGAACTGGGTTAGAGGATATGTCTGCTTTCAGTCCGGTTCAAAAGTTGTCTGTTCCTGACCTGTGCTCTGTCTCCAGTGTTGTACAGGTGCTCTCCTTGAAGAAAGCTCAAGCCCAAAGCATCCTTGAGGTCCTGCGGGTAATCCAGTACTGCGTGGAGTCCCTCGGGCAACCCCATTGCTTTCATCCGCCATGTATACTTTTCCTATTGGAACTCCTGACCTGCCAGAAGGATTTTACCAAGTAAGTACGAACAATGCCCCTGGAAGGAAGACAGAGGTCATTTTGCAAAACTGAACTGCCCTCTCTAATTAGTAACACCATCATTTTAATGTAGAATATTCCCTCATCCCAAGGAAAAAAAAAAAGCTTTGTCCTTTAAATCAGTCTCAGAAACATGTCTATTCCCCCTAACAAGCTTATCAGCTTTATTTTGCCAGACACTGAGGATAAATCCATCCATGTGTGGCTCTTGGAAGCTGTAAGTGAAGGTTACAGTCACTTAAAGTAGCAACATTAATCCAAGTAGCTCACAGGGTGATTCTGGTATTTGTTTACATGGATTTTTTTTAAAGATTTTAATTTATTTTTACTGGAAAATCAGATTTACAAAGAGAAGAAAAGACAGTGAGGAAGATCTTCCATCAACTGGTTCACGCCCCAGGTGGCCACAACGGCTAGAGCTGAGCCTATCCGAAGCCAGGAACCAGGAGCTTCTTCCGCGTCTCCCACATGGGTGCAGGGTCCCAAGGGTTTTGGCCATCCTCAGCTGCTTTCCCAGGCCACAAGCCGGGAGCTGGATGGGAAGTAGAGCAGGCAGGATATAAACCAGTGCCCATATGGGATCCTGGTGCATGCCAGATGAGGACTTTAGTTACTAGGCTACCACACGGGTCCCTCACATACATTTTTAGTGTCTACTAGGCCAGGAGCTGTTCTAGCTGGGCATGTACAGCTGTGGCAGGTAAACAGATCCCAGCTCAAATAGAGTTTGCGCTATATTGACAGCAAAGAAAAAATACAAGAGAGTATATGCATTTATTTTTATTAAGATTTTTAGTTTATTTGAAAGGTAGAGATTCAGAGAGAGGGAGGGAGAGACAAGAAAGAGGAAACGTTTCCTCCTGCCAGTGTACCCCCCAGTTGACCACAATGGCAGGGACTTGGCCTGACTAAAGCTGGGAACCTGCAACTCTGTGTGAATCTCCCACATGGATGGCAGGGACCCAGCACATGAACCATCTTTCACTGCTTTCCCAGGAGCGTTAGGGATTTAGATGGAAAGTGGAGCCTCTGGAACTAATCTTGGGACCATATGGATGCCAGTATTACAGGTGTAACTGCACCACAAAATGTTTGTTGTTTATTATTATTATTATTATTATTATTATTATTATTATTATTATTATTTTAAAGACAAAGTTATGCAGAGAGATGGAGAAGCAGATCTGCCATCCGCTGGTTCACTCCCCAAGTGGCCATGACGGCCATGACATGGGGTGGCAGGGATCCTACTTGCTGCTTTCCAGGATTCACATCAGGAGAGGCTGGAATTGGAAATGAACCTGGGTCTTGAATCTAGTCACTCCAACATAGGATGCACACATCCCACACTGTCTTATTTGATGTGCCAAATGCCCACGCATTTGCTTCCTCTTGGTTCGTTTTCATGTAAGCAGTAATAATTATTAGGTAAAAGATTCTGTCAAGTAACTTGGGTGATTTCTTCCATTTCTAGTTATTTTGGACACTTGGAAGGCTGTGGTGCTGAGCTACATAAAGAAATTCGAGACACCTACTATCAGCTTGTTCTGTTTTTGGTCAAAGCAGTTAAAGGATTTAGTATCATCAATGACAGGTAATGGATAACTTTATCATTGTATTTTAAATATTTGTTGAGATACAGGAAAGCACAAAGAATGTTTTAAGAGTAACCTGTAATCTGACAAATTATAGTTAATCACAAATATTTACTTATCAGTATATTTTTCTCCCATTCTTTTTTCTGTCTGGTGTGGTACAGTTTAAAGGAGATTGATATGGGTTTATTTAAGAATTTATAGCATATTATTTAAAATTTTTGATGTATTAATACAGTTTTAAAACTTGCCACTTCCCTATCTTCTCCTTAGGAGGAACAGGTGGGTTCAAATAAACCTTAAGTCAAAGGGATCATCTGCAAATCTAATTTACATAACTTCAGCTCCTTTGGGGCTGCCCTGACCTTGAACAGGAAATGATTTTTCCTGCTGGGTCCTATGCCTGAAGATGCACCTATGGTAGCAGTGGCAGAATGGAAAGCTTACAGAATTCCTTTGCTTCAGCTTAAAGGAACCCCACCCCCACAGCACTGTGGGGCTTCCACCTGCTCTCTATTCGCCACCTGGTGGTGTTCCTGTTGTCTCAGCTGATGACGGGCAGCTTGGTAACTGTCCCCTCTGTGTCCTTTCCAGGTCTTTGCTGCCTGCCTTCTCCTGTGTTCAGACAGCCCTGCTCCATCTTTTGGATATGGGCTGGGAACCCAGTGACCTCGCCTTCTTTGTTGATATTCAATTACCAGACCTGCTTATGAAAACGTCACAGGAAAATATAAGTGTTCATGACAGTGTGATCAGGTAAGAATGTCCTGCACCCCCATGGTGGATGGTGGATGGTGAGATGCAGGTTTCTCAGTGCAAGGGCTGAGAGCACAGAGTGTGGCAATGGTCTGTGTCAGAGCCTGGCTTTGCCACACACCGATTAGGTCACCTGGCAGGTTATCGAACCCCCGTGTGCCTCAGTTTCCTCATCTTCTGAGATGGAGATAATGATGGCACCTGCCTCTAAGGCTTGTGCTGAAGAATACATGAGCTGTATTTTTATGGCACATAGCAATGCTGCAAAAATTGGCATTTGATGGTGATGGGAACTCAAGCTGCAGATTCTCTGCACTTTTGTACAGCCCTAGCTTGCTGAATCTCTATCCCATTCAATTCCTCTTATCCATTAGCCACACGTGGTGTGTGTGTGTGTGTGTGTGTGTGTGTGTGTGTGTGTGTGTAGAGAAGATAAAGGAATAGAGAAGGGAGAAGAAAAGTGTTAAGAGAAGTAGGAAATAGATGAGTCAATACTGGGTTTTTTTTTCATTCTCTCAGAGATAGAATTTAAGGCTTCTTGTTTAATGCCCCTCAGCCGGCGCTCTGCTGTTAGAAGGTGCTGCTCACACCTAAAGGAGGCCCAGCCATCAGCGGTCAGTCTGCTTGTTGTCTCAAGGCCTGTCTGTACCTGGTGGTATAGTCCATGAGGGCAGAAACATAGTGTGTCATAGCCACTTCCCAAAGCTAAGTATGAGCAGGCTTAAAATCATTTTCATAGAATGCTGGAATGAATGTGTACTTGTTGGTTGGTAAATACTTGATATTTGCTATGAAGCGAATCGTCTTGTGTTTGAAATGTTGCTTGCTGAAACAAACTGTAAAACGAAATTGTGGACATTTGTAAGCTTGCATTGAAAGGAACCTGTGAGATAATCATCTTGAAACCCTTAACTGGAAGTGGTGAAACTGAGGACCAGGGCTAAATAATGTGTCAGGAGCTCGCTGCAGCGAGGACTACAGCTGGAGGCCTGGCATCCCTGGTCCCCATCACGTGCTGCCGCCACTCATATGTGCTGAGCATGGCAAACTTAAAAACAAAAAATAGTTTATTTAGCCCTTGTGCTTGGCACATGGTAGGCTCACTACCCGTGGTTGTCGAATGGGATTTTGTCACATAGATCCAGCCTTTCACACTCCATCCCCACCCCCTTTACTGTCTGCTCAGAAAGGGCTTCTTCCTTTCAATCATTGTCTATCAAATACCTGACAGACCCGGGGGTCTTCTCCCCTGGGAAGTTTAAAATGCATCTAAGTTAGGTCCAGAGTTTACTAAGCAGCACTGAACTTACTGGGAGAGGCTTGCTTCTCTGTGTGTCCTTCTTTCAGCCAGTGGAGTGAAGAAGATGAACTTGCTGATGCCAAGCAGAATTCAGAGTGGATGGATGAGTGTCAGGATGGCATGTTTGAGGCCTGGTATGAAAAAATAGCCCAGGAGGATCCAGAGAAGCAGAGGAAAGTAAGACCACTCCACCAGTGTAATTGGAAATGAAGTGCTGGGATTTACAAAGAGAGAGGGGTGGGGAGCTGCCTCTGGGATGGCTGCCACTGGACCAGGAGAGGGCTGGGGACCCACTAAAGGTCTTGTGGGATCCAGCAGTCCCTGGAGTCTGGTCTACAGATTCTGGCCTTACCCTGAGGGACTGAGTTCTAATTTGACCACACTCAGAGAGTGACTGCCTCACATTACAACTAGACTACTTGCAGAACATTGGTTCCCAAGGCCAATTGCAGTATTGGGTGCCCATTTATTAATTTACAACTGCGGAAGGACCTGCGTGTCCTTGGGGCAGCAGCTCTCTGCTGGGGCAGGGGAGCAAGCACCATGGGAAGCTGCGTTTCAGCGAGGCACAGACTCGGCAGTGTGTGATTCAGATGTGGAAAGCACCAGGCTCAGACAGCCCACCATGTCCCTGTCCCTATTTGGTGTGGTGGCTGTCACTGCCATATGTGCCAGGCTCTGCTGTCCTATCCACTCATTTCCCAGGTATTGGGTGTTTCCTGTGTGCCAGCCATGGAACTCCTACTTGTGGTACTCACAGGGAGCACGCCAGCTGGGCTTCAGAACTCTCCTGTGTGTTGTTATCTTATTGGGAGCCGCCTGTAGTCACAAGGCAACTTGGTTTGGTGTGCCACTGAAGGCGACTTTGTAATTGGATTCCCTGTTTTCAGACCCTAAATGTCAGCTGTGGTATAGTCTCCAGGTACTTCCCCGTCCGTACAACAGTCTGTTTGCTCATGCATTGTCTCCTCAGAAAGCTTTTTTCTGTTGAAGTGTTGGGAAGTGGTCCTTTGGGAAGTACACATAGTGTTGCCTGTGTTTGCAAACACTGCCATTGTCCAACAGAACATTCAAACCAGAACTTTGATGTGCTTGACCCTACCCCTTCTTCTCCAGGTTGTTCCCGAGGTTCCTCACTCTGCCTTTGCGTTCTCCGTTGGGCTGCAGGTTACTTTAATGACTCCTCTCATGGTCCATCCCCATGACTGCAGTCTTGCCTTTGATTCTGTGCTCGGCAACCACAGGAACTCTTAGTACGTTTAGAGTTGAGCACATGTCTCTCCTAACTGTACATAGATGGCAACTCCTTAGACTAGCATTCAGGGCCTCTTTTCATTTAACCATTCTATCTGGTTATATTCGCTCGATAATATACTATGCACAGAATTCTGCCAATTTCTTAAACCCTTGTCTTGCCACCTTTATGCCCCTTCAAATATGACTTGCTGTTTCTTCTCTCTCTTATATGTCCTCCCTCCTTGGCCCCACTCAGTTACTGTTAATCTCTTAAGTCTCAGCTTAGGGAGGAGTTACCTCCTTTAGAAAGCCTTCCTTGACTTCTCTCATCCCCACTGATAGCTGTCCCCCTGAATGGGGCTGTCAGGGTGCTTTCCAACCTGCATGGTCATCACCTGTCTGCCTGGGAAAGGTCCAACTAGCCACTGAGCTCATTCATGGTCAAGCGCTGATAGCAAGTGCAATGCCTGGATCATGTGGAGTACCTTGTGAATGATGACTTGATCAGTGAGTCATGGTCACAGAAAGCCTGCTGGTTAACTGTGATGGTTTCGCTCTACAGATGCACATGTTTATTGCTCGCTACTGTGACCTGCTGAATGTGGACATCTCTTGTGACGGCTGTGATGAGATCGCTCCCTGGCATCGCTACCGCTGCCTGCAGTGCAGTGATATGGATCTCTGCAAAACTTGCTTCCTTGGTAATGTGTTGTGGGCTGAGAGTGCCATACCCAAAAAGTATCCTCTTATGTTTTGTGCAATACTGCCACTATAGTAAATCAAAATACTACCCCGTGGTCTTCTCTGATTATGTCCTTAACTCAGTGATGAGCTCCATGGCTGTTAGCTGATGGGCTGACTTCCATCCTGCTGGGTACAGCCACTCGATAGACACTCAGAACCAGTGAATGGGCAGTAGTCTGAGTTTCTAGGAAATTATTTTTGTTTCTGAACCATGAAGGTGTTTATAAGTACAAATTGCACACCCAGAACAAAAGCAATTTCAAAGATGCTTTGGCACACTTGGTTTGTAGGTGTTAAAGTAGAGCATGTTAACAGGAGTGAATGAGTGCTCTGTGCACGTATGACCCGACAATAGACAGTGCTTCTGCCCTGAAAACCTTTCCTATCTAGCAGGGAGCCCGGTCATGCCTGGAGTTTGCATTCTGGTACAAAAGTGTTTGTGCTTAGTCACAGAAGAACAGATTACAGTTTCTCGAAAGGTTCAGGACTGCCAGGAAGGTGGGACAAGAAGTGCCTCTTGCAGAAACTTAGAGCTGAAGGAAACACGGGGGAGAGCATCATCCTGGGGGACACAGCGAGCCCTGGGTCAGGAGTGAGCACCTGCAGTGAGTCGAGGCAGACACAGTTGAGTGTGATGATTAAGAGAGATGGGGTCCAGATTATGTGGCCCTGAGATAGCAGGCTGAGGAATGTGAATAATTTACAATAGTGGGAAAGGTTTTTCGAGCAGGCTGCTGACATGATCAGAGGAAGAATGTTCTGTCTGTGTGAGAATTTCCTTTAAGGAGTCAATCATAGTGGTCATAAGGACATGAGAGCCTGCTCTAGATTCACAGCAGTAGGAACAGAAGTGGGTCAGTCGTGAGGAACATTCAACAATGTCCATGGCATGGTCTGGAGAACCACCAGACTTAGAGCAAGGAGACCAAAGTGGCCCATATTGCCATGACTGTCATTCTCTCTCGCTGGGTCTGGAGCTGTGCAGGCTGTTTCCATCTGTGATTCTGCACTGATGAAGGGAGAGCACAAACCTGCACGCTCTTCAGTACTGGGTGTCTTCAACACTGAATGGTTGTTGAGGTTTTGTCAGGGATAGGGCGGTAAGAGACACTACAAACAGCTTGGCACAGGGACTTGTCTCTGCTGAACAGCAGTCATGGTGGCACTTGTGGTAGTTTATTTGGTCAGACTGCAATCCTGAGAATATCATTCATAGGTTTGGTGCCACCTGGACAGAGCACTCTGATTTGCAAAGGATGCCTGTGACTCCTTGCCTCCCTGAGCAGTCTACAGGGAACAACTGTGGGGCCAGAATTGGTTTGGGTTTGGAAACTAGCGTTTCTCAGAGTGCTATGCCTCCTACATCTCATGCTGGTGGATTTTCCCCTAGGTGGAGTGAAGCCTGAGGGCCACGGAGATGACCACGAGATGGTCAACATGGAATTTACCTGTGACCACTGCCAGGGTTTGATCATAGGCCGGAGGATGAATTGCAATGTGTGTGATGACTTTGATCTTTGCTATGGATGCTATGCCACAAAGAAATACTCGTATGGGTATGTCTTAGCTTGCCTGTGATCAGGAAACCTTTTGTGTATGAAATCTTTCACTTCAGTAGGGGCCGCCTTTTCTTAAGAGAAAAAAATTTTTTCATTATAGAAAACATTTAATATACCCAGAAGTAGACTAGTCTGAGCTCCCATGCACCCATTACCCAGGTGCGTGCTTTTTCTCTGCTCAGCCACTTTTAAAATCAAAGTAATTTCCTTCGTACATACTTTATAACCACCTCTAAAAGTGGTTATCTTTTAAGGATATCTTCTCACATTACTAAAAGGCTGTTACCACACCTTTCAAGCACCAGAGCCAGGCATTCCGTGCCCTGGTTTCCACAGTCTGCTGGGGGCTGTGAAGTCCTGAACGGCACAGCCCATGTCTGTGTGCATTCCTCTTTGCAGGAAAGGGTAAATTTTAATTTTCAATACTTACAGCCTAGAGGTGACTGGTGCCAGCTCCCCTGAGGCCCCGGGCTCCTTGTTGGACCTACAGCCTTGAGAAATGCCTTGCTTTTGCAGCCACTTGCCTACCCACAGCATCACGGCCTACCCAATGGTGACCATCCGGATCAGCGACCGACAGAGGCTCATTCAGCCCTACATCCACAATTACTCCTGGCTGCTCTTTGCTGCCCTGGCTCTCTATAGTGCCCACCTGGCCAGTGTGGAGGACATGGATGGGGAGAAGCTGGATCCCCAGGCCCGCAGCAACGCCACCATCCTGCGGAGCCAGTGCATGAAGCTCGTCGGGGACTGTCTGATGAAGGCTCACCAGGGCAAAGGTGACTGCTCCTCCGGCACAGAGACCAAAGCCAAGGCCCAGCTGCTGGTGCAGGCAACACCCCAACAGAAGTACATGCCACAGTTGGTTTTGAGACAAAAAAAAAAAATCCAGTTTGCCACAGAGGGCTTAGGCTGGTGTGGAATGTATTTTCAGTTCTTGGATTCATTTGAGAAGAAATGTTGCCATTTGGTTTCTTTAAAAGATACATAAGGAGATGTAAAAAAAAAAAAGGAATATATATAGCAATTAAAACTCTGAATGTCTGTAGGTACATTTTCTGAATTTGCCAAATTGTGTGAAAGAATCCTTTAAAAAAAAAAAAAAAGACCTAGAATGCAAATCTGCTTCCATACAACTGTTCTGGATGACAGCTGTTTAGAAGTAAAATAGCCTCATAAAGTACCCAGACAGTCCTGCGTGCCAGAGAGAAGAGTGTAGACTTAGTTTAGCTTCTCTCAAACATATTAGTTAACCTTGGCGGAGGCAGCCGCTTTCAGGTGGCAGGCATTTAGGCTGATCCCGGTACTTACAGCCAATTTTGTTAATCACTTCCCAGGGGGAAGAGGTATTTAGAAATTTGGTTGTGTGGAGCTAGTATAAACTTACAGAGTTTATGATTTATTTAAATAGAAAGTCCTGTTACATCTTTTGTCCTCTGTTGTTAAAAAAATGCAGATATCCCTGATGGTCTGGACTTTGTCTGAGATCCGGAGCTGAATAAACTTAGGCAGCCAGGGCTGTAGAGTATCCAGTGCTCTATGAAGAACTCGGCTATTTCTGTGTAGTGCAATGTGCTTTGTGACATTTGCAAGAAATAACCCTTGTTACAAAACTTATAACTGTTCTCTCATCTGTTTCCCATGTAGGTCTTAAAGCCTTAGCTCTTCTTGGTGTATTGCCAGATGGCCACTCTGCCCCAGAACATGAGGCCCTCGTAGTCCCGGGACCGTGCTGCACATCAGAGGAGCCACTGAAGAAGAAGGGGACGCAGACTGCTGAGGAGCCATCGCAAGCAGACCCTTGCTTGCCCTGCCATGTAAGTCACTTCTTGATTAGGCAGAATCACAGGTTCAACTCCAAGTCAGCCGATCACCCCAGCAGCATGGTGGAAGAGTTGGAGGCACAGACCCTTGGCCTGGACTGTCCGACCGGGGACGTGCTGCTGTCCTCACTTTGCTTCCATCCAGTTTCCCACATCTGTGAAGTGGGAATGGTAATACTAACATACCTGTAATGGAGTTGCTGTGAGAAGCTGAGAATCTTACACACTGAAAAAGCATGTGTTGTGTCATATGCTTAGGGTGCATGCTGCCAAGTCCCATGCCAGTGTTAGCTACTCCCATGAAGCTGCTTCCTGAGGGGCTTTTGTTTTTAAAAAAATCAAACAAGGTTATGTGCTTAAAGAAATTTGTCCTTAGCCCTTAGTGAAACTGTATACAGGTAGCTATTTTTATATCCAGTCAAAAAATAGATGCTACCAAAAACTGCTTGCCAGGTAGACAGAGTGATTCATATACAGCAGCAGGAACAGAAGACGCTTTCTGGATCCAGGTGTAACCTGGGAATAGGGGTACTGAAGACTTATGTACAGAAGCACCACATTGCTTTTGCTGTGCCACCTCCAGAGCTTGGGTTTAAGCTGTGAATGCCTCCGACTGTATCTCAAGAGCCTGTGATGTTTTTGTCATCTGTATGTGACAGGCTGCTAACTCAGAGTCCCCATTTGGTTACAGCTCACTGGTCCCCATTGTCGTGTAGAGGAAGACAAAGGCCCAGGTGGAGCCTGCTGAGGATGGGCCGTGTAACGGTCTTGGAGCTGTCATTGCTGACCACAGAGCCCCTGGTTGTGGTGGGGCCACGCCATGTTGTGGGGAGACAAGATGAATCAACAGTCCCACCTTTGAGGCTGGAAGTGTGTGAAGCTTCCTATGAGCCCTTGCCCCTGTGGCTCACCATCCTCCAGCCTTACTGGTTTCCTCATTAGTGTGAGAGTGGTCTCACGAATGTTCTTAATTCAATGGATTGAATCTCATTCATTTTGACACTCAGATTGTCTCTTGTTTGGCAGTGGAAACTCCTTTCATATGCCTTTTACATTCTTGTGTTAAAGTCACCATTATTCTCTGAATGCTTCCTTCATTACTTATGCAAAAAGATGTTTCATGCTTCCCCTGCCTGAGGACTAGAATGAGATTTTTACAAGGAGTTGCCAAGGTGTTAAAGCTGGCAGCACCAACCCTGTGACAGTACCTGAGTGTTGCTGGGGACTGGGAATATTCTGTTTTAAACAATTGAGAAACCGATCTCAGGAACATCATCTAGTTGATTTTGTCCCAGTGATTTCAGGCCAAACAAGGAGGAACCACTGCAGTGACTCTTTGCAGATGAAACTGTGTGCCAGACTTCAAAATTATCTCCACAAAGTGCTGTATGGTTCAGAGAGTTCACACAGGAGGGTCTGCCTTCGAACAGGCAAGAGTTTTTGTCTCAGTCCCCACAGAACAGTGTTAAAAAGATTAGTTACCATAAAAGGAAACTGGGCAACTTTGTTTTAGAGTATATAGCTTATCATAAGAAACAAAGGCATTCTCTAATGAAATTCAAAAAAATTTTGGTCTGTGAAAACAAACTAATGATTTAGAATATTAGTAGACTAAACTTTGGTCTTAAGAAACCTTAACACTTATACACATAACACTTTGTTTTTAGGGGGGGAAAGCTGGACATAAGGAAGTCAGCCCTTTAAAGGGCAAGCAGAGAAGTAAGACAGATGAAGGTGTGTCATTAATAAAGGAGCCTTCAAGCGAAACCCCAATGTCAGACCCACCTGCAGATGCCAGCACACCTACAGGACTTCCAGGTACAGACTGACCGTTGCCTTGGTCCCTTTTTCCTTATGGTACCCACGTGCTCCCCTCTGAGCTGTCTGTTGCACACTCTGCTAACAAGAAACCGAGGTTTCTCAGTTCTGTTCAGATGGTGCTGGCAGCACTTTGAAAATATCTTTCATTGCTTTCCTACCTTAGATAATTACCTAGTTTTAATCTAGTTCTTTGCTAGACTGTAGATGAAAAGGGAGTGAAGCAGACCGTTACTTACTTCCTGGTCTTCTCAGCAGTCCGGGAGGACTTAAGACAGGGATGGAATGAGCTCTGCCTGCAAGAGAGGGGTCAGTGATGCAAAGGCAGACTGGTGTTCTCTCTGGAGGGAGCTGAATCCGCATAAAGCTGGAGGAAGAATGTTGGCAGCTTTGAAGGTGCCAAGATTGGTGGTGGGAACAGCAGCCAGGGCAGAAATGACAGCAAGAGCCAAGGCCCTGAAATGGAAAAACCCCCAGCAAACGTGGAGAGAGGGTGCTTTTGCCAGGAGATGGAGCAGGAGAGGTGCTGCGAGGCTGTGCTAAGGATGGCCGGCCAGAGTTGCACAGTGGGCGAGGGCAGAACTATGGCTTAGGACAGCTGAGGAGCTGGGCAGTGGAAGTATTGCAGGCTGAGGGAGTGTACACAAGCCCCTCTGTGTGTTAGCCCAGGAAAGCAGTGTTTTTCCCAGCCACCTGCTCTGTTCTGAGGCACAGTGAGCACTTGTGTTGTGCCCTGGCTATGGGATTAGCTCAGAGGGGGCTACACTGCATCGAGTTCTAAGTTCCAGGAAACAATCACACACGACCCTGGTGCCTCGAGTCTGACTTTCCTGGGCATCAGCCTCCTGGCACATGGGCAGTAGTCCTCAGGGGCTGGCGAAGTGCCTGTGGTGTTTGAGAAATGTCCCTCAGTGCTCAAGACATTGCTGAGAGGAACATGAACCAGGAAAGGAGGACATATAGTGAACATCAGTAGAAGCACTGTGGGACGTTACGGTGATGATGTGCTGCGGCGGGGCAGGGCATGGGCAACTGGAGGGCAGGCTGCCCACTGAGTCGGGATCCAGTGGGCCTCCTTGAGAAAGGCCGACACACAAGCCGGCTTTCAAGTCCTAGTTTGATTCTGTGGTGGTGCAGGGACAGCAGCTTTCTTGCCCTTTGTAAGGTATAGAACCAGGATTGTTCTGGTTCTGAAAGTTTGGTGTTTTGTAACTCAGATGCAGAAAATCCAGAAGTGTTATCTCAGAAGCCGTTAGAGGAAAAGGCAGTTACTCCACATCCTGAGCAAGTATTTGCCGAGTGCTCCCAGAAGAGGATTTTGGGATTACTCGCAGCCATGTTACCACCTTTAAAGTCGGTAAGAGACAGACGACATTGGGGGTCGGGGTCATGCGCATAGGAAGTTTAGAAAGCACTGTTGGAAACAGATAATAGTCTGTTAACAGTCTGTCCCCAGGGGCAGGATCACAGGATAAAGTTGTTTCCTTCTTTGACCTTCTCTGTATTTTGTAAGTATGTACATTACGATTTTTTTTAATTCTTATAAGCATGTTTTATCTTTTTATTTGAAAAGATTTTTTAAAATAATTAATTAATTTAAAAGGTAGACTTACAGAGGCAGAAGGAGATCTGTCATCCTCTGGTTCATTCCTCAAGTGGCCTCAGTGGCTGGGGTTGGGCCAACCAGGAGCCTGGAACTCCGTCTGGGTCACTTCCATTGTTTCCCAGGCACATTAGCAGGCAGTCAGACTGGAAGTTAAACATCCAGGACTCAGACTGCCACTCAGTGGGGTGCTGACTTCTCAGGCAACAGTTTAACTTCCTTTACCTCAAGGCTGGCCCCAGTTTTGAGAGGTTTTAAGATCATAGAAAACTTGAATAGTAGATGAAGATCTTTACCTAGATTCACCTTATTTTGCTTTTTCTTTACTTAGTATATCCATTTCTATTTTTCCATTGTGTATTTATTTGAGGAAAAAAAAAAGAGAGAGAGAGAAATATCTTCCATTCACTGGTTTATACCCCAAAGACCAAAATGACCAGGGCTATGCCAGGCTGAAACTAAAAGCCATGAATTCAATCTTTGACTCCCAAGTTGATGTCAGAGACCCTGTTCCTTGCCTTAGCTGCTACCTCCCAGGGTGCACATGGGCAGGCAGCTTGAACAGAGAGTGGAGCCAGGACTGGAACCTGAGCACTCTGATATGGGAACTGGGTGTCCCAACCTTGGCTTAACTGCTGGACCAAATACCTCCCTTATATTTTGTGTAAGTTGAAATCATGATTCATATTTTACCATAGTACTTCAGTGTGTATCTCCTGGAAACCATTATCATACTTAAATAATGTAAAGCTTTAATATTGACAGAATAATTTTTGTTTTATACAGATGTATCTATATGTAGAGAAAAACATTTATAAACCAAGGGTTAAGCACTAGACGAGGTTATTGTTAATAGTATATCAGATATCTTAAAATACACAAGCACATTCCATCCCCACACACATGAGTTCTCAGACCTAGGGCAGGTGGTTGGCACAGCAGTTAGGACACTTGGCATACCTGTAGCCCATAATAGAGTTCCTAGGTTTGAGTCCTAGCTCTCCCACTTCCAATCCAGCTTCCTGAGGATGTACCTCCTGGAAGACAGCAGGTGATAGAATCAGTTATTTGGGTCCCTGCCATCCCCATAAAGAGTTGCAACTTGAATTCCAGTCTCCTGTCTTATCTAGCCTGACCCTGGCTATTGCAGTTATTTGGAAAGTGAACCAGCAGATGGAAGAGCTCTCTCCACCCATCTTTTTTTTTTTTTAATTAAGATGTGTTTATTTTTATTGTAAAGGCAGATTTACAGAAAGGAAAGACAGATGTTTTATATGCTGAGCTGATATGAAGCCAGGAGCAAGGAGCTTTTTTCAGATCTCCCATGCCGGTACAGGGTCTCAAGGCTTTGGGACATCCTCAGCTGCTTAGGCCGCAAGCAGGGAGCTGGATTGGAAGTGGAGCATCCAGTACATGAACTGGCACCTATATGGGATGAGGTACTTACAGGTGGAGGATTATCCAGTTGAACCATCATGCCAGCCACTTTCCTTCTTTCTTTCTTTCTTTTTTTCTTTTCTTTTCTTTCTTTTTTTTTCTATCTATCTCTTTCTACCTTTTAAATAGAATGAAAATAAATAAGCAGTAATCTTTTAAAAATTATGAGAATCAACCTGGTAGTATCAGTGTTGAAACCCCTTCATTTAGGGAGAGGGCTGGTATGAATCACCGTTCATATCAATCCTTTTAATTCACACATGGAACTACCAAGTACATTGTAATTTTCTTCTTTTATGTTTTTTTTTAAAGATTTATTTTTATTATTATTTTTTTTATTGGAAAGGCAGATATACAGAGAGGAGAGACAGAGAGGAAGATCTTCCGTCCGATGATTCACTCCCCAAGTGAGCGCAACGGCCGATCCGAAGCCAGGAGCCTCTTCCGGGTCTCCCATGTGGGTGCAGGGTCCCAAAGCTCTGGGCTGTCCTCGACTGCTTTCCCAGGCCACAGGCAGGGAGCTGGAAGGGATGCGGAGGAGCTGCCGGGATAGAACCGGCGCCCATATGGGATCCCGGGCGTGCAAAGCGAGGACCTTAACCACTTGCACCACCGCGCCAGGCCCTTCTTTTCTGTTTTTATAACTCCTGTCTTAGACAATGAGAACTCTGAGTCCCAAGATCCTTTATGTAGTTCTTTCTTTCATCTCTACCACAATTTTTCCTTTAAATTTATTTTATTTGTTTGAAAGGCAACATTACAGAGAGAGAGCACGAGACAGAGATAGAAAGGTTTTCTTTCTAGTGGTCCAACTCCCAAATGTCTATAATGGCAGGGGCTAGGCCTGACTGAAGCCAGGAACTCCATCTGAGCATCCCACATGAGTGGCAGAGGCTCAGGTATTTAAGTCGTCTTCTACTGCTTTGCCCAGGGTATTAGCAGGGAGCTGGATTAGAAGTGGAGAAGCCAGGACTTGAACCAGTGCTCACATAGGATGCTGGTGTTGATGGTGGTGGCCTAACCTGCTGCTCTAGCACCCCACCGCTCTCCCACATACCATTCTTCTTTTTATTTTTTTTTTTAAAGATTTGCTTACTTTCATTGGAAAGGTAGATTTATAGAGAGAAGGTTTACTCCCTGAACAGCTACAATGGTCAGAGCTGAGCCAGGCCAAAGCCAGGAGTCTCAGCTCTGGACATTGTGGCCACTTGGGCAGTGAATCAGCGGATGAAAGATCTTCCTCTTTGTCTCTCCTCCTCTCTGTATATTTGACTTTCCAATAAAAATAAAGTAAGTCAAAAACATATATATATGTGATCAAGATGGAATGCTTAACTGGTATAGCATGTCAGTCAGCCATTTGCTGTTACAGAGGGGTACCTGAGCCAGCCTGTACCGAAGGAAGAGTTCATTTTGCCTTGTGGTTCCAGAGGGTCACCGTCCAAGGTCAGTTTGTCCCGCTGGGCTGATGTCCATGCGGGCAGCAGCAGCAGAGAGCAGATGACCGATGACATGGGAAGCCAGGAAGCAAAGAGACAGTGGCTGGACCCAACTCAGACTTTTTTTTAAAAAGATTTATTTATTTAAAAGTCACAGTTACAGAGGAGGAGAAACAGAGATCTTCCATATGCTGGTTCACTCCCTGCGTGTTCGCTGCAGCCAGGGCTGAGCCAGGCTTGAGCCAGGAGCTCTCACGTGCATGGCAGGGACCCAAACACTTGAGGCATCTTCCAGTGCTTTTCCCAGGAGTGGAGCAGACGGTGGCTTTACTTCCTCTGCCACGATGCAGCCTCCAGTTCAGACTAGAACCAGCCTTGTGAGAACTGCCTGCTGGAGGGACCTCTTCAGTGACTTAAGGACTCGCCTTAGCCCCAGTCAACACCTTCCTGCTATGAAGTCAAGAGTTTGGGAGCCAGATTGTGTTCACAGGTAACCCATGGTTACATGGATTTTTCACTAAACTCCTTTCTCTTTCTCTCTCTCTCTCTCTCTCTCTCTCTCTTCTCTCTCAGCAGGACCCCACAGTCCCCCTGATCGACCTGGAACACATCCTGCCCCTCATGTTTCAGGTTGTCATCTCTAACGCAGGACACCTGAACGAGACCTACCACCTCACGCTGGGCCTGCTGGGCCAGTTAATCATCCGTCTTCTACCAGCAGAGGTCGATGCTGCTGTGATCAAAGTGCTGTCGGCCAAGCACAACCTGTTTGCTGCAGGGGACGGTTCCAGTGTCCCGGATGGCTGGAAGACCACCCACCTGCTCTTTAGCCTGGGAGCTGTATGTCTGGACAGGTAGCCTTGGTTCCCACTCTCCTGGCCACTGCACGCCCTGGTGTTCCTTTCTTAGTCAAAGATTTGGCTCTAGATTGATTTCAGCCTGCTACACAGTTGTGGAAATAGAAATGGTTCCATTAACAGTGTCGTCAGCCCTGGATTAACAGCTGAGCAGCCTCACACTGTCTTCTGCCTCAGCTCTCTGATGATATATGTTCTGGTTTGTTTCTTCCTGAGGGCAGTAAGTGTAGGTGTTGGAGTTGAAGAAAATAAATCTATTTCCGTTTTAAAAGAACCGCAATACCAAATTTGGAGACCAGGAATGAAGGAAAACTCATCCTGACTTGCACCATATTAATACATCGGATGCTGTTTGGCCTTCCGTGCTTTTTCTGTGTGTGTGTGTGTGTGTGTGTGTGTGTGTGTGTGTGTGTGTGTGTGTGTGTACACGCGTACATGAATATAGGGAACTTTTATAGAAGTTTTCAAAAACATAGTTGTAGACTAAGTATATAAATATAATCTTAATTTTCTTTTCAGTTACTGAATAGAAAGCATTCTGATGGTTTTTAAGCTCAGTAATGAACAGCTGTTTACTTGCTCCTGGCTCTTCCTCAAAGAAACAGGAAATTTGGAAACAGCTGGTGGGTTGGAACCTGTGCACTGGCATCTAATGGAGCTCTTGCGTTCCAGCCGAGTGGGCTTAGACTGGGCATGCTCCATGGCAGAGATCCTGCGGTCTCTCAACAACGCCCCTCTGTGGCAGGACGTCCTGGCCGCCTTCACAGATCACTGCGTGCAGCAGCTGCCTTTCCAGCTGAAGCACACCAACATCTTCACCCTGCTCGTGCTGGTCGGCTTCCCGCAGGTACGGCACCACCAGAGACACGCCCCCCATCTGCAACAGGCACGGCACAGTCTGTGCAGTTAGAAGTTTTCTTCTCTAGCTATGTAGTTTACTTTCACAGTATTCTCAAGACTGTAGCCAAAAAAAAAAAAAAATATGGGATACTTTGTTCAACTTGTGTTTTTGGTTGTTTTTTTGTTTGTTTTTTGCTTTTTTTTTTTTTTTAGCAGTTAGCCAGTTGGTTCGTTTTATTAACAGGCAACAAATAAAAAGACTTAGAATAATGTAACATACTAAATTACAAACGCAAAAAAATAGTTGACTTCCCCTTTGGCGTCTTTCTGTCTCTCAACTGATTGAGATCGAGAGGGCTTCACGGAGCAGAAACTGACTCCAGTTCTGTGTCATGCCCTTTAAAATTAGGGTGAGAAGAACCTTGTCCCTAAGAGCTTGTGAAGTCAGAGGCACAGCCCATGGCAGCCAGTTGTGCCTGATTCTTAGTGTGTGTGCTGTCTGCAGGTTCTGTGCATGGGAACTCGCTGTGTGTATGTGGATAATGCCAATGAACCTCACAGTGTGATCATCCTGAAACACTTCACCGAGAAGAACAGGGCCGTGATCGTCGATGTGAAAACTCGGAAGAGGAAAACAGGTCCTAAGCATTATTGTTTGTTTTCTGAGAGTTGAAGAAAATTGTCTGATCCCTGCATACCCTAGAATCAGTGAAGAGACCTTGATTCTTCACCTTGCTCTTTAACCTTTTTTTCAAAGATTTATTTATTTTTATTGAAAAGGCATATGTACAGAGAGGAGGAGAGACAGAGAGGAAGATCTTCCATCCAATAGTTCACTCCCTAAGCAGCCGCAATGGCTGGAGCTGAGCCAGTCTGAAGCCAGGAGCCAGGAGCCTCTTCCAGGTTTCCCACATAGGTGCAGGGCCCCAAGGCTTTTGGGCTGTCCTCAAGCAGGGAGCTAGATGGGAAGCAGGACTGCCGGGACCAGAACCAGCGACCACATGGGATCCCAGCACGTGCAAGGCAAGGATCTTAACCACTATGGCATTGCGCCAGGCCCTAATATGTCTTTTTGATTGTGGTATGCTCTGGCAGGATTGTCTTGGTGTCTCTTCTGCTTGTTCTGCTTACAGGTTAATTGAGTTCGTTGAATTTATAGTTTCTATCCAATTTGGAGAAATTTTTGACCATTATGTCTTCAGTTTCTTTGCCACCCTCCCCCAGGACACTTCTGGCTCTGACTCGTTGGAAAACGAGCAGCTGCTGTTAAGCTCCAGGAGCTGTCCTTTTGCTCTTTGCCAGTTCCTCCTGCTGTCTGTGTAGTCATCATGCTCCCACAGACCCATGAGGAGCCAGGAGAGTTCTCGCCACCTCTCTGTTTCCTGCATCTTCCTGCTCCCTGCCGCGCTGCCCCATGAGCTCCAGCCGCGGGCACCTCCATCTCCTGTCGACGGAGGCATCTGTATTCAGCTTGCTTTTTCACAGATGGCAGGTGTGACTGGAGGGCTGATGCAGTCAAGTTCATTGTCTCAGAGATCCTGGCCCCTCACTGCCTGTTATCCAAACAGGTTTATTTGACTGGTTTGTGGTGGGTTTTGATGTTCTGCTTGTTTAATCTGATTTCTCCTACTCCATCTTATTGGAGGTAAAAGTCTTACGTTCTGTTGTTAATAATTTCCATCAATACTTTTGGAGATGAATTACTGTTAATTATCCCTCTCAGTTGCTTGGTGCATAGGCAACCTGGTACCATTTTGTGCTTACCTGCAACTTGGCTTTAAAAATGATCCCCACAGGTCTGGTGCATTAGCCTAATGTCTGGGGTCTTCACTTTGCTTGTGCCCGCATTCCATATGGCTGCCGGTTTCATGTTCTGGTGGCTCCACTTCCCATCCAGCTTCCTGCTTGTAGCATGAAAAGGCAGTCAAGGCATTGTGGTGCCGCAGGTTAAGCCATCACCTGAGATGCCTGCATCCCACATCAGGAATGCTGATCCAGATGCCAGTGCTGTGGCATAAGTAGGTAGAGCCACTGCCTGTGCCACCAGCATCTAATATGGACACAGTTCAGGTTTCAGCTGTCTGCTTTCAATCCAGTTCCCTGCTGATGTGCCTGGGAAAGCAGTAGAAGATGGCCTAAGTGTTTGGGCTCTGGTAAACTCTTGTGGAGACCTGAAAAAGCTCCTGGCTATTGTCTTCAGAATGGCCCAACTCTGGCACTTGTGGCCATTTGGAGAGTGAACCGGTAGATGGTTCATGCTCAACCACCTCTACTTCCGGCTAATACATCCTGGGAGACATCAAATGTTTACATTGATTGGGCTTCTTCCATCGGTGCAAGAGACTCCACTGGAAGTCCAGCATACTGGCTTCTTTTCTTTTCTTTCTTCTTGTTTTTAGTATTTTTTTTTTATTGGAAAGGCCAGATGTACAAAGAAAAGAGAGACAGAGAGAAAAATCTTCCATCCGCTGGTTCACTCCCCAGATGACCACAACAGCCATTGCTGAGCCAATTGGAAGCTAGGAGCCCAGAGCTTTTTCCAGGTCTTCCACACAGCACCTCCGCTTCCCATCCAGCTCCCTGCCTGTGGCCTGGGAAAGCAGTCGAGGACAGCCTAAAACCTTGGAACCCTGTACCCATGCAGGAGACCTGGAAGAAGCTCCTGGCTCCTGGCTTCAGATTGACACAGCACCAGCCATTGTGGTCACTTCAGAAGTGAACCATCAGACAGAAGATCTTCCTCTCTCTCCTTCTCTGTATATCTGACTGCAAAATAATAATAAGAAGAAGAAGAAAGAAAGAAAGAACATGACAGGAGTGCTTGGGCCCCTGTGACCCACATGAGAAACTCAGGAGGAGTTCCAGGCTCCTGGCTTGGTCTGACCCAGACCCCACCATTGTGGCCACCTGGGGAATGAACCAGTAAATGAAAGATCTCTCTGTCTCTTTCACTGTCTTTCTGTAACTTATATTTCCTTTATTTACTTTCTGTGATTTATATTTTCCTATAAATAAAAATAAATTATTTTAAAAATAAATAAGATACTGGGCCCGGCGCGGTGGCGCAGTGGTTAAGGTCCTCGCCTTGCACGCCCGGGATCCCATATGGGCGCCGGTTCTAATCCCGGCGGCCCCTCTTCCCATCCAGCTCCCTGCTTGTGGCCTGGGAAAGCAGTCGAGGACGGCCCAGAGCTTTGGGACCCTGCACCCGCGTGGGAGACCCGGAAGAGGCTCCTGGCTTCGGATCGGCATAAGCATTGACCGTTGCGCTCACTTGGGGAGTGAATCATCTGATGGAAGATCTTCCTCTCTGTCTCTCCTTTCTGTATATCTGCCTTTCCAATAAAAAAATAAAATAAATCTTTTAAAAATGAATAAGTAAATAATATACTAAAAACAATATCTGCATTAGAGCTTGGGAACTTTTGTTGTTATAGTTCTTCCTTTGGGAAGACACATTGCTGTGGTGCAACCGAGCTACAGGAAGCATTAACTTGTCTTTTTTGTGCTTTTCTCTTCCTGTCTGACATCCCTCAGTGAAGGACTACCAGCTGGTCCAGAAGGGAGGAGGCCCAGACTGCAGTGACTCCCAGGCCCTGCTGAGCCAGTACTCCAAGCACTTTGCCTTAATTGCCAGTCACCTGCTGCAGGCCAGCATGGATAGCCATTGTCCTGAGGCAGTGGAGGCAACATGGGTCCTCTCCCTGGCCCTCAAAGGCTTATACAAGACACTGAAGGTAACAGTGGGCTGCTCATCTCTGACAGTGCACCTGGCTGGGATTAACGAGGAAATAATAATGTGGTTTTGATTGGTGGCTAATCATATCTTTAGAAATGTATGGGACTCTACACAGGGAGAGCTTTAAAGAGAAAATAGAAATTACAAAATAGTTTCATTCTCTGTATTTTTCAGTATGTCTCATGGAATTGGGTCATCTACTTCATTGGGGTGTAACTGTAGGACAATGAATCTGAGAAGTTCCTCACTTCTCTCTTGAGCAGGGTGACTGCCTTGGTTCATTGTGGGAGATGAGAGGGAGAATAAAGTGGGCTGGCACCATGGGGCCTCTGAGCGGAGTTGGTGGACAGGCGGTGTGGAGATGAGACACCTGCATTTGTGGGAAATGTGGTTCTTCAGCATCTGAGGGCATCGATGGGCAAGAAGAATCTTTCAGGTGGAATTTCAGAGCCCTTTGAGGATCATGGTTCTAGTAGATTTGCCCATGGAAGGAGTTCAGGAGAACATTGTGTGAGCTCGTTGGCTTTGAAGGGTCTTTAGTGGCCACACTGCTGAGGCAATTTCAGAGGGAGATTGGGTACCACAGGCCAGACTGCGCGGCCCTGGCCAGCCCGAGGGGTCTGCACGGATAGAAGTGAGACCCCTCTCTGTCTTCCCTTATTCACCTTACAGTAGGGAGGGGCAGACAGGCCCCCGAGGGCAGAGATCCCTTCGCTGTCGTAAGTCTTCATCCAGTTAGTGAGTATATGAGTGTCAACTAGGAAGGAGGCCCCTACTCTGCTGGAACCTCCAGCCTAACCAATGAGAGATAGCAGGGAGCTGGCACAACTGCCCTGACTCCAAGGAAGCCTGTCTGCAAAGGTGACAATCAGAGTGATGGAGAAGCTGGGGAGAGTGTCCACTGAGAGCCACATGTCCCAGGCCTCTAAGTGGGACAATTCTGGCTGGCAGGGCAGAGGAGCACCTGGAACAAGGCCCATTCCTGGGGGGTAAACAAGTTCTCTTTCTCTCCCCACCCCTGCACATCCCTTCCTTCTTTCCTTTCTCCATTTGTCTCTCTCTCTGTAACTCTGCCTTTAAAATGGCTGGCTCAGTGGTATAGCTGGTTAATCTCCATCTGAAGTGCCAGCATCCCATATGGCTGCCTGTTCAAATCCCTGCTGTTTGACTTCTGATCCAGCTCCCTGCTAATGGCTTGGAAAGGCAGCAGGGGATGGCGCAAGAACTTAGACCCCTCTAAGTGGGACACCTGGAAGAAGCTCCCTGTTTCCAAGTTCAGAGCGGCTCATCTCTGACCATTGCAGCCATCTGGGGAGTGAATCTGCAGATCAAAGCACATGCTCTCGTGTGCGCTCTCTTTCTCTGTAATTCTGACTTTAAAGTAAATAGATAATTCCTTTAAAAATAAAAAAAAGAAAGTATTTCTGAAGTGAACAAATTGAAGAGTGAATGGTTGCCATTAAAGTTTAGGGTGTGTTCTTCCTACTGTCCTGGCAGTTTTTTCTGGCAGGTCGGCTAGGGCCACCTGTTGTCATGGCCCTGGGGCCATCGGACTCCTATCCAACCAACCTCTACCTTCTTCAGGCTGCTCAGCCCTTCTCTGCTTGACAGGCTCACGGCTTTGAGGAGATCCACGCCACCTTCCTCCAGACTGACCTGCTCCGGCTGCTGGTGAAGAAGTGCAGCAAAGGGACTGGTTTCAGCAAGACGTGGCTGCTCCGTGACCTGGAAGTAAGGGCTGCTGCTGCTGCCAGGCCTGCCTGCTGGGTGGGGTGGCATCAGCCAGCTCCAGCTGGTGCTGCATAGCTGTTAAACCTGGACCTTGCCTCTGTCTTTCCCTTCGGAAATAGGGGTTTGACATCTGTCCTCTCCTGTCAGGGAAAATGAATGTGATGTTTGCTCAAAGGACCTTGGAGAAGAAATCTTTTATGGAAACACGTGATTGACCATTATATCATGGTAATAAAGTGTACCCTGGAGCCATCATTTCCTGCTTAAAGTTCCTTTGAGCTAAAATCACTTTCTAAGTTTGTCCTCACATAGGTTTACTTTATGAAGGATTTTAGTTGATAACTTATTATCCGCCCCCCCCCCAGACCTTGCCTTTTACTTAGTTGAATGAATCAATGTGATTCCCTTTGACCTTTTGGTGCTAAATGCTACAGGTCCAGGAAAAGACGGCTGCGGCCAGGCTTGCTAGGGCCAGCAGTGGGACACACAGCAAGTTAGGCTGCTGCCTACAGCAGTGGCATCCCATGTGAGCACTGGTTCAAGTCTTCGTTGCTCCACTTCTGATCTAGTTCCCTGCTGATGCTCCTACGTGGAGTTCACACTGCCAGCGTCATCCTACTCTGCCTTGCCATTGCACACAGTTAGGAAGTGAACCAGCAGGTGGAAGATCTCTCTCTGCTTCTTCTGTCTCAGTTAACCCTGATTTCCAAATAAAGAAATCTTTTTTTTTTTTTTAAGATTTATTCATACAAAGGAGGAGAGACAGAAAGGAAGATCTTCCATCCATTGATTCACTCCCCAAGTGGCCTCAACAGTCAGAGCTGAGTCATTCTGAAGCAAGGAGCCAGGAGCCTCTTCCCTGTCTCCCATGCGGGTGCAGGGTCCTAAGGCTTTGGGCCATCCTCAACTGCCCTCCAGGCCACAAACGGAACTGGATGGGAAGTGGAGCTGCCAAGATCAGAACCAGTGCCCATATGGAATCCCAGCACATTCAAGGCAAGAACTTAGCTACTAGGCTACCATTCATGGTCCCTAAGTAAATAAATCTTAAAACAAAAAAAACAAAACAAAAAAACTTACAGCTGCCACAGGATAATTTGGTTACGTTTAAGAAAAATATAGGGCCTGGTACAATAGTATAGCGGTTAACGTGCTTTCCATCTAGCTCCCTACCTGTGGCCTGGGAAAGCAGTCGAGGACGGCCCAGAGCTTTGGGACCCTGCACCCACATGAGAGACCCAGAGGAAGCTTCCAGCTCCTGGCTTCAGATAGGCTCAGCTCTAACTGTTGCGGCCACTTGGGGAGTGAACCATCGGGCGGAAGATCCGATGTGTCCTCTCTGTCTCTCCTTCTCTCTGTATATCTGACTTTCCAAATAAAAATAAATAAAAATCTTGACAGGAAAAAAAAGAAAAATATAAACCTGATAGATAACCAGATAGATGACTGGTCCCATTGAGGACCAGTTCAGTGGCTCAAGTAGTTCATCCTCTGACTGCAAGTACCAGTATCCCACATGGGGGCTGGTTCATGTCTTGGTGGCTCCACTTCCCGTCCAGCTCACTAGTGTGGCCTGGGAAAGCAGCGGGAGCAGTGGAGGATGGCCGAAAGCTTCGGGTGTCTGCACCCATGTGGAAGACCCAGAAACAAGTCTAAGCTCCTGGTTTTGGATCAGCTCAGCTCCAGCAGCCATTTGGGGAGTGAACTAGGGAATGAAAGATCTTTCTCTGTCTCTCTTTATAAATCTGCCTTTCCAATAAAAGTAAATAAACATAAAAGAGAAAAAAATCTGAGAGACTACTTGAAATTTGTCATACAGAGTATTTTAAGTTAATTTCTTAATATTTAAATAATGGGCCCATATTTAAAGAAAAAAAAACTTTTTAATATAAAAGAAAGTCATTGTCTAAGCACAGTTACCATCAGTGGGCCTTTGGTTTTGGTTTTGGTGTATTTTTTTCTTACGGTTCCATAGTATGTTTGCAAGTTTAGATTGTATAATTAATCTACTATCCAAATAAATTGGAATCAGTAGACATTTTTCTGAATTTCTGTGTACTTCTCATACCTTTTGTGTTGGCTACATGAGATACATGAAGGTGACTTTCAGTATTTTGCTATTATTAAGGCTTCAGTGACAATATTTTAAGTGTGGGGTTTTTGGTTTTACATACCTTATACAGTTCCTCAAAGATGAATTACTGGGTCAGAGGATATGATATCAGTTTACATTATCAGCAGAAGAGTTAATGAACACAACAAAGACCTCGGTAGTTTGTAATTAGCATTTGTTTGATTACAAGTACAGTTGAACATGTGTCCATGTTTCTGTGTGAATTTTACATTCCCTATGTGAGTTATTCTGTCTTCCACCAAATATTCGTTACTCCCCCCTCCCCAGCTCCCCACTCGTCAGTCTGATGCCAACTGTAGTTCCTTCTGTGTAGATCTTGTCCATCATGCTGTACTCCTCAAAAAAGGAGATCAACACTTTGGCTGAACATGGCGATCCGGAACTCGAAGAGCGAGGCGAGCAGGAAGAAGAGGTGGAACGGACAGTCAGCAGTCCCGGGGAACCAGAGCGGAAGCTGGACCCACTCAACGGCCTGGATGAGCCCACCAGAATATGCTTCCTGGTACGTCCTCAGGCCTCCAGCTGCAGCCACAGAAGGGCCTCTGAGGAATGCATGCTCTTTTACTGGGGCTACTTTTCAGCCAGACTTCAGGGCAATGCTTTGGGAATTCACTTCCTAAAGCCTCACTCTGTATGGTGCTGGAGTCCCTAGAAAAACAAAGAAACCCCTTAGCAATTGTTGCTGCCATTTCCTGGTCCTGCTCTCAAAAGTTTCAGATCCCCCCTCCATAGAGACACAGTTGAGGTGTGTGGGGAACCTGGGATGTCGTTCCTAGGATTTACTAAATAAAGCCCTGAGGCCCATCCTGGAAGCCTCACTGTATAGTCCCTGCATCCTTCTGTAACCCTTACTTTACAGTCATTCCTCTCATCCTGCCTTTGCCATCCCTGGATAACCCACTCTTGCTCAGAATGGTGTGCATTCGGTGAGGACTTGTATGTCAAAGGGTCAAACTGTGTGAAGAGAGAGTGAGGAGTAGATGTCAGAAGAACAGTTGATATTGGCAAACAAAAACCAAGGAAGTCCAGTGCTCAAACCATAGGTCAGTTGTTAAACTTGAGCGTGCAGGGCTGGTGCCATGGCTTACCAAGTTCAGCCTCTGCCTGCCATGCCAGCATCCCATGCAGTGCTTGGGACTGGCTCAAGTCCCAGCTGCTCCACTTCCAATCAAGCTTCCTAATGGCCTGGGGAAAACACTGAAGGACAGCTCAAGTGCTTGGGCCCCTGCCTCCACATGGGAGAGCTGGAAGAACCTCCTGGCTCCTGGCTCCAGATCTTCCCAGCTCTGGCATTTGTGGCCATTTGGAAAATGAACCAGCAGATAGAAGATCTTTCTGTCTCTTCTCTTCTCTGTAATTATGTCTTTCCAATGTAAAAAATATTTTTTAAAAAATTTATGACAGGTCGGGTGCAGTAGGCTAGCTGCTAAGGTCCTCACCTTGCATGCGCTGGGATCGCATATGGGCTCTTGTTCTAATCCTTGCAGCTCCACTTCCATGCAGCTCCCTGCTTTTGGCCTGGGAAAGCAGTGGAGGACGGCCCAAAGCTTTGGGACCCAGTAGAAGCTCCTGGATCCTGGCTTCAGATTGGCACAGCTCCAGTCATGTGTCCACTTGGAGAGTAAATTAACAGACCGAAGATCATCTTCTCTGTTTCTCCTGTCTGTATATCTGCCTTTCCAATAAAAACAAATTAATCTTTTTTTTTAAAAGTGGGGTTGTTGAGCATGAGGTAGCTGCAGAGAAATAGCAGGGAAGACTGTGGTAAGTGTTGGCTGGGAACTGCATGTGTTGCTGTTCCTTTGAGATTTCGGTGTTTGACAGTTTACTTTGAAGTTACAATAGCAATTCAGTTTTTTCAGTCTATGTTTTAGTGTTTATAGTTTGACTTTTTTTTTTAGTGCCCATATAATGTTCTTCAATTATAAACTGCTTTATAAGTTTTGCAGCCCACTTTTGAGTTCAGATCATCGATGACAGAAAGTCCTGTTTGGATTGCCTCTCACCTGCTTCCCGCTCTGCCTTCAGATGGCTCACGATGCCCTGAACGCGCCCCTGCACATCCTCCGGGCCATATACGAACTGCAGATGAAAAGAACCGATTCTTTCTTCCTGGAGGTTCAGAAGAGGTGAGGCGCACGTAGCTACAGCCCAGTTTTGACAGATGAGGATAAGAGGATGTGTACCTCCTGCCTGCTGAACCTGGGGGACAAAGCAGAGAGGCCAGGTGGAAGAGGCAGAACCTGGTGTGGTCCCCAGTGAGTGCGTGTGGAAGGTGACCTATGCCACCTTGATTGCCCTGAGGTGTGTGGCAGGTGTCTGGACAAATGCTGGGTTTGCAGCCAGCCTCTTAGAGGGGATGTTGATGAGGCAGTAACCAAGACGTCCCCTCATAACCCTAGTGTGCAAACTGCAGAGTGGGACATTCTGCCCAAGGGATTTGTTGTTGTTGTTGCTTAGTTTTTGGCTTTTCACCACTGCAGATTATTTTTTTTCCTCTCAAAGGTGATTATAAAGTTAGAATTCCCTTCTCTTAGTCCGGAAGTTCAGCGTTGGAGCCGACTCTTGGAGTGTGTAGAGCTTCGTTGTGTTCCCCTCCTGCATGCCTCCCATGTCCTACTGAGGACTTCTCACTCACACTTTTCTTCTAGTTTATGTTGTGGCTTTCTTACATATTGCTGCCTGTTCCTTAGGAGCTAATGCAGGTACTGGGAGACAGAAAACTGTCAGGGCATGGGCTGAACTGAGGTGACCTGGAAAGCAGAGCTAGCATGGGTTTCAGCAGGTGGGAATTGTCTTTCTCTTGCTCGACCATCCGGAGGTGGGCAGCAGTCCAGAGCAGGGGCAGCTCTGCCTCACAGAGGGACACAGCAGTCCCGAGGGTGTTGGCTGTCCTCTGCAAAGTCAGAGGGGGCTCCACCACACCGTGACCTTTGGACTCCAGCTCAGATGAAAGTGGGAGAGTGGCCTCTGCGAGACAGTTTACATCTCCTGCCATGAGGGCATATGTGGGCTTCTGAGTGAGCAAGTAAGTGAACGCCGTCTGTGGAGTACAGAAAGTGGTAACATCCTCGTGCCATGACTGGACGATGGCTAACAGCCCTGCTGAGTGGTTTCAGGTTGTTCTCTGGCCTGTCCATTCTTTAAGTAGCTGGCTCTGTGATGTCTTTTTTCAGGTTTGACGGTGATGAACTCGCCACAGATGAGAAGATTCGGTCCCTGGCTCAGAAGTGGCAGCCTGGTAGGAGCCTACGGCTGGAAGAGCAGAGCGCCAAAGCTGTGGATACAGACATGATCATCCTCCCATGCCTGGTATGTCACCCTCTTTGAATGTGCCCACTGCACTGCCCACACCCCATCTCGCATACACAGCTGGGCCTCTGTAACCATGGTCTTGGTTCACAGTCTCGGCCTGCACGCTGCGACCAAGCCACTGCTGAGTCCAACCCCGTGACCCAGAAGCTAATCTCCAGCACGGAGAGTGAGCTGCAGCAGTGCTATGCCAAGCAGCGCCGCAGCAAGAGTGCCGCCCTGCTGCACAAGGAACTGAACTGCAAGAGCAAGAGGGCTGTCCGAGACTACCTGTTCCGTGTCAACGAAGCCACTTCTGTCCTCTACGCCCGGCATGTGCTTGCATCCCTGCTGGCCGAGTGGCCTGGGCATGTGCCAGTGAGCGAAGACATTCTGGAGCTCAGTGGCCCGGCCCATATGACGTACATTCTTGATATGTTCATGCAGCTGGAGGAAAAGCAGCAGTGGGAAAAGGTAAAGCAGCTAAGCAGGGTGGGCTCTTCCCTTGCTCCTTCTCATCTTTGCTGCCCCTGGAGGTTGGAACAGGCTGCCTGTGACAAGTACTTTCTGAACTGAGGTCACTCGTAAGGTCACTCTTAACTTCTCCTGTGAATTGGTCCAGGCCTAAGCTCACAGACTAGACACTCTTGGTGCTCAAAGAATATTTGAAATCTTGATGCAAGGCAGGCATTTGGAACAGCAGTTAAGACACTGCTTGGGTCGCCTGCATCCCACTGCGGAGTGCTTGGCTCCACTTCCCAGTCCATCTTCCTGCAGATGCACAGCCTGAGGGGTAGATAGTGATACTACTTGAGTGCTTCTACATGGGAAGCCAGGATTGAGTTCCCAGCCACCAACTTCAGCCCAGCCAGCCTGCTCTTGGAGGCATTTGGGGAATGAATCAATGGCTAGGAGCTCTCTGTTTCTGTTTGCTCTGTTTTTCTCTGCCTTAAAACATTAACAAATTTTGTTTTTTGTTTCAAGATTGATTTTTATTTTTATTGGAACGTCAGATCTGCAGAGAGAGGCAGAGACAAAGACCTTCCATCCGCTGATTCACTCCGCAAGTGGCCGCAGCAGCCATTGTCGAGTCGATTCAAAGCCAGGAGCTTCTTCTGGTTCTTCCATGCGGGTGCAGGGTCCCAAGGCTTTGGGATGTCCTCAACTGCTTTCCCAGACCACAAGCAGAGAACTGGATATGAAGTAGAGCAGCTAGGATATGAACTGGAGCCCATATGGGATCCCAGCTATCACGTTAGGCCCCAAATCTTTTTTAAAAAAGATAATGATAAGGCCTGGCACAGTAGCCTGGCAGCTAAAGTCCTCACCTTGCACGCACCAAGATCTCATATGGGCGCTGATTCTAATCCTGGCAGCCCTGCTTCCCATCCACCTCCTTGCTTGTGGTCTGGGAAAGCAGTATAAAATGGCCCAAAACCTTGGGACCTGGCACCCACGTGGGAGATCCAGAATACGCTCCCGGCTTCTGGCTTCAGATGAGTGCAATTGCAGCCATCGTAGCTGCTTGGGGAGTGAACCATCGAGCGGAAGATCTTCTCTCTGTCTCTGCCTTTCCAATAAAAATAAAGTAAGTAAGTAAATAAATAAATAAGATAATGATCCCTCTAAGCCTTCCTTAACATGTAGCCTTTGTTTTGTTCATAGCTATACGTCTGATCAGTCTTAGGCAGCCTGTTTGTTACATTCACCAGAGTCTCATGTTCTGCAGAAGTTACCTGTCAGATTGGACTCTCACGTTGTCCACTGTGATACAGGAAACTTCCATGAGGTTTTTGTCATCTTTTTTTTTTTTTTTTTTTTTAGCCAAAATATAGAAAGGTTGAGAAGTGATGGCTCCTGACAAGATGGAGCTAAAGCTAGCATGGCAAACCTGGGCCAGATCTCCCACGTGAGTGACAGGGACCCAGTCACTTGACCCATCACTCCTGCCTCTTTTGGGGGCTGTATTGGCAGGAACCTGGAGTCAGGAGCTAGAAGCAGGAGTCGAACCCAGGCACTCCAGTGTGGGGCGCAGGAGTACTAACTGTTGGGCCAAACACTGCCCTGTGTCCTGTGGAAACCACTGTTTGTAGAATGCCCAGCCCCGGTCTCAGGCTCTGCCAGCACTTCCTGCTTTATCCGCTGCAACCCAGAGGAAGCATTATAGATGGGAGGCTTGTGCAAGATAAGCGGCAGAGTAAGGGTCTCATGAGGATTGGGGCCATTCTCTGAAGTCCAGTTTTCTCATGTTAAGTTTCAGCCTGAGAGTTGGAGGGCACCATTTTACATGGGATGCTGGCATTGCAGTCAAAGGCTTAGCCTGCAATGCCACAGTGCCAGTGGTTGGCAAAGCTTCATTGGGTTGGGAACATCCCTTCCAACTCCAGCTGTGTAGAAGCAGAGAACCAGTGTGCCAGCAGATGTCCTGATCTAAAACGCAAATGCCAGGAACCATCTCTCAGCATCTTTCCAATTTCCAGGCACAGAAGTCTTGTCCCTCTGTCCCTGTAGCCTTACCATGTGCCACACGGACATGCACACACAGGCAGCCCTGAGAACTTATTTACCCTCTATTCCTTTATTTGCCTGTTTCTAGTCCCCCACTAGACTAGAAAGAACTTTCTAGTTCTTTCCCAGACTCACAGCCCTGAACAAGTCAGCAGCTTGGCTCTAGTCATATTTTTCTTTTATAAAAGCCAAGGGGCCCATTGTGCTCCGATGGGCCCTCTCTTTGCCGTGTCTTTCCCCAGCTTTTTCCCGGAGCCCTTCACTCTAGCCACTCCTTGTGCTGTGGTTGCTTACCTGTCAGCCCACTCACCTCACCTGGGTAGAGGCAGCAGCATTTCTGACTGGTCCCATCGACTCCCTCAGCCTTCCTTGATAAGCTGTTGTTCCAGAAGGATGATAGCATCCTGATGGTCCACAGGGGCCGGGTCAGGCCCAGGACAGTGGCAGCACCTCTGGTGGGACCTGGGTTTAAAGCCAACTCTCCCTTCTTGTTCTTGGGATTACTGCTGTAGGACCTCACCTTCCACCTGTGTCCCACCAGATCCTGCAGAAGGTGCTCCGGGGCTGCCGGGAAAGCATGCTGGGAACCATGGCGCTGGCCGCCTGCCAATTCATGGAGGAGCCGGGGATGGAGGTGCAAGTGAGGGAATCGAAGCACCCGTATAGCAACAACACCAACTTTGAGGTATGGCCACAGCTTGTCAGCTTCCATGCAGCTCTTTGCCCTCGGACAGCTCTACCTGAGCCTGTACCTCCCTACACCAAGCTCTTATCTGCTGGCCTGAGTCCTCTTCCTGACCCTCCCTGTCTTGGTAGGGAAAAGCTGGCCTTGGAGGGGTGTTGACCTCTCAGAGTGCATCCCTGGCGCCACTTGCCCTTCCCTACTCCCCCATACATCTGCACCTGCGTCTGAGTTCAGCTTTTGCTCTTAACTATCTCCTGCTGACCTGTTATGCCACTCCCTCTCTTTTTTTTTAAATGACGCAGAGCTGAAACACCTCATCTTTCCCATCCCAAACCTTGTGTCTAGATAAAGAGTTAGGGCTTTGACTGAGCCAGGATGCTGCAGACTCAGTCGTTGTCATTGACTCAGTGCCAAGAGGCTTTTGAGCCCTTTAGCAAATGATGGAGCTGGCAGGGCACCCACCTCTGAGTTAGAAGACCCCCAGGGCCACAGCCAAGAGTGACAGAAACTACTGCACAGCTGGGTGGTCGCCCAGCTGAGGCTTGATTTGCTGAGGGTGAACCTCATTCTCCTCTCCAGCCTCTCCTCTTCCCAGCTTGTTGGGCTCCCCCACCCCCCTGCCCCACACAGGTACTTGGCAGCTCTCTCTCCAAAAAGGATCATCTCCCCATCACCTCCAGACTGCCTTCTCTCTTCTCTGGAGTACCTGTTGTCACTTGTTTTGGACTTCCTGCCCTGGTCCACTGTCAGATGGCCCTTCTGTGGTATATACCTTACCAAAGCTAGCCTTGGAAACCTTCCTTGCCCAAGCTCTCCCCACTGTCCAGAATCTAAATGCCTTATTTTAGTGCACAAAGCCTTAACTATCCCTGCCAGCTTCTCAAGGATACGCCGTACCCTGTTCCACAAAGCACACAGTTAGTTACCCCTGAGGGGTCAGCACCGGGCTTCCCCAGACTGCTCCCATCCCCTGCTCTCCATCTTGCCTCTGGCCCCCTCCCCTCAGAGGCTACTTCTTCACTGGGACACTTGTTTGCCTGCCCTCTGTGCCCCACATCCCAGCCGACTGAGAACTGAGGAGCAGGACCAAGGCCTCCCTCATTTGCAGCTGCCCCAGCGTAGTGACTGGGCTTGGCATGAGGCAACCCACAGGGGTGACAGATGGGTCTGTTTATCTCCTCAGGATAAAGTTCACATTCCTGGTGCAATCTACCTCTCAATCAAATTCGACTCTCAGTGCAATACTGAGGAAGGCTGTGATGAGCTCGCCATGTCCAGCAGCAGTGACTTTCAGCAGGATCGCCACAATTTCAGCGGCTCTCAACAGAAATGGAAAGACTTTGAACTCCCAGGTAGTACCAGAAATACATGGTCCCATAGACTTTTTTAAAGATTTATTTATTTGCTTACTGAAAAAGTTACAGAAAGAGAGGGACAGGGCTTCCATCTGCTAGTTCACTCCCCAGATGGCTGCAACAGCCAGGGCTGAGCCAGGCTAAAGCCAGGAGCTTCTTCCAGGTCTGCCTTGTAGGTACTGGAGCCTAAACACTTGAGTCATCCTCCACTGACTTCCTAGGCCATAAACAAGGAGTTACATTGGAAGTGGAGTAGCTGAGACTGGAACTGGCACCCATAGAGGATGCCAGCATTATAGGCAGTGACTTTACCCACTGTGCCACAGTGCTGGCCTGATCCAACACTCTCCACACAAAGTGTTTAACATCGTGAAGAGAAATCATTGAGTCTCATCTCATCAGAAACCCATCAGTTAGCCTTGCCTGGTACTGCAGTTTGCTGATCTGCTTCTTGATTCTCGTGTGGGCCAGGAGACACTTTATACTACCGCTTTACCTCGGATATGAGCAACACCGAATGGGGCTACAAGTTCACCGTGACGGCTGGACATCTGGGCCGCTTCCAGACAGGTAGGTGTGGGTGCTGTTTGTTCTCCTTTCCCTAAATGGTCAGCCCATGCGGCTCCCTGCCTGTAGGTCCCCTTACATCATTGACTTTTGTTAAAATCAGACACTCTTTAAAACCTTCGAAATCTGACCCACACTCCTTGTCTGTCTTTTTGTGTTGTGGTTGGTAGTTATCAAAAAAGCTTGAATGGCCAGATAAAAAAAGCCTTCTCTCATGGCCTAGAAAACATGCTTATTCTCTCAGAATGTTTTGAAAAAGGGGGCACTAAAATGCTATTCAAGTGGTATTTTTTTAAAAGTCTTAATCCCAACACAAATGTTAATTATCTTGATTGTCTCATCCTGTTTAGTAAAATTATGCAATTGTTTAATTGCAGACTTGTTAAATTGGAACTGTCTTTGTTTTGGGGGGCTTGGCCAGGTTTTGAGATTTTGAAGCAAATGCTATCAGAAGAACGAGTTGTGCCTCACCTCCCATTGGCCCAAATTTGGGAGTGGCTGGTGGGCGTGGCCTGCCGCCAGACTGGTCATCAGAGGCTGAAAGCCATCCACCTGCTGCTGAGGATTGTGCAGTGCTGCTCCCACAGGTAGGCTGTGTGCACCCGACTCTCCTCCCCCTCTGCTTGCCTTTGCACTCTGTTGGTGGTGTGCAAAGATGTGTGTAACTTTAACACCTCCCAGCTCATCCAGTGTTGCCTTTAGGTTGATGCTTTTGGTGTCCTGTGCAAGTAACCTTTGCCTTACTCCAAGGTCATGCAGGTAGTTCCCATGCAAGCATCTACGAACTTGACATGCTTATGTCCGTGATCACCTAGAGTGGACTGAGGGGTGTGGGGGCCAAGTTGACTTTTTCCATGTGGAGCTACACTTGCCGTCCACACACCGCAGCACCACCTGTTCTCCTAGCAGAGGTCCCTAGGCGTGTGGGTGTTCCTTTGGCCTTTTTGGTCCTCCGTGTGGCAAGGTCACACCTTAACATCTGTAGCTCCTGAACACATTCGCCCACCTCGCAGGATCAATCCCTCAGCTCAGTTTTTCATCTTTGAGATTCTCTTGGACCTTTTTAACTGTGCGTATCTTATTACTACAGTCAGAGTATCAGTTTCTATCTGCACGCCCATCTCACCTTGGGGGGTTTTTGATGACTGTGTAGGTCAGTTTTTCTGGAGACCTGAGCTTTCTAGAACTCAGTCCTCTAATCCAAGCCAGTATAGTTGTACATGCCTCCATTGTTTAGGTCTTCGTGGTATTTCATAGTTTCATACGTAGAGGACTTGTGCAACATTTTGTCGATTTATTCCTTGATATTTGTGTTGCTATTACAATTGGTATTTTTATAATTTTATTTTGATTTTGCTGATAAATAGTTAAGTTTTACATAATGCTCTTGGATCCAATGACCTTGCTAAATTTGTTAATTTGTGCGTATGTAGATTCTTGAGTGACCAGTCATGTCATCCACAAATAGCAAGTGTATTCTTCCTCTTGGTCCTTAGAAACTGCCTTGGGCACCGCCAGAACCTCTAGGACGGCGGGGAGCAGGTGTGGGGATTGCGGACATGGTCGCTGGTCACTGTCTCAGGGAGGTGTTGATGATTGAGCCGTTCTCACCCCAGCCTCGCCCTCCTTGCTCAGACCCCACACCTGTAAGGGGCTCCTCGATCTTCTTTCCTGGAATTTTTAAAATTAATTTATTTGAAAGGCAGTACAGCAGAGAAGGAGGTGCAGAGAGAAAGAGAAAAATCTTTCATTCATTGTTTCACTCCCCAGTGGCCACAGCAGGCAGGAAACCAGAAGGAAACTGGAAGCCTGGCACTCCATCTGGGCCTACCACATGGATGGTAGGGGCCCAGGCACTTGGGACATCATCTGTCGCCTTCCAAGGCCCTTTAGAAGGGAGCTGGATCGGAAATAGAGCCAGTGCTTCAGTGTGGGATGCTAGCATCACAGTGATATACCTGCCGTGCCACAGCGCCAGCCCTCTCTCCTGCACTTTTAAGACACAGATGCACAGAATGCCAAACAGAGTGGGCAGTGGTCTTCTAAGTAGCAGACTGTCTCTTTATACAATATGGAGCTGTCATTTTTAAAAAAAAGAGGTGGGGGACTCCCAAGTCAGGGAAGAATACTTCGTGACTAGTGTAATGAGCCCATAGATTGCCTGTGGGAGGGTAGGAAAAAAGCTGGGCCTGTCACCATATCTGTTACTACCAGTGTCTCCATGTCAGTTGTCAGGAACCTTTAGTTGCCTGTGTGCTCAACTTACTGTAAGAAGTGCCTGCTTCTTGTGCGTGTGCGAGGCATGTAGCATCACCCCTGTGTTCAGGGACCCATCGGATACCACAAGATTTGCTCGTAGCCTGCCTCCTTGCAGGGACACACCCATGTTCCTCCATTGTGAGTCCAGAGCCTACCTGTTACCCATTCTGTGCCAGTGGCACTCTGGGAGAGTTAGAGCAGTGCCGGTCTGGGGGCGCAGGCCAGAGGAGCAGCCCACAAGAGGGGGCCTGGCAGGGCCTTTGCCTTGGCTGTTAAAGTGCTTGTCTGGAAACCCAGCTGTGGAAAGCTGGCCCGCTGGCCCATCAACCCACCAACCCCATTATGTGCTTGGGGAGGAGCTCTTCCTCCAAGGCAAAAGCAGCTGCCTTCCAGGCAGTGCTGCAGTGACCAGAATTCTTCCCAACTTCCCTCCTCTGGAGACTGAAGCCCAGCCCCTGCCTGCGCTCTTGGTGGGAGGCCCAGGGCACGGGATCAGCTTCTCTCCCTGGAAAGACTTCTGGCTAAGCAACCAGGAGGGTCTAGGTCCGGGATCAGAATCCTGCCTGTCAGCCTCAGACTTTCCATGGTCACTTGCTTGGTTTTGCATATGCCATCCACTCACTCATCTTTCCCCGGAATGCCTGTCATGGCCCTGTCCCCAGAAGGGCTTCTCCAGGCAGCGCAGCAGTTCCCGTGGACAGGTGGCAGGGCCCCTGGGCTTCCTCGGAGTCCCGGGTGAAGGTGAGGTTCCTCTCTGTTCTCCTGTGCTGCTGGTGATGACTTGGCAGCTGTTGGGGTAGGGAAGGAGGGGGCCCTGCTGTGTCATCCCTGTTCTAGCCTCAGCCCTGACCCCATGTCACCTCTGGGGCTTCTCCCGCAGTGACCTGTGTGACCTGACACTGCTGAGGCCGCTGTGGCAGCTCTTCACGCACATGGAGTATGGCCTGTTCGAGGATGTGACGCAGCCCGGCATCCTCCTTCCACTGCATCGGGCCCTCACCGAGCTCTTCTTCGTCACAGAGAACCGAGCCCAGGTGAGGCCTCCATGAGCTTCCGCTCTGGGTCCTGGGTGCCATCGGGTCTCATAGTGGGGTCTTGTAGCCCTGTGCCTGGGCATAGGCCTGGCTAACCTCCAAGGCGCCCACCTCCCACAGCCCTGGGAAGGCTTCAGGGCGGCCCCAGCCAGCTTATTTTGTGAGGCCTAAAGCCAAAGAAGAAACTCGTCTGCCTGGGATCAGCCCTTGACAGGCATGAATTTTGGAAAATAAAACAGATGAGTTCCTCCTTCTTCCTCCTCTCCTCCCCACCCGGCACAACGAATCCATTGATTGTGAGCGATGAAAGGGCCTTTCAGAGTTTCTTGGTTTACCTCCCGGTTTCATCCGTGAGGTGGGCGTGTTCTTCCTGGTCACCTTGTGGCAGGGCCTGAGCAGGCTCAGCTCTGAAGCAGGCTCCTAGCCCCACCTGGCCAGGCTCCGCCAGCAGCTCTGGGGGAAGTGGTGGGACACAGTACCCAAAACGAGCAGCTCAAGGCTTCTGCGTGTGCGGGTGGGTTCCCCCAGGTTGCTGCAGGTACATGGGGGGTCTGGCCCCATGGCACACGTCACTCTCAGAGCCCACACTCTTTCCACAGGAGCTGGGCTTGCTGCAGGAATACCTGCTGGCCTTAACCACTGATGAGCACCTTCTCCGCTGTGCGGCCCAGGTACTCTCCCCTCGCAGAGCTGGCCCTCTGGGGCAAGTGCCACCACCTCCCTTTCCCACTCGCCAGGACAGACTGCGTCACGAATGCAGACTCCACCCTCCACATCAGTCACTTCTTCCGGTGCTCCAGGAGCAGGCGGGCCCATCTGTCAGCATTGTCCATGTTAAGCCAGGGGTCAGAACACACTAGCAGGAATGTGTGTCTTTAAACCAAAACAGCCCCTGCCTTGAATTTAGTTTGGCAGGTCCCTGAAGTTTCCATCGAGTTAGATTGCAGATATTTTTGGATGTCATTTGCTTCCCTGGCGCGAGAGCTCCTCTTCTGACAGCTGGTTGGTCTCAGGACCCTTCACGCCTCTAAGTCACTCAGGGTCCCCGGGAGCGTCGGCCGCGCTCAGGATATAAATCAGTGTGCATCCTGGGAAGGTGAGCTAAATCTAGAATTAATAGATTAGAAATGGAAACATTTAAACATTTAGTTACCAATTCCTTGGGAAGAAAAAAAAAAAGCAAGTACTCAACCTATCTCACATCAACATAAATGTAGCCTGTTCAGTGAAGCACAATTCCTATGCTTCAAAGCAAAATAACCTCCAAACAGGATGACCCTGTGTTCTGTTTTAAGGCTCCCTCTGACGTCCGGCTTACTGGAAGACAGCTGGGCTCTCAGTCCATGCCTGCATTCTATCTATCGCATTCACATCAGCCTCTGGAAAACTCCATTGTATATTCAGGAGAGAAAGTGGAAAGTGAACCTCATAGACCCAAAAAAGCATGTTAAGAATCACCCGACCCCAGACTCATTTTGTGCAGCTAGGACCTACTGTAACCCAGTTGCATTGAGTGAGACCCAGCAGCTGCGCTCCCCCTAGCTCAGGCCTCTGTCCCTGGGAGAGGGCTGCCCTGACCTTGCTCATTTGGGGTGGCCCCCACAGCACACTTGGGAGAGAGAACCAGAGTCAGAGTGGCCATTTCTTTTCCTCCCAGCAGCTACCCACACTGCTACCACCCATCCCAGCCTCAGGACATCACTCAACAGAGCCTAGACTGGACATTCAGTACCAGACCAACGGGACAGCCTTCCTGGGGCTTTCCCTCCCAGCCTGCCCCGCAGCCGCTCTCCGCTGCTCCCTCACCTTTAGCCCATCTGGCTCCATGGGCCAGTAGTCAGACTCCCCAACCTGTCACCTCTCCCTCACTCCTCCACCTCCCCTTCTTGCTGCCCCCTGCACAAGAATCAGGTGGCACCTGCATTCTCAGCGCCTTCCCACCCCTGTTTTCTGGCCTCTCGTGGTGTGCCTCAGCAGCAGCTCTTTGTCCCCTGTGTGCATTGTGCCCCTATGCTGTGTCTCCCTCAAGACTCCCTGGATCTCAGCAGCCAGCAACCCCTCTGAGACAGTCCACCCAGGCTGTGCTCATTCCACCTTTAGTGCTGCTGTCAGCTCTTCTTCTAGCCTGTGGTCTCCCAGGTTGGGGGGAGGTGCCCATTGACCTGTCCCAGGTCCCTCCATCACCTGCCCCTCTCCTCAGTGCACAGCCTGGGGTATTGCTCTTCAGCACTCAGTGAGCCAGAGGCTGGCTCAGAGCACTGCTGGCCACTCTCTCCCCTCCACAGGCTCTGCAGAACATCGCCGCCATCAGCCTGGCCATCAACTACCCAAACAAGGCCACCCGCCTGTGGAATGTTGAATGCTAGCCCTCGGCGTGTCCTGCATGGGACCAGCTACCTTGCCATCGGGGCTGTGGCACAGACCCTGGCTCCAGGTCAGGGACAGTCCTGGATGGCAGCACACAGCCTCTTGGAGCCGCTCCACCCAGCGCACACTTGCCAGCCCGACCTGTGCAGCTGCACCAAGCAGGGCTCCTGGAAGTGGCATGTGGGAGGCCTTGGAGACAGCAGCTGAGAGCTGAGCCGCCCCCAGGATGAAGCTCATAGAAGCCGCAGATGCCAGAAAGCCTGGCAGCAGCCTCTCTGGAGAAGCTTTGTCTCAGCTAAGTTGGAGCCGCACGCTCACCACAGGCTGAGACACAGGCTGCCTTCCTCAGCGGGGCCTCCGGCAGCAGAGGCCTGACCTGGGGGTCCCTTGTTGCTCATGATTTAAACCAGACCAAACCCACGGGGAGCCCCTGCCAGCCTCTACCGACCACCAGGCAACCAGAACCAGAGCAGGCGGAGTGAGTGAGAGTCCATGCCCTTGGCAGCCCACAGGCCACCCATCCCACGTGTCAGCCGCGTGTTATTTTATTTCAGTTTCCACTTCAAGATTTTAAAGCAGAGCCACAAAAATTCCCTTTATGAAGTCCTCAGGGGAATGGCCAGGCACCAGTCACTTGGGCATGTAAGTTTGTGCTCCAACCAGAGCCTAAAGAATACTCTAACTTCCACACCTGCAGCTGGAATGTCCTCCCAGGAGCTCTCATCGCAGGAGTGAAACAGCACAGCCTGAGGCCACTCTCCCATTGCAGCCTGCTGGACAGGTCTTCGGCTAGCTGTCTCCTCCAGCAATAACCTCATTAGCTCCCAAAAATGCTGTTTTCCATTTTCCTTTTTATGGTTTTCATCTTGCCCTGAAGTGCTGATTGTTGTTCTCTTGCCAGACTTACTCTGTGAAGGGTACAGCAGGGCTGGCACGTAGGCCCCGTACCAGCCGCAGTGGGACTAGCAGGAGGGCAGAATGCCTGCGGCCGCTGCCATAAAAAAAGAGGAACCAGGGCCAGACTCGAGCAGGAGCCAGCCCAGCCAGGGCCTCTATGCATGACCACCTTGCCGCATCAGAGCCCAGCGTGACCCCTGCCTTCTGAGGACCCCTCTGCAGCGTCTGCAGAGGTCTGGATTCGAGGGGCTGAAGCCCGTAGAACTGGGGTGTCTTCCTGCAAGGTTTTTTTAGCTGTGTCAGGAAGCCAAGGTACAGCAGCCTCACAGCTTAGAATCCAGCTCTGAGCCAAGTCCTACGCCTTGAGCGTGGGGCTGTGGTAGGAGTCACGGGCACCAGGCTGGCGCGGGCAGGGCCAGCAAGTTCAGTGGCTTTCATGTCCCGATGCCAAGATGATGCTTGGCCTAGTGACCTTGGCTTGAAGAGGCGAGTGCTGCTTGCTGAGTGGAAACCCCTGTCCCTTCTTTGCTCATGGACAAACTGATCTTGCTTTGCAAACCATCTGTATCCCCAAAGGAGGCTCCATGCTCTGTGCCACTCAGACCCACGTAGCTGTCACCATGAAGAGCCTCCCCTAAGGGTTGTTAGAGCTGGCATGTGCTGGGAAGAGGCCCTGCTCTGGTCACAGCCTCACCAGTACGTGGTCTGAAAGGCAAATGGGAAGATGGCGCCACCCACACTCTCCACACCTCCAACCCACTGAGGGAAAGGTTCACCATATCCCACTTGGGACAGCGGCCACCAGTTCTCCCCAATGCCCAGCAGCAGAAGCCACTGTAAATAAATGCTGGACTCCTTGTAGCTGCTCTCATAGCCCTACCCTTGCTATTCTGGTCTTCCCAGTTCTTCAGTTTGCATGGGACAGGCCTGAGTTTCCTTCACACGCAGCTGCGGCCCTCTGGCCAGCCTCCCTGCAGCCAGTCACACCCCTGCTCCTGGCCACCAGGTGGCAGTGCCGAGTCAGGCCTGCGTGCCCTTCCTGGCCTGGAGCTGCAGCATCCCAAAGGCTTCCCATCCAGATCTCCCCGTCTTGACCCTTCATGGGAGGCGAGACTGCCTGGACCGAGAGAAACCCGGCAGGATTGAGGTGTGGTGGAAACATGTGCCTAATCTATAAAGAAATTCTGTTCCAAATCATACATATTGTACAGACACTGTTCCTAAGGAGAGGAGTGACTTATTTTCATCATTGTTTTTAATTTGTTTTCTTACAGGTTTACGATTTTGAATTTTTCTTATTTGGTTGAAAGGAAGAATTTTGATTATATCAGCTGAGTGAGTTCAGCCTGTAAAAAAAAAAAAAGGATGTTAAGCTATGGTTAAATATGCAAATGAAGATAAATATATTGTACAAATTCTATATAAAACAAAGCTGTGTGTGGACTTTGTGTCCCCTCCCCTGTCATCTTTTTGGAGATGACACCATGCTCACTGCACCAGGAGTGCCCACCAAACCCAGGGCGACATCTGGGCTTCAGGCAGTGGCCACAGCCAGGTTCTAGGCTCCTCCTGGGTGTCGTGGCTTAGTTCCACCACTGATCTCCTCACAGCCCAGTCTGGAGCCTTCTCAGACACAGTCCTGGGAGGCACACTTCATCTTGGAGGCCGTCTTTGACAGCCTGAGTCTGGCACACCCCCTGAGGTACCAGGCTGCATTTCTCTCCCCACAGCATCCTCCACACCCCACCTTGCAGGGAGTTGCACATCAGGCTAAGCAATGAGAAGCTGCCGTGTCTGCTGGTCTGCTGCTCCCTCCCGGCCGCCCGCGGCTGCCCCGCCCTGCTCTGCTAGAAGGCAGAAGGATCAGTAGAGTCTGGCCCGCTGTTAGCAGCAGGCAACCACAGAGGGACAAGGTATTCGGAACCCAAGCTCATCAGAACCCTAGAATGTTCAACCAGCTGAGCTTCTGCATTCTGTAAGCAACCAGGAGCCGTGGGGTCAGCCTGGGGGCGCCCATCAAGTGGAAAGCTAGCCCCAAAGCCACGGCTACAGTGGCTACCAACTCATTCCGTCTGTGGAATGGGCACAGGTGTTGGTCTCCTCGGCCCATGTGGCCTTCTGTTCCCACGGCAGACCTTGTCATGGCCTGACAGCAGCTGTGGCTGGAGATACTTTCTTCTCACGCAGCCAGGACCTGGCCTAGCCACAGCTCAGCTTGCAGACCTGAGTGACTGGAGTCAGCTGCCACCAACCAGCAGGCTTTGTTCGCGGGCTGTTGGCTGTCCCCACCCTCATGTAACGGGTGCCTGTGAAGCAGAAGCCTGCTGGGGGGCTGTGTGGAAGGCCCTGGACCGGTCTGGAGGGCCTGGTGCCTGAGGTGTCACATCTGCCTTTTGCCAGGAGGCTGCCGCAGCACAGAGATGATTCCATGGTCCGAGCATCCTGCATCCCCACTCCTCTGCTCTCATCCCTGCCCGGCTCCCTCCTGGGCATCCATGGAGCCACAGATAAATCTGAAAGGGCTCAGGGATACTTCTTTGCTCCTATTACATCCAGCCACTGAACCCCAGAGTCCCCAAGGGACAGAGTCCCCCATGATACTTCCCAGTGTCGTCCAGCCATGATGAAACGACGTTTGGCAAGCTCCCAAGGAGGCCAGTGCTGTGGCTGGACAGCTGAGCTGCTGCCTGCAATGCCAGCACGCCGTATCACAGCACTGATTCTCGTCCTGGCTGCTGCTTTCCTATCCTGCTCCCCCACTTACATGCCTGGCTGAGAGTGTCGCCATCATCCATGCGGGAGACCTGGGCGGAGTTTGTGGCTCCTGGCTCAGCCTTGACCCAGTCTCAGCTGTTGGCAGTCATTGGGAAAACATCTCTCTTTCACTCTTCCTTTCAGATAAGTACATGGATCTCTTTAAAAGCTGCTGTGGAGGCCCAGGGGTTTGCAGGCTGCCCTCCAGGACAGCTAGGCGGGCAGAAACTACCCACGAGGTCCTCACACAACCTATCTGCTCCGCTGCTCCACCACCCTGCCAGGCAGGATGCCCACCACACAGGCAGAAATCCACACGTGCAGGCAGGCGTCTGAGCCAGAGGGGTGAAGACATGAGGCTGGACGAGAAGGAACAAACCCCAGTCACGTGCAGCTGCCAACAGAGGGCTACTTAGGGGCAGGCTGTAGTTTTCAAGGCAAAATCAAGCAGGACAAAGTGTTGGGTGTCTATTTTCTGTGGAAACACAATGTAATTAATAATAACTTACCTACACCAGGTTCCACAAGAAATTATATCAGGCAAGAATCATCGGGAATCAGTGGCACACCGGGCAGTAAGAGTGGAGGTAGCATCTTTGTCTGTGATTAACTGCTAATTTGTTAAAACTGAGTCACATTAGAATGTGACCAGCTTGGGCCTGGCTTGGTTGCTTAGTGGTTGAAGTCCTCACCTTGCACACAACAGTATCTCATATGGGTGCCAGTTCTAATCCCTCTGGACTCCCCTCAAACCCCACCCTCACCCATCAATTTTCCCATTACCATCTATTTTCATTCCACCTCCAATTTTCCCCAATCTACCAATCCCCTTCATATTTCCCCCCCTTCCTCTTCACCCTTCGCCATTCAACATCAATTCTAATCAACGCAAATATTCCACAACTTTCTATCACCTATCCCTCACTCACAACCATAAACACCAAAAAACACACATCCAAACCCCACCACCCACAAAATAAAAACACACCCCCATATCTCCTCATTAACACCTTCCCCCACCCCCCCCCATCAACCCTTACATTCCCACATTCTTCCCCCCAAACCCTTCCACCAACATTCACATCCTACCAACCATTTTCCCATCCTTTTACATTATCCCCACCACATCATTCCCTCTTCCCCAGCCCACCCAAGTAATCCATCCTCCATCATTTAATACACCTTCCTTCCACCTGTTCCTCCCTATCCTTCTCCCCTCCCCTCCCTCCTCCACATCCTCCCCTTCATCCTTCACCTCTTCACCCACCCCTTTTCTTCCTTCACCCCCCCCCCTTACCTTTTTCCCCTCCCATTCCACACCCCCCATCTTCCTCCCCTCCCCCCCCTCCCCATCACATCCCAACAAACTTAACCCAAAACCCCTCCCCTTTCACTTTTTCTTACCCCAACCCACCTTCCAACCCACCCTCCCCTTTTCCCCCCTCCCCCCCCCCCTCCACCCCCCACCCATCCCCCTTCTATTAAATCAACCCCCAACCACATAGGGTATCTGTGTGTGTGCATGTGAACATGTGTGCATTTTCCAGTGCCCATGGAGATTCCTGAGTGTCTGTCCATGGTACTAGGTATGCTAGACCCTGCATCTCTACCATTCTCTCTCATTCTTTCTGTAACTCTGTCTTCCAAATAACATTTTAAAAAGTCTCTCCTCCTCTATATATCTGACATTCCAATAAAAAAAATCTTTTAAAAAGAAGGAAAAGGGGCCTGGTGCAGTGGCATAGTAACTAAAGTCCTCGTCTTGCACGTGCTGGGACCCCATGTGGGCAATGTCCCAGCAGCCCCATCTCCCATCCTATTCCCTGCTTGTGGCCTAGAAAAGCAGTCAAGGACGGCCCAAAGCCTTCGGACCCTGCACCCCTGTGGGAGACCTGGAGGAAGCTCTTGGCTCCCGGCATTGGATTGGCTCAGCTCCGGCTATTACAGCCACTTGAGTGAATCAGCGGATGACAGATCTTTCTCTCTCCTCCTCTCTGTATGTCTGCCTTTCCAATAAAAAAATAAATCTTTAAAAATATATATACAGAAATGGGGGGTGGGTATTGGCCCAGTAATTAAAGCACCACCAAGGATGCCCACATCCTCTGTCACAGCACCTGGTTCAAGTCTTACCCAGCCTCCTGCTAACGCACACCGTGGGAGGCCACAGGCGAGGGCCACGGGAGAGGCCAGAGTGAGCCTACGCTCCTGGCTCCAGCCTCCTCCGAGCTGGGCTGTCACCGACACTGGGAGAGCCTTCCAGATTGAAACATAAATTTAAAAAGTTAATAGGAGACAATAGATGCCTAATGGTGTGGTAATGACGACAGACATCATCATGAATATGCTAAAACCCACTGGATTGTGATTCACTTGTGTGTGTGTGTGTTTCACTTTCAAATCGTGAGTTTATGTAAATTTTTTCCCTCATATCTTTTTTGCTGGGGCTGCCTGGCATTGTGCTGCATCAGGTTAAGCTGCCACCTGCAACGCCAACATCCCACACACGCTGGTTCAAATCCTGGCTGCTGCATTTCCGATCCAGTTCCTTGCTGACGTGCCTGGGAAAGCAGAAGACGGCCCAAGTGCTTGGTTCTCCGTCATCCACACGGGAAACCAGGATGGAGTTCCTGGCTCCTGGCTTTGGCTCGGCTCAGTCCCTGCTGTTGACACCATTTGGGGAATGAAGTAGCAGGTGGAAGATCTCTCTCTGTAACTCTGCCTTGCAGATAAATAAATACATCTTTTTTAAAAATGGAGGTGAAACAAGGACATTCCCAGATAAAAACTGAGTGAGTTTATTCCTAGGAAACCTGCCTTCCAAGAAAGATGAGAGGAAGTTCCTTGGGCTGAAGGCAAGTGACCTCAGGGGGCCATGTGACTGCAGAGGAAGGTGGGAGCGAGCCAGGATTAATTAAAGAAGACAGCAACAGCCCTCCCCTTCCCCATCCAAAGGCCACTGTATGAAACTGGAAACAGTAAGCCGGCAGCGGATGGATGGGCCTACTGCACACAGACACACAAGGCACCTGCCACACGCAGGATGAAGGAGGGGTATGGTCAGAGCTCCACTGGGCCAAAGCGGCAAGGTCTCTGCCTTTCAAGCAAACCTTTGAAAACAGTAAGTGTTCGAAAGGGGGCAGAGCTCGCATCTGTTTGTTCTCCCTGTCAGCCTCAGGCTGCAGTGCCTCTCAGACCCTGGCACCCTCCTCCCCACTGCCAACATGTGGGCCTCCCCCTCTACGGATCGCCTCCCAGCAGCCAGCCACTTGTCCCAGTGGAATGGCCCCAAGTGCAAGGTCATCCAGGCCAGAAGCCCTAGGCTTCTACTAATGTGTCCGACAGGAGGGCCACAGGCCACTGCTGCTTCACTGCTTCTTCAGAGCCTGGCTGGAAGCCCCACCCACACCCAGGGGCGGGCCCTACAGGATGGAGGGGTGGGGGGCAGGGGCTCCTGGAAGCCGTCCTGGAGGCAGCACACCCAATACTCCTATGTCCGTCACCAGTGTCCAGCCTGGAGCCTGGCGATTGTCCAAATGTGGGCTGAATGAATCATGTGTAAACATTTAGACACAGAACATGTCGGGCCAGCTTGAGCCAGAAGGCTGGGGGCTGGAGGGGTTGTGAGAATGGGATTTGGGGGCAGGGAGAGCAGCAGGGCCCTTCTCCCCAC